TGTGACCGTGACAGTGGGCCTTTGGCTCTGCACCCTTTCCATGCAAAGATTATAGGGTGTCATGAAGGGCTTTCTTACCTTCTCCACCATGCCGCTGCTGGTGCAGAGGCCACTGGAAGAGCCATGCTGGGGTGCTTGTAAGGGCCAGCAGGACTGTGTCCCTGTTGGCCCATACTGTCAGCCTTTGGCCCAGAGCCAGGCTGGTGGTGGCCGAAGTGTGGGTAGCGTGGACCTCACTGCCTACACGAGGCCAAACCCTGTGGGAGTTTTGCCAGCAAGAGCCCAAAGCTGAGGCCAGCAGTAGTGAACTGCAGTGTTCCTCAACCTGCTGCAAACCTGGGGTTTCATTTCCAGCCTTGGGGTCAGAGTGAGGGTCCTGAAGCGCAGAGGCCGCCACTCCCATACTGTGCCTTGTCTTTGTGGTGTTTCTCTGCTTTGTCTTTGAGTAAACTGTGTTTGTTGGGCAGATGGGGCATGCTGCGCAAGCACTCTGTTGGGACGCTGGCATCTGCCCCTCCCACTGGGGTCTGGCCACAGCCCTTGCAGAGCCCTGCTCAAGTGGGATCAGAGTGTGCAGCTGGCTAAGATGTACCAGCAGGGCTCGTGAGGCAGGTGAGGACAGGCTGGAGGCTCTGTGATTGTGCCCAGGACCTTCCTTCACCTCCAGATGGTGGTGCCAGCTTGGCCCAGCCCAGAGGAGCTACCTAGACAAGGCCTGGGTGCTGCCGGGAGGCTGAGGCAGCATGGTTTGTGGACACAGCCCCTCTCCCTGCTTCAGTGCCTTGGAGTCTGCACTTCGTCTGTGACCATATGCCTGCCTGTGGTGCTGTCACAGGCACTGTATTCACAGGATGCTGGTGACAAGGCCTCCTGGGGCCACCATGGAGGTGACCTCCCAGACCTGTGGCCTGGCATGGTGCGCAGGGGACTATGATGCTTACGGCTCCACAGTCCTGTGTCAGGGATGGGGTGTCCTGGGAGCATGATCCCACTGTCCCTGCTGCCATGGGAGGGCTGCACCCATTCTGGGGCCACTCTGGCCCCTGGGGCTTCTGTTCTGTACAAGAGTCAGGTCCGCTTGCTTCAGCTTGGGAACAGGTTTGCAGCAGGTTGAAGAATTGAACAGCTTGTGTTTGATGCCTGTCCAGCTCTTGTGGACCTCAGCCCACAGCTGTGACGTGGAGAAGACTGGTTGTGCTGCCTGTGTGGGCAGGGTTGTGACATTAGCTAGCAAGGATGCCATCACACTAGAAAACCACAGAGGCAGGCTGTCATCGGACTTGAGGGTGTGGCTTTGGACACGTGTGGTTCTGAGTACCAGCGGAGACTTGAGTCTTAGGCTGGAGGGCTGCAGATGTGTGCCAATGGCCCCATGATGCACTGCTGCCCCCCACATTGTCGCTGCCCGGCAGGGCCCTGGCTCTGCATCCTGTGACTGCTCCTGTTCCTTTGTGTGTGAGACTTCCCAGCAGACATGAGCAAGGGCTGTGTGCTGTCCATGGTGGCTGCCTCGGTCCCTGCTTACTCTCAGATGTGCATTGAAGGATGGGTGACAGCCAGGGGCAGGTTTTCAGCACCATGGTGCAGAATCTTGGGCATTAGTGGCCCATATCGTGGAGATGGTGTTGTCTCCAGGGAGTCTAGAGAGACCCCCTGCTCCTACATCTCCATCTTCAGGATCTGCTTCTGCACGGTGGGCCTGTGCCGGATGCCATGGTACTCTCTGTGGGGACTGAGCTCGTCCTGGAGCTCCAGAGCCCTGCCGAGCTTGTGCTCTGAGCATAAGCCACCTATAGAACAGGCTGCCTCGGAATGTGGTGGTCTGAAGGGATGGTATGCATTTGTCATCCAGTGTGGTCTGTGGCATCCCTGTCCCTGAGGCATGGCCCAGAGCCCCACCCTGTCTGCTGTGGGCAGAACCTGCTTCCTCATGGCTGCCCAAGTGTCCATGTGGCTCTGGCTTCTCCAGGGGCCCAGCCAGGGGTAGGTTTAGTCTCTGCCTCCTGGGACTTGAGGACAGTGAGTATGCATGTTGGGGCCAGGCCCGTCTCAGACTATGTCTCACAGCACTAGTCCAGGTCACAGTGGGTCCAGTTTGGGGTTTGAGGCATCTTGGCTCTGAGCAGCACCCTTTCGTGTGGCAAGAGGAAGTCGATCTCATCACGAGGGCCCCACACTTTCTCCCCATGACCCTGTCAGGGTCATTGCCTTGGGGTCACATTCAGTGTAAAGGTTTGAGGGACAGATGTTCCAACCATGGCAGGGCCTCCTGCTGGAAGGCCGCCTTGGCCACAGGATGTTGGTTAGGTGGGACAGAGGTCAGCCTGTCAAGGTCACCGCCCTGAAAGGCTGCCTACTGCGACAGTACTGGTTTGGCAAAGATTTTTGTATTGCTGTTCTGCATACAGCTTGTGAACTCTAGGTGGTTTTGTTTTCTAATTTCCTTTCTGGAAAAGAGAGCTTGCATTTCCTTTGTGATTTTGACACCTTGTTACAAAAGAGTTGCTTTCTGTGCCGTAAAACCCACTGTGAAGTATGCAGTGATAGGCAGGCGATAGGCGGGTGTGGCAGCCGCCTGCCCCTGCGTGGTCGGTTCCTGCCCCATGGTCTTGGGGCCACACAGCACTAGGGTGGAGGGTGAGGCAGTCATGTATTCACCTGTCAGCCCTGGGGAACAGATCTGCTTGAGGGGTGATACAGTTTAAATCATGCCTTGTGGGGGGTGGTTCTCGATGAGGGAAGTTTTGCAATGTCTGGAGAGGATTTTGTCACAGGTGTGGGGTGACTGGCTCATGGTGGAGTCCCAACGCTACCGAGTCCTGTGGTGAGGGGCAGCCCCCTGGGTCTCAAGGGTCAGCCTGGGCCTCTGCTGGGAAGCTATCCAGTGGTAATCTGACTGGTTCTTCGTGGAGAAAGTACAGGAAGGGGACTCCAGCCCAGACCTCTGGACCAGTGCATCAGCAGGCTGAGGCTGTGATGTTGAGATGCAGCCAGCTCTTCCGCATTGGCTTCTTAAGTACAAAGGACAGAAACATATGAGGAGCTTAAGCAGGACTTTATCTGGGGCTTACTTGCAGGTACTGCTGAGACCACGGGTGATAAAACGCATTGAGAGTTTGCAGTTTTCTGGCTTTGTGTTGTCCTCCTCTGTTGTTTCTTGATCTGTGTGCTTCCCTGGGATCCCTGCATGTTGTTACCAAACTGTGGCTGCAGGCCTGGTCTGAAGCTCCAGGCTATGTATATGGGATCTGACTGACTCAGACTCCTGGGCCTACACTTGCTGCTAACCTTCTACCTTGGTTTACCAGCTTGCCTGCCTTGCTCTTCCTCTGGCCTTAACCTCTTGGGTCTTGGCTCTGAACATCTGGCCATACAACTCCTGCCTTGTCCTGCCCTTGGTTGCCAGTTCTGTTGGGCCTGACTCACTGGCCTTTTCCACCTGGCCTGGCCCACCTGGCCCAGTATCTTGGCCTTACCACCTGGCTTTACCACCCTATGGACTGCAGTTTCAGGCATTATGTATCTGCCTGAACCGCTGACCTCACGTGCTTGTTCACAGCTTTGCCATGCTAACCTTAGCCACCTGCCTGACCTGACCATGTTGTTGTACCTCTGGACATCGTCCCCTGGCCCTATGTTGGGGTTTTGACTAGCGTGGATGTGCTCCCCGGGTCTGTCCTGAAGACAGCGTCCCCGGGTCGCTCTGCTGACCTAAAGCCTAGTGTGACTTTGTGGACTTTCCTTTGCTGGTATTGTGCACCTTGCCCTGGCCAGTGTGACCACACCTTCCTGGCTTTACCCTGATTTCTCTCTGTGGCTTTAACTACTCCCCTGGCCTTGTCATTTGGCCTTCCCTTCTCGGTGGTTTAACAGCCCAGACCTTACCTCTGTGGTTATTAACCTGGTCTTGTGCCCCTGGTCTTACCTGGCCTGAGCTTCCTGACCCACTCTCTTAGCCTTACCCACCGGCTAGTGCTCACCTGCTGTTTTGAACCTCTTGACTCACGGAACTGGCCTTATCTGCTTTGCTGTAAACTTACAGACTTTCCCTTTGGCCCTACCCAAAGGACCTTGCCCACCAGGCCTTGTAGCGATGCCCACCTGTCTTTCCTGAGGTCTTGCCCCTTGTCTGTATTCCTTTTTTACCTTTTCTTCATTTTCCTCCGCCTCCTGGCCTCACCATCCAGCCCCACAATGGTCCTTGGGCACCTGGCTTTGCCATCTGGCCTCTCCCATCTGCGCTTAACCTCTTGTTCTTGCCTGGGTGTTATCCTGACTCCTGGCTTTAATTGCTTAACTTTGATCACCTGCCTTTACTGGTTTCCCGCCTCACCCATGTCCAGGGTCCTGGAGCACCCATCTGGCCTCCCACCTGGCTTTAATCTCCTGGCCTGACCTGCCGTTTTGGTTAGGGAACGGCAGTTGAACCTGTTAGCATGTTGGGTCCCTCTGGCATGGTCCTGATGTCCTTAGAAGCTGAGGAAGGCCAGGAAGATGCTAGTGGCCCTGTGGGCTTTGAGTTGTGCCCTCTCCCACATGACCCTCAGCCGCATCTGTGTCAGTGAGCTGTCACTCCCTTGCTGGCCCAGCTCTGTGCTGAGTACATTCCCACTTGTGCCCAAAGCTCTCCAGGTGGAGTAGCCACAAAAATCTTCAGGCCTGGGCTTTTGCTGGGGTAGGAGGAGAATGCCAGGTTTCTGCAGGGCTCCTGCAGAATGAGGTCCTTTCTCATGTGTTCCTCCTGTGTTATGGTGTGGCTGCCTTGCACTTAGCATTTTCTGGGAGCTTCACCCCTGCCTCAGATTTCTGTGACTGTGTGATTCCGCAGGTTGCAGGTTGTTGGTCAACAGAGCACTGTGTGTCATGGGCTCTGCTGATGTAGCAGGAGCCCTCTGTTTGTCTAGGATGTTATTTAGAGTGCTTCGAGAGGGCCTGTGTGTTAGCAGCTATGGCCGTGTTTCTGTGGATTCTGTATTGACCATCATTGTTGTTCTCTGCAGGCCGGTCTAATTGAAGCCAATGGAGAACTCAAGGTCTTCATAGATCAGAACCTGAGTCCTGGGAAAGGTAAGGACTCCTCTCTGGAAAAGTGTCTGGTGATGATTGGAGTTGAGTGTTGTGATTATGGGCAGCGGGCCACCCCGTACCTGCACCTAACACCTCTGTTGCTAAGCTACACATTCTGTGTGCAGAAGCTTGGCAGATGTAGAACAACATAGAGGAGGGACTGTGGCCACCTGTGTTGCTCACTGGCACTGGGCTGTTCCAGTGCTTTGTCACAGAGAGGCCCTGGTGGCCACTCCTGCCCCAAGTGGAATGGGTGTCTTCTGGGTGGTGTTTGTGCATCTCAGCAGTTCTGGGACTGGCTTTGGTGTCTAGGGATGGGGGAGAGGGAGGGGGAGGGAAAGGTCCGTCTCTGGGCCCCACGATCCTACAGCTTGAAGTTTTGGGCTTTGTTGTCAGGTGATGTGCTGGAGACCCATTGTGTTCTACCCATCATATCCTCGATGTGCCCTGGTTGCAGTGGCCTTCTGTGGGCTGTGAAGGACCCTCTGGGGGCTGCTCTGCTGTCCCTAGAATCATGATGGGTCCTTGGCATTATGAGTGTACCAGGAACCCAGGGCTGGGAGTGCTGGAGTGTTTTGTTCCTTGTCATACACAAGCTCATCTGTTTTTCTCTTATCAGTGTGGCCTTACAGGGTGACCCTGCCCCCTGGGGCACTGAGCCTTGCATGTGGCTGTGCCTGCTGGCTTCCTGCTGCACCTGTCTTTGTCTCTGGTGTCTGCCAGGAAGCAAGCCCGGCCATGTCCTTGCATCGGCCTTCTAGAGCTAGGTCCAGAATGTCTTCTTTCCATCCCACACTTCATGTGGGCCAAAACCGGAGAGGACCTCAGGGCTCAGGTCCAATCTGCATCACCAAGGACTTGCCTGTCTGTCCCCTGTGGCAGGGCCTCCCCATGTGTACAGAGTGGATGTGTGCACAGAACTACTGGAATGAGGGTGCTCTTGGTTCTTTCAAGGTTTGTAGTATTCTCAGCCTGCCCAAGAGGAACGGGGCTCTGTATCTTTTTTTTTTTTTTTTTTTAATCGGTACCAGGGATCGAACTCACGACTGCCCGCTTGCAAGGCAGGCACTTATGCCGCTGAGCTAAATCCCCAGCTCCCGGGGCTCTGTATCTTGCAGATGTAAAAATTTTCAAAAACTGAGACAGGATACTTCCTACCCCAATGATGAAGCAGAAATAATTTCCAGGAAGTGTATGGCTTCATTTCCTTCGGTATGATGTCTCTTCTAGGGTTTATGTTTAACTACTGTCCCTTCTTCAGGAGGATAAGTGTTCTTATCTTTGTGTACAGGCTGTGGCTTCTTTATTCCCAATAGTTTGCCTGTGCTTAGATCTGTGCCAAGTCCAACTGTGATCCAGGCTGGGTGGGGGTCAGGATACACCACACATTTTAGATCCATGGTAAGTCTGACCATGATATAGGGCCAGGCTGGAGGGTCAGGAATCCAAGTGCAGTTCAGATCCATCCCAAATCCAGACTTGGGCTGGGTCCAGGTGGCAAGGTCAGGCTATTCACATGGTGTGCTGGCTCTGGGCCTGGTCTTCTCACTGCTTCTGCTGTTTCTGTCTCTGGCCCTGGTTGGCACCAGGGGTTCTGCCCCATGTAAGCCTGGAATCAGCTATTTCTGCTTTTGGCCATTGGTCTCTGAGTTTTTGCTCCGATTGTCTGGTGTCTGTCTGGGACGCGATGCTACTCCCCATCACAGGCAGGTATTCTGGATTCCCCGTGGTCTAGATCATACCTCTGTGCCAGTTAGGGTTCTGAATCTGGAAGAGTGCATAGTGAGGTCTCCCTTAGCCATACCTGCTCTCTCCACAGAGGTGAGCTCTGCTGTTAGTCTCTAATGAACCTTTTGTAGAATTCCTGTAATAGGTGGACCTTCTGTCTTTCTGTCTGTCTGTCTGTTGAGGGTACAGTCTTCGCTTTCCTGACAAGTGCTGTCCTAGGTAGGGGCATCCAGGTTTCACAGAGGCCTCTCTGTGGACATGATGGCCTAGAGGGGATGCCATGAGACCCAGGGCTATGTGTCCTGATCAGAAGTGAGGGCCTCTGCTATTGGCCCTGCATGTTCCGACAACACCTCTTTGGGCTGAAGGGGCACTCCTGCTGCTCTGCCATGGCTGCTATTGTCATTGGTAGGGTGGCATTGTACGTGTCGCTCCATCGCTGCCCTGAGTTGTTCCTTGGTGCCTCATGGTGACAAACCCAGGGGCTCCTCTTGGCCTCAGCAGTGAAACATCCCTTTTGTTCTCATTTATGGTCCTGGGGATGGAACCCAGCCTCACTCATGCTGGGCAGGCAGGGCTCACTGCAGAGCTCAACACCCAAGGATGTCCTGTGAATGTCACCCACATGCAGTACCCTGTGTGGCAGTGCTTAGTACATAGCCCCCACTCCTGCTCCACAGCCCGGGTGTTGTCAGTGTGTTTCAATGTGGAGGTTCTGGAGTCAGCCCTGCTGTGCAGGGAGCTATGGCAGGGAGAGGCCAGGGAGGGAAGAGGCCAGGAGGATGAGGCAGGGACAGTACTGCTGTCTGTATGACCAGCTCATGACCATTCTTAGCCAGATGTGTCTCGTGTGTGTCTGGGGATACATAGGGCAGAGTCTGGAGCATGACTGACTATGTGACCTACGTGGAAATAGCTGGCAGTTCTCGTCCTGTCATGCTGGTGAGCCTGGGCTGTTGTCCCCACCAGGTCCTCTTCCTCCCAGCTCTGCTCTGTGTTACAGCCTCCAGCATTGTAGTGCCTCCTGCTGCTGCTGCTCAGAAGATCATTTCCATGTCCCGCTGTGTCAGCATCCTCCAGGGCAGCCTTTGGTGTGGGCCTCGAATGTCTAGAGTCTGCAGGACAGGAGTAGACACTGGAGTCTTGAGGCCAAGGTCTTCCTTCAGGAAACCTTGGGTTTGCTTTCAGAGCCCTCAGCCAACTGGACGCAGCTGTGGTGTACAGTAGTGTCCTTTCCTTTGAGGCCTTCCCGAGAGGCTTGCCACTGCAGTCATGTCAGCGGATGCAGGAAACTGCATCCCCGAGACTCAGAGTTCCTCCTCTTGCAGAAAGTACACCAGACTGACCCTCCTGAGAGCCCAAACAGAGCTCAGTGCAGGAATGGACAGTGAGTTCCATGTGGGATGGTGTCCTGGCTGGATTGTCACTTGGTAACAGGCTGGCGTGCATGATGATGTACACTGTGTGTGGCCATATGCCTGTGTCCTCTCGGCAAGTGACCAGGTGGGGAACTGCTGGTCCTGGACCATTTCTCCAGTTGGTGGCTCCAGGTGCTCTGCATCCTCACAGGCCTGCGTGGTATCGGACTTCTGAGCTTTACCTGGGTCCTCCCAGACTGTGGAGGTGGCAGCATTTTACCCAGGTGACAGCCACCTCACTGTTCCAGGGCATGAGTAAGTGTGGAGGACGTCCACTGAGTGAAATCATATAGCAGGATTTTTGAACTCATTTCTTTTTCCCCTTCCGCTTCCCCTCTTCATTTTCCTCTTTCTACGAGCAGTTCTTTGAGGGTTGGGGTTTTATTTCCTTTTTTAATTTTTTCTTTTTCTTTATTTTACTGTTTTTTCTCTTTTTCTTTGTTCTTTTCTATTGCTTTTGTCTAATTCTGTTAAGTTTCTTTTACTCCATAATAGGATCCTTTATCTCGCTTGTCTCTCCTCATTTTTTTTCTTGGTTTTTCAAATTTTACTTCTTTCATTTTTCTATTCCCCGCTGCATCTTTACTAGTATAACCTTAAGTGCTTATTAGTCTTTAGATATGTAGCTAACTCTTGCTATTACTGTTAAATTCTTTTCTATTGTTGGATGTGTAGTTGTTGAATTACCTCATCTCAGTATTGGTTTGTCTTTGTGTTTATACTATTACTGTAGATCTCTTTTCTGTGGTTAAAAGTAGTACATTATTTGTGGAGTTTTTGTTTTTGTTTTTGGACAGGGTCTCACTCTGCAGTTCAGGCTGGCCTTAAACTCACTTTGTAGCCCAGGCTGGCCTCTAACTCATGGTGCTCCTCATGCCTCAGCCTTGTGGGTGCTGGGATTACAGACGTGTTCCAGCCACTGTTCATGCTTAAGTTAGGTCAATATCCAGTTTTTCTTGGGCTCTATTATTGTTGATTTTATTGCTGTCACCAAGGTGGCATAGTTGCTATTAATTGATTTTCTCTATATGTCAGTACCTCAGACTTTGGCACGTATGCACGTGCACGTACACATGTGTACTCATAACACACATGCATGTACACAGAACATGAATGTACAAGGCAACAGAATGCCTCCTAAAATGCCCAAAATTCTCTAAAGCTGATCCTTGGGGCATCAAGTGGAGAGGAGGAAACCACAACCCATATTTTAGAAATGATAAAAGATATAAAAATCAGTAATATGGTGCTTAGTTAGGTCAAGAAAATGTAACTAAACAGGTAACAGACTTAAAAAACAAGATAATTAGTTGAATTTGCAGAAAACACTAATAAAAGGCTAGCTGAGCTAAACAAAATGATACAAAACATGAATGACCACTTTGGCAAAGAATTGGAGTTAATGAAAAGGTACCAAACAAATTCAGGAGAGTAAAAAGTTCTGTTGAAAGTATGGGGAATGGAAGTGACCAATGTGGGAACGTATCAGAGCTCAATTTACTCGGAGATACTTTAGAAACAAAAAGAGAACATGAGAAATGGATCCAGTAGCTGCTGAATGATACAGATAAGATTAAGAGTGATTAGAATTGTGAAAAATCAGAAGACAGCACAAATGGCATGGGAAAACAAGTTTACAAAAATAATAGCAGAAAACGATGCAAATAAGAGGAAAGGTTTTAACATATGGACCGGTGAAGCATATAGAATCCCAGATAGACATGATTGGAAAAGACTTTTTTTTCACAACACATTGTAATCAGAATCCCAGAAGTCTAATAGAAGGATAAAAGTCTTAAAAGCTATTAAAGTGAAACAGCGAATCACTTAACAAAGGTAATCTGCTAGAATTAAGCAGATTTCTCAAAATCAGTGTCAAAGGCCAGGAGAGTTTGAAGAGTTTCAAGCCCTAGAAGAAAACCATTTCCAACCCAGACTGATATATCTTGCAAAATTGTCCTTCAAAACAGATGGAGAAATAAGATTTTTCCATTACAAAGAGCATTTTAAGAAATTCATGACCACCAAACCAATCACATGGATATTCTAAAAAGGGATAATAGAAAACAACAATGCTAAAAGGTCTAATACAGTGAGCACACCAGTGGAGGGAATAAATATAAGTGAATGAAATAAAACCAAAAATAATGCAATGACAAATTAATGAATACTCTTCAGTAATGTGAATGGTCTCCATTCCTCAATCAAAAGGTGATACTGGCAGAATGGACCAGAAAACAAAATCCAGTAGTATGTTCTATACAAGAAGCACATTTAACCCAAAAAGAAATTCATGGACTGAACATCAAAGGATGAAAAATAATATTCCATTGTTTTGAAATATTGCAATGAGGACCTGAAAACACACAGACAAGCTGTCCTATCTTCAGACAAAGAGGACTTCAAACCAAAAGTGATCAGAAGAGGCAAAGACGGTGATTACATATTGCTTAAGGAAAAATTTAACAGGAAGAAAAAACAATTATAAACATATGCACTCTGAACATTGACACACCCAACTAAATGAAACAAATGCTATTGGACATAAAAGATAAGGTAAATACCAACATGATTATAGTGCGAGATCTTAATATCCCACTGTCATGAATAGATCAATTAGATGAAAAAATCAACAATGAAATATCAAAATTGAATCAAAACTTTGTATGTATTTGTTTGTTTGTTTTGTTGTGAGATAGGGTTTCACTGTGTAGTTCTGGCTGGCCTTGAACTCACTTTGTTGTCCTGGCTAGTCTTGAATTCACATCAGTTCTCTTGCCTCAGCCTCTGGAAGCCCAGGATTACTGACATGCGTGACCATGCCTAGCAGAACCAAATCTTTAAACAAATGGATTTAACATTTTCATGATGAGGCTGTAACTCCTATGTCTTGCTGCTGGCTGGCTCTGATTTGAATGTGTTACTTTCCTGCTGACTTGAACCACCGGTGTTTCAAACTGGTGGGAACATGTTAATAGATATCTAGAGCGTTTCACCCAATAACAATGGAGTACACATTCCCAACAGTGCATGAAAATAGTCCAGATACCAGCCCATAAACCATACTTAAGTAAATGTAAAAGAAGTGAAATTGTCTCATGTATATTAAGTCATACTGTAATGAAAATAGAAATCAATGGCAAAAGATACCACAAACAGGTGGAAATTAAATAATATACTCTTGAATAATTAGTAGGTCACAGTGGAAATCAACAAAGAAATTAGTTTCTGGAATCAAATGGTAATGCCAGTACCACATACCACAACCTATGAGACAGAATGAAAGCAGTCTTCAGCAGGAAGTTTAGCATGAGTACCCAAATCAGACAAACAGAGTGAGCCTAAATAAATAACCCAATAATGCCCTTTAAGGTCCTAGAAAAACAAGAATAATCCAAATCCAAAGCTAGTATAAGGAAGGAAGTTATAAAGATCAGAGCAGAAATTAATGAAAATGAAACTAAAACACACACCCAATGAATCAAAGAATTGGCCCTTGGAAAAAACAAACAAAATAGACAAACTCTTAGCCAATCTTACAAAAAAATCCAACTCAGTGCAAATAAAAAGGTGAAATCACAGTAGATACCACTATTTTGAAAATCTGTATTCCGGTAAATTGGAGAATCCAGAAGAAATAGATTTCTAGATACATGAATTATTAAAATGGAACCAAGAAAATATAAAAATCCTAAGTAATCCAATGATAGGTAATGAAATTGAAGCAGCAACTTAAAAAAAAAAAAACTTGGCAACTAAGAAAAGCCTAGGATCAGGTAGATACTGGTAGAATTCTACAAGGAATCCAGGGACCATCTAATGCCAGTACTCTTCAAATTTTTCAGTGAAATTGAAAGGGAAAGAGTATTCTCGAAGTCTTTTCTGGAAGCTAGCATTACCATTATTCCAAAACCAGAAAAGGACCTAGCCAAAAGAAAAGAACCACCAGCCAATCTTAATGAATCTAATTGCAAAACTCTTCAAAAAGATCCTGGTAAACAAAATGCACTGAATCAGAAAAGTCACACATCATGTCCAAATAGGCTTTATCCTAGGAATACAAGAATGGTTTAACATATGTAAATCAGTAAGTTGCAGTAATATATCACATAAACAGACGCAAGGACAAAAATCATATGGTCATCTCAGTAGGTGCAGAAAAAGCCTGTGACAAAATCCAACATCCATTCATGATACAAACCCTGAAGAAAATACAGAAGGGCTTTACCTCAATCTGGTTAAAGCTATTTGTGACAGACTTCAGAATGAGGAAACAAGGAAAGCTTTCTAAATTCAGGAGTTAGACAAAGATATCTGCATCACCACTTCTGTTCAACATAATCGTCCTCAAAAGGCAAAAGCCAGAAATGAAAGGGATGCATATACCAAAGGAAGAGTTATCATTATTCACAGAAAACATGATCCTCTACATGGAAGAACCCAAAAAGATTCACCAAAAGACTCAGAATTAATGATCAAATTCAACATTATAGCAGGATATAAAGTAAGCATTTAAAAATGAATAGTGGTTTGGGCGTGGTGGTACATGCCTGCAATCTCAGCACCCAGGAGGCCGAGGCAGGAGGATCACTATAAATTGAAGGTCAGCCTGGGCTACAAAGTGAGTTCAAGGCCAGCCTGCGCTGCTTAGTCTCAAAAAGACACACAAAATAAAACAATAGCGTTCCTTTACCCCAATAATGAATTCGCAGCAAGAAATTAGGAAGAGGGGCTGGGGATTTAGCTTAGTGGCATAAGCGTCTGCCTTGCAAGCAGTCAGTCATGAGTTCGATCCCTGGTACTGGTAAAAAGGAAAAAGACAAAAAAAAAAAAAAAAAAAGAAATTAGGAAGATGAAAACATTCATAGTAGCATCAAGAAAAATGAAATAGGAATTAACCGTACCAAGGAAGTAATAGACCTCTCCAATGAAAATTATACTCCTCTGAAAAAGGAGCTCACAGAGGACATCAGCAAATGGAATGATGTCCTGTTTCTGGATAGCAGAACTAATATTGTCAGAATGGTCACACTTCCAAATTGGTAAGCAGATTTAATGCAATTCCAATCAAAATACCAACAGCATTCATCACAGAACTAGGGAAAATACCCCTAAATTTCATAGGGAACCAGAAGGGATTGGGAATAGAGAAAGCAAACATTAGCAAAACAGGAGGCACTGCAGTCCCAGACTTAAGATCATCACACAGCTACGTGGTAGAAACAGCACGAAATCCCATGAGACTCAGGGAGCAGAGTGGAGACGCCCTGCTTCCCCTCAGCCCTGCCCACCATCCCCCTGTTCTGTAAGGCATGTGGGGTGCCTCAGAATTTACTTTAAAAACTAGAATATTAGGCTGTAAAACTTTTAAAAATACTTAGTTTAGAAAGACATTGAACTATGACTTTATAATTTGGTGTCTTAAGAAATGTGAATGGATTATGATTAGCTACTGTAAAAATATGAATAATTAGAACCTTTTGCTGAAGATTGCAGCAGTCAGACCATTTATAAAGCTATGTTTGAAAATGTTTTAGTTTCTTTTATCAGTGTATGTTTGTGATATATAATCACACTCACCTTGAAGAACTGGCACATGTATATATGGTGTGGTGTAGCTCCTTTGAAAAGTCTCCTCAGTGTATCTTGCTGTTTAAAGAGGGCTGGTCCCAGTGAGTCTGCGGCTAGGCCATGTCCTGACTAACTCATCTTGTAACTGAGATGCCACCTCAAAAAAGGTTTGTTGGCAGCTTTATCAGGATCATGTGTTACATGTCTAACTCACGTTGCCAGATTAGGATAAAGGGAAATACCGTTTTACCTGAGTCAAAGATAGCAGGGCTATTGGTGTCTGGCTAGAGTGGCTGGGGACGTGGGACACAGTCTACCCCTCCTGGCCAAGGCGGGAGCTGACGGAGGGGTGGGTTGCAAGCAGAGAGCTGAGCTTCCAGCGTCTCTAGCAGAGCAGAAGTTCTGGAAGCATTGCCTTCTTAAAGCCATCAGGTTCAGGCTCATTTGCAGAGCAGTGTGGCCCAGACCTGTGCCCTTGTGTTGCAGGTGTGGTGTCCCTGGTAGCCGTCCATCCGTCCACGGTGAACACGCTTGGGAAGCAGCTCCTGCCCAAAACCTTTGGACAGTCCAATGTCAACATCACACAGCAAGTGGTAAGGTGGAGGGCGGCCTGGGAGCACCATACATGTGCACCTGCAGGCCTGTTCCAGCAGCATAGACACTGGCCGGGATTGCTGATGTCCCTTGGTGGATGCTGACTGGGGTTGCTGATGTCCCATAGTGGACTTCCTGGGTTTGGAGTGCTTGTCCACTGTGACTCTGGTGGAAGGTGCCCTGTATAGTGGTGTTCTGGCATCCCTGATACGTGACTCTGATGAGGTGACAGGTGTAGTGCAGGCTGTGACCCAGGCCAGGTGCACTGGGACCTTTAGGCCTGCACCATCCTGAGCACTGGGAAATAAGGTCACTCTGTAGAGGCAGTGCCTGACCTCCCTGCAGCTGCTGTGCCTTGCAGGGAGCTGTCATGGGGCGGCAGGGTCCAGTGCCTTCCTCCTGTCACAGGCTGGGGCTCTGGGAAGAATGTCTACAGAACCTGCAGAGACAGGTGGTCTCAGAGCGGGACCCCTACTCACTGTCCTGCAGCTCCTGGACCCGAAAGTGCTTGGGTTTCCTGGCAGCCTGGTCTGCAGGATTCACTCCAGCCAGCCTGCCAAGTCTTGGATCTCGGTGATACCTGTACCTCTTGACCTGGCCACATAGTACACCTCTCTGCCCAGCTCCCAGCCTCTGTCCCCACTCAGTCTCTTGCCCTCTGAGGAGTGTCCAGCACCCCCCAGTGAGAGTAAGAGGCATGGCAGTATCCTGCAGGTGTCCCCACAAGCAATCCTGAGTGGGTTCTCCATGCTGCTGTCTTCTGGGTGACTTTTCTGTGTACCCCATTTCTTCAGAGAAAGCAGCCATGCCTGCGTATTTGACCCCTCGTGCCTTTTCTGTTGGATTTTCTGCTTTTCAGTACCATTGAGAAAGCTGAGGAGCCCAGTTTTGTTCTCTTTGTCATTTCTCCAGCTTGTTGGAATGGGTACCCTGGTTTGTGCGACAGAATTCACTTCTTTACCACAGCAGTGGCTTCCTCTTGCCCGTTGTGGAGGGGGGTTGCCCAGAGCACGTAACTGAGGCAGGGGCTTCCTCCTGGGGAGGCCAGACCCCGTTCAGGTAGAGCCTGGTGGGTGGGGCTTATGGTTGCTCTCCTGAGCTCTAGATAGCGCCTCTCGAAGTAGGCCCACATGTTGCAGGTGACTGGAGATTGTTTTATAACCAAGCTTCAGAAAGGCAGCCTGGCCCTTCTGATGTGGTCTGTGAGGTTTTGCCCTGTTGGAGGCCACTGTGCTGGACAGGTACCACGTCCTGCACTGTCCCAGGCAGACCTAGAAGGAGAGGGCAGCCTTTTGCCAGAGGAGAGCTGGATGGCTGCTCCCTCTCCATGACCTCCCTGCTGCTTCTGGCCTTTGCCTGTTTCTCGGATTTCATGTCGGTGGAATCATAGTATCTACTGGGACAATCTGGATTGCAGTTTTGAGGGTGTGAGGGTTTGAGGTGCAGACTCGAGAGGAGATGCCCTAGTGTCTCCTGTAGGTGGGGGTACGCTCAATGGTGGCCTTCTGTGACCCAGGTCCCTTGGGTGACACTGCAGCCAGCTGTGTGGGACGACAGGTCTCTGTGAGGGGGCATGGGATGGGGTCTAACCCTGAAGTCTTCCCTTCTTTGAGTTAGCGCCAGTCCTGGCAGTGAGGATAGGAGAGAGGGCTTCTGTGACCCTGTCACCTCCCCTTCATCTCTGTCATGAGTGGAGACCAGGCTGTCTCCACCTGGAATAGCTTCTGAGCCCTGGCCCTGCCTACCAGGGCCCCGTCTTGGTGTGAATTGAATCTGTGACAGTGCGGTGCTGCCTCCTGCTAGCTCTGAGTGGCTCTTGGGGTGGTGTAGCCTTTGTGCTGGGGTGCCATGCAGAGTGGAGGAGGGTACACTGGCGTGGGGGGAAATGTCCCTTGCGCCACTGGACAGCTCCACATCCTGTCCTTGGTCCACTGGAACAGAGCATATACTCGGCCAGCAGGGACAGCCGTACTGTCCTGGGTGCCGTCTGGAATGTACATAGTGTCATCTGATAGCATGGTTCATGGGTACGAGGCTGCCCTGGGCGGTGCAGACAGCTTCCTGGCCATCCGTTCCTCCCATGTTGTGCCCATGGGGGCTGCTTGGACAGCAGGAGTGGGAAGGAGATGTTTCCTGGCATGCCTGTCTCGGCTGCACACTGCAGGCTGGGGAGCTGGCTGCATGGGACCTCCTGTGCCTGACGGCAGAGAAGCGTGGGGCTCTGTTCCTTGTGGTCCCCTGCAGGCTCTGGGGTAGCTGACAGTGAGTCCCAGGGACACTGTGGTGGCGCTCGCTGGTCTCTGGTTTGTGTGCCTGTGTGAGCCGGAGGCCCCAGCCTGAGTCTTTCCCTGGGGCTCAGGCTTGGATAGCCATGCTGTGGCAGCCCCCTCCGATCATACAGCTCCAGACCTCACGAGGCACATATCCCCACTGTGATCCTGGCTCCGACGTACTGCACACCCACCAAACAGGGCAGAAGCTTCCTGTGGGGTTTCTGCCCTGAGAGATGTCTCTCTCCTGTTGTGTTTGCTTTTGCCAAATTTTGCCAATTTGACTTTATGGACCAGTTCCAGAGAGTGGCCATGAGGCAAGTGCTGCTCATGACTCAGGGCCTCTGTGGTACCAGTAACCAGGCATGGGGCTTCAGTCCTCTGAACTAGCTCCAGCCCGGCATGGTGTGTGACAGCTGAGACATGGGGGTGTCTGCCAAGGAGTTGCGTTTCTCAGTAGGATGGCCCACAGCAAAGCCTTCAAGATGATGTTGAGGCCATAACTTGTGGAGCAGGGTGTGTTTGTGTCCCCTCTGCTGGAGGGGTGGGTGGACGCCTTACTGTGACTCGGGGCCTTACCATGTAGTCTCAGCTGGCCTCAAGCTCACTATGTGGCCCAGCCTGGCTTACCTGTCTTATTAAAAAGAAGTAAAAGAGCCTAAGAGGAACACGAGGAACATGTCTATCTGCCCCAATGTTAAAATCTTGACTGCCACCAAGTCCCATGCACTGTGAATGCTGCCATCTTTGTATCCTTGTCCCCTGTCTTCCTGGGATGACTGCAACATTTACACTGAAAAGGTTGGACCAGTGTCACCTCAGAGCTGGGAGTAGCCAGCATGGGGTGTCATCACTGCTGCCTTTTCTCGTGGTGGCTGCAAGCACCACAGGCAGGTGTGGGAGGCTGCTGACTGTTTGAACTGTCCCCTGCTGCAGGTGATCGGCACACCCCAGCGTCCAGCAGCGTCCAGCACAATTGTGGTCGGAAGCCCACACACTCCGAGCACACACTTTGTGTCCCAGAGCCAGCCCTCTGAGTCCTCGCCGTGGTCTGCTGGGTGAGTGCCTCTACAGCCCCCATGTCTGCCTGGAAGGTCACCCTCTAAAGGGTCACATGGTGCAGTGCCTGTGCTCCTAGCCCTCCTCCTGCCCATCTGACAGCCAACAGAGGTGGGCTATACCCTCCACCTAGAGGGTCAGGGGTTCCAGGCCATGGAGAGGAGGCAATCGTGTCTCCTATGCACATCACAACACCACGGAACTGCCTGCTTTCTGTGTGGGTGCTAGGCTCTGCCCCATGGATGGGCCCACTGGGCTGTGCTACTGTAGTGCTTCTGGCATCTGACCTGAAAGTGGTTCTTCTGAGGATCAGCTGGGTCTTTACTCAAAAACTCAAACACAGACAGGGTCTGTGACAAGACCACCTGTGCCCGAAGTGCAGCTGTCAGAAACTTAGGGACCCCTGTCCACCATGTGGTGACATGCCCAGTTCTCACTGTGGGTATTGTTTCGTCCCGCGAGCACGGATGCTGTGCACCTGTGGGTCCAGGACTGACCATCAGCCAAGTGTGTGCCTCATGTCACGATGGCCTGCCAAGACAAGCCCTGAAAATTCCTAAAGTACGCTAAATTCTGTGGCAGTCTGCAGCCGCTTGTTCTCTCCAGGAGGGTGCCGCTGTGCATGTCTGCGTGGATGTGGTGCCCTCTGCCATGCAGGTGTCCCCCAGGTCACCACTTACTGTGTCCTTGTGTACTGAAGTGGGGCTGACTTGAGGCTCTGGGCAAAGATGGGTGGGCTGCAGGGCTCGGAGGGCCTGGGGCAGGGCTGATGCTGGCATCTTCCTGTCTCCATGTGCAGGAAGCGGAACCGGAAGGGCGAGAAGCACGGCAAGGGCCTGCGGCACTTCTCCATGAAGGTGTGTGAGAAGGTGCAGCGCAAGGGCACCACTTCCTACAACGAGGTGGCCGACGAGCTGGTCGCAGAATTCAGCGCAGCTGACAACCACATCCTGCCCAATGAGTCCGTACGTGTAGGGACCGATCAGAGGGTCCTGGGTGGGGAGGGGCAGGCAGCCCCACCAGGGCTGGAAGTGGTGTTCCTTGAAGGGCCAAGATGCATGGTACCCGTGGAGGAGGCCCAGGTCGCTGGGAAGTTCGCTTCTGTGTCTTCCCAGGCTTATGACCAGAAGAACATCCGGCGACGAGTCTACGATGCCTTAAACGTGCTGATGGCCATGAACATCATCTCCAAGGAGAAGAAGGAGATCAAGTGGATCGGCCTGCCCACGAACTCGGCTCAGGAGTGCCAGAACCTCGAGGTGCACCCTAACCTCCCTTTTCCACACATCATGGGTGCTGTGCCATCCCAGTCCCGGGAGGATCTCAGCGGTCACCCCATGACGTCTGTGCCAGACCCTGGATGCTTCTGCTCTAAATGGATTGAGCTCTGAGCTTGAATGGAGTTTGATTCCCAGCCTTCCTTTGTGAGATTTAAAAAACACCACAGACATCCAGGACAGGGACTGGAGCAGGGCCCTTCTGGAATAGCGGGACCCTGGCATCCTTAGTGTGTACTGTGTCCATGCTTGGTGTGTGAAGTGTGGGCTGGGTTTGCAGTGCACAGTGCCGACCGCAGCGACGGCCCCTCTGCGTGTGTTGCAGGTGGAGAGGCAGCGGCGGCTGGAGAGGATCAAGCAGAAACAGGCCCAGCTCCAGGAGCTCATCCTGCAGGTGGGCACTGGGGGCGTGGCCTCAGTGCTGGAGAGAGTGCAAGTGTGAGCAGACGTGTGTGTGAACTGGTATGTGGGTGTGAGCTTGTGCAGGTGTGCAAGTGAGCAGGCACGTGCAAGCACGAGCAAGTGTGAGTGAACAAGTATGGCCATGAGCAGGTGTATAAGTGAATGAGCAAACAGGCAGATCTGTGCAAGTGTGAGCAGATGTGTGCCACTAAGGAGTAGGTGCGAGCATGTATGCACACAGTGGGCTTATGTTAGCATGTGTGAGTGGGCGTGGTTCTGAGTGTGCTCCCGGGCCTGGGTCTGGCGGGCGATATCCCTGGTGATGTGTGGTAGGGGCTGGTGGTCTAGAGCCTTAACAGCTATTGGTCAGCGGATGGCGCAGGTATTGGGGTTGACGAGTCTATGCCATATGGCCACAGGAGCTGGGGTCCTTGCAGAGAGTCAAGGGTCCCCTGTCTAGGCACAGGCAGTGGTGTGGAAGAAGTGTGTGCAAGGTTTGCTATGGGGTGATGCTGTGGTGCTGAGAGGATCCTGGGAAGCTGGGGTCTCCACCTGATCCTCATACTGAGGGAGGAGGAGGTAGGTGGACCTGCCACCCAGACACTGCGTGTCCTGCCCTTGTCACCTGTTCTTCCCATGCGCCCAGCCTGCCTGCTGAGGCTCCATGTGGTTCTGGGCAGCCCTGCAGCACCCCATCCGGGAAGGGGTCACCACTGTTGCCCTTGGGGGCACAGGGCCAGGTTCTCTGTGGTGTGACCATCTGGGGACCCCAGTATCAGGGCTCACTGCTGAGTGGAATGGGGTGGATGCCTTCTGTAGCCCACTAGCCCATGTCCCCCCTTCTGCCACACACAGCAAGCCTTCGGAAGGGTGGCTGCTCCCAGGGCAGAGGCTTGTGCACTGGTGGCGACTGCCACACAGTTGGCTGTCCCCTCTTTCTAGCAAATTGCCTTCAAGAACTTGGTGCAGAGAAACCGGCAGGCAGAGCAGCAGGCCCGCCGGCCCCCACCACCCAACTCCGTCATCCACCTGCCCTTCATCATCGTCAACACCAGCAGGAAGACTGTCATCGACTGCAGCATCTCCAACGACAAGTGTGTCATGGCGAGCGTGTGGGGAGCGTGCTCAGGGCCTGTCGCTGGCGCGGCACGGTGACAGTATGCCTGTCCCCTGTGGTGGACGCTGCTGGACCCGCTGCCTCTTATGGGGCATGAGGTTTCCTGGCACACGCCTGTCCAGGCGTGACGCTGCGTGCCATACCCTGGGCCCATGGTGTCTGAGCTCTGGGTGGCCATAGCTGGAGCAGGACTTCACCTGAGCCTGGCCGTGTGACTGTGCCCATCGTCCCGCAGATTTGAGTACCTGTTCAACTTTGACAACACATTCGAGATTCACGATGACATCGAGGTGCTGAAGCGGATGGGCATGGCCTGCGGCCTGGAGTCTGGCAGCTGCTCCGCCGAGGACCTCAAGGTGGCGCGGAGTCTGGTGCCCAAAGCTCTGGAGCCCTATGTGACAGGTCAGTTGAGCCCCAGTGGTTGAGTGTATGTCCTAAGATTGGCTGAGCTCAGGCCTCACGGCATCATCACCCACAGGACTGGGGAGCTGGAGCTCATGTGGTTTGTGAGGTGAAGATGTGAGGAAAAGTCAGGGTTTGTCTTCCAGATTGGTGCCAGAGTGAGGAGAAGCAGGGATCTCTGAGCAGCATAACTGGTACAGTGACCCCAAGGAGGTTGACAGCCCTGGGACCTGGCTCCCATCTCAGCTCCCATCCGGCCTCCCATCCTGTTGAGGGACATGGACAACTGATGACATGCTTTGGCTAGGGCTTTCACTAGCTGTACTGGGGGCCCGGAGGCCTGGTCTCTGTGTGAGGATGGCTCTGTAGGAGGCACGTGGAGAAGGTGCCTGTCCTCCATGTCCCTGGATTGGGTTCAGCAAGTTCTTTGTCCTGGAGGGCTCTTGGCCCGTGGACATCTGACCTGTCCACTGTATTAGGGGCTCGGAGCCCTAGCCTGCTGTGAGCCCCCTCCCTGCTGGGCCCCAGGAGATCAGCCGGTCTTACGCAAGTGTGCATCTCTTATCTGAGGTGCTGCTTTCTGCTCTGTAGTGGCTGTGACCCTGACAGGCCTGTGTGGCGCCTTCCTTGCACTGCATTTGTGCTGAGGGTGTGTGTCCCTTGAGGGGGACCTGGCTGTGGCATGTACCATGTGCAGGCTTTGTCCCTGATGGGGCATCCTGGCCGGGTCCCCCAGCATCGCTATGCACAATCCTTTTCTTTCCCTTTCAGAAATGGCTCAGGGGTCCATCGGAAGTGTGTTCCTCACAGCGGCAGGCTCTGCGTCCAACGGCACGAGGCTGTCTGCCAGGTGACCACAAGGCTGAGGTTGGGTGGGACATCACCCGGCAAGGGGGTGCACAGGCTGGGACCTGCATGCTTGCCTCCTCTACGGAAAGAGGCTTCTTTTATTTATTTTTTGATGCTGGGGATCAATTCACGACCTCATGCTTGCATGGCAGGTGCTTGTGCCACTGAGCTCCGGCCTCCTGTTTTTATTTTTAAAGTAGTACAAGAAAAGGGGCAAAATCTACCTCAGCCCCCAAAGTTGAGGGACAAGTGGTCTTCCTGTGTTTCTTCATTTTCTTAAAACAGTTGAGGTCCTCATATATGTAAAATTTTGTTCTCTACTTTTTTCCTTTGCACAGTTTATTATATATATATTGCATGTGCCCTGCAAGAAGGACCTTTCTTCTTTAGATAACTATTTTAACCTTTGATCTGGTAGTCCACAGGGCACAGTGATGTCCCTAGCATTCAATGCTTTTAAGATGCAGGACCCATCCAACGAACCCAGGAAGCAGTTCGTTGCTTCCTGGGTTGCACTGGCGCAACATCCACAGCTCTGCTTTACCCTGCAGCTGACGGTGTGCTAGGCGGTGTGTCTTAGAATGGGGAGATGAATCACCGGGAGTCCATGGGTTAGGGCTTGGTCTGGTGAGGCCTTACCTCTGTCGGGCTAGAGCCGGACTGTGGCAGGCTGAGGCACAGGTGACCACCGGCCAGGTTGTCCCAGCATTCCATAGTGAGCTTCTAGGTTCTTTGCCTTGCATCCGAGGTGCTGGCCTGCAAGGTGAGTGTCAGCACAGGGTATGATTGAGGTGTCATTGGACTGATTTTAGGAATTCCACCTTCAGACCTCCCCCCTTCACTGGCTAAACTTGCAGTCAGCTTGTCAGTTTTTATGCTGGAGTGACAGCTCTGGCTGTTTGCTAAGAAAAGCAGTTTCAGTAGAGGCTGAATGTAGACAGAGGTGCAGGGTGCGGTGCTGTATGAAAGTACTTTCAGGTACTGGCAGTTACCCGGAACACCAAAGGAACTGCTTTGTGAATGTGTCGCTCCCTTGGACCTGTTCTGCCAGGCTGGGTTCCTAGTGCAAGGCACTTGTCAAAAAGTGCCAAGGGGTCAGGTGGGGGCTGTAGGCAGAGTGTGGGGTGGGGTGAGGGGTGGGGTCAGGGTGCTGGCTCAGCGAAGGGCAACAGGGCGGCAGTGCCTTGGCGCACTGTCAGCTTGGCCTGGGCTCGAGCTTTAGGGTGCTGTCTGGTTCTGGCACGTGAGCCCAGGGCTCATCAGAGCCAGACCCTGCCCTTTTCCCTGGCCAGCCATGGGCCCAAGGGCATGCAGGAAGGAGACTTACTGTCTGTCCCACACATGCTGTGGGGTCCCATGCTAGCATGACAATCAGAAAGTAGAGTGCAAGGAGTCTTTAGGACTGGATGGGCCCTGCAGGCCTGGTCCTTAAAACTGTCTGTTTCCATTGCTTTGATTAAAGCCCCGTCCTTGCGGGGTGGTATTGGCCTGCCCTCACACTGGGTGGCCTGGCCACGTGGCACTGACTGCCCTGCTGGCCCTGTCCCCACAGCGACCTGAGCAACGGAGCAGAGGGGACACTGGCCACCAGCTCCAACGGGTCTCAGTACAGTGGCTCTCGGGTGGAGACGCCTGTGTCCTACGTCGGGGAGGACGATGAGGATGACGACGACTTCAATGAGAATGACGAGGACGACTGACACTGGATGCCGTCTCCCTTCCTCTGTTCAGCTTCAGGAATAATTGTTTAGAAGAGAAACTTTTTAATATGAGTTTTTCTTTCTTTTTGGCCTTCCTCGAGAAGGCCCGGTGAGCTGTGGGTTTAGACGCACACCTCCGATAAGCAAGGACTATTCCGCACGGTTTGGAGACGTGCGTGCGTGCGTGCGTGCGTGCGTGCGTGTGTGTGTGTGTGTGTGTGTGTGTGTATGCGTGTGCATGTGTGGTGCCAGTGTGCTGATGCAGAGCCTCTATTTACCTTTTTTTTTCTACTTTGCCTTTAGTTCAGAGTTCATTTCTGTCCCTCAGCAGTGCTTGCTGGGTTTCTCACATTGTACTTCACCCATGCCAGTGACCATAACAAAATGCTGCGCTGTCCTGTAGGACCCAGGTCTCGCGTCCTGTTTGCCGTGTGCTGGGTGGTGCCCCCTCTGGCGGACAGTGGGACTCCATTGTGAATCTTCCCTCTTAAAATCACATGGGAGCGGAAGAACCAAGCAGATAGCAAACCTCTACTTTTAAAATATTGAGCACCATAAATTTTATTATGATTTTGCTTTTCCTTAAATTATGTTAATGTTGCAAACCCATCATACCTGCACACTTTTTCTGTTGTACCAACTAATTGAGACTTGCTTTGTTTTTGTTTGGTAGAAGTTTTCTGCCGCGCTGGAGCAGCTGTGGAGTGTGTGGAAGGGTTATTGCTTATGATAAAATTTGCCTGATTTCTTACAGGCCGCGTTTGGAAACTTTTTATTATATAGTTGTTTACATACTTAAGTCTATCATTTAAAGACATGTACTGAAACAAATGTTGTATTTGTTTCCTAAGCATCTTCATGTAATCTATTATAAAGTTGAAATTAAACATAGAGAATGTTTTAACAGTTTTTTAACTCAAAATTTGTCAATCATTTTTAATAGTTCTTTTTTTATAAAAAGAAAAGAATTTAAGGACAGGCAGTAGTCTCTTTTAAAATTTATTCACAAAAAAACCGTTAACTGCACAGTTGCTGTTAGCTGCCTGTTCTGAAACAATAGTCTTTTTATTGAAACACAAATAAACTTTTCTGTAATATTTTATGGAATATAAAGAGACTTTAATTGTTTGACTTTAACTTGGCACTGTTAGTTTTTATTAATAAAACGCGCATGGGCATTTTAAACAAGTTCTGTCTTTCTTTAACTCAGGGTTACTGTCTTGAAATTATTCTCGCCTCCCAGTCTAGCTCTACATTATGGTGAAGATGCAGGCTGCAGTGCAAGGGCGGGTCTCCGGCTGCACTCCTCCTCTGTCTGGAGCAGGGTCCAGATCCGCACCCCTTTGCTCCCCAGCCTTGCCTGGAGGAACACAGGGCTGAGGGAGGGTGGCCAGGTTTTTGGGACTATGGGTGCTCTTCTCTCTGGGTGCCTTTGTTGCAGGTGTTTTCTTTGACTCTCGTCGATTCTAAAAGTTGGGGAAGATTTTGTGGGTTTCTCTTTCAGAAAAAAATAAGATGGAGAGAAGATTCTGGGAGAGACAGCATGGGATGTACCAGTGTTGCCCTGCCTGACAGTGTCACATGGCAGACTCGGTGGCAGGCGACAGTTCAGGAGCTCGAGACCCCAAACACCGTACCGTCCATGGAGAGTGTAAAGACAAAGGCTCAACGCTGTTGAATCTCTGCTGTTCCTGCCAGGGCCTGCAGGCCACACAGCTTCCCTGGGGACTGGGCACATAGCTTGTGGCTGCGAGTGGACCAAAGACCTGTGTCCTGAGTTTCAGGCCTTGCTCTGGCTGCAACTGCTGCTCCTCCCCTTTGTAGCAGTACCTCCCCTGGACTGAGGTGGCTTCTGGGGATTTCAGGTGCTATCACTTCTTCCCCAACCCTTCCCTCACCTTCCTTTGTGCCTTTTTGGGAGAAGATGCTGCTGATGAGGCCATGGAAACAACTCTTGAGTTTTGGGAATTCTGGAGAGCGATTTCGTGTGCCCAGGGCAGGGTCCAGAGAGACCTGCTGTTCACTTCAGGCTGGGCCCAGCAAGGAGCGGCACAGTAAGGGACGGCCTGGCACTCCCCAAAGCAGCAGTGGAGAGCAGTGGAGGAGAACCTGCTGCCCACCACCATGCCTTGCTTGCAGCAGAAGGTCACAAGGCCTGAGATGGAACAGGCAGACGTGGCCTGTTGGAAGGAAGACTGATCCATCGGACACTTGTCATGAAAGGGTATGGTGCTGGGTGTCCCAGACCAGGACCTTAGACCATGCCCCAATGCTGCTCAGACAACGAAGGAGTGATGTGCAGAGAGGCATGGCGGTGATGGGCAGAATGGGTGGTTAACAGAGACTGAAGAGGAAGCCAGAAGAAACTCACTGCAGCTGGGGCCCTAGAGTATGGTAACCAAAACCTAAAGCTTCCTGCAGCGTGGCGGCAAGGGGAGCTGGAGAACCTGGAAGGCCGATGATGGAAACTACTGAGTCTGGGAACCAAAAGGCAAGGACAGGCCACGAGCCCGAGGGTCCTGTCCCTGCCCCCACTGCGTGCTGTGTGTGGAGGAAGGTGAGGACCGTCTGGAAGGAGCCTGCATGTGGCTGAGGGCGAGGCCTGTGCGCCAGGGTCCTCCCCTCTTCCACTTCCTGCATTGAGTGTCCTGTTTGTCTCTGCCCTCCCTCCACTCTGTGCCTCTGCAGGGACAGGTTTGGGGGCGAGTAGGGTGGGCGTGCAGTGTTGGAGGAGAGACTCAACCCAGGGGATGGGACCTGACCCTGGTGCAATAATGGGGCTCAAGTTCTATCCAAGGATGGCTACTGGCTCTTGCTCTTGCCCCACTCCCAAGACCTTGAGACATCCCTGTGCTGCAGCTGAGATTGTATGAAGGCGGCTTTCAAAGCAGGAAGAGTTTGGTCTTTAGTTGTTCTCCCAGGTTGGGAAAGACATGACTGTTTTACATGGAGTAAGCATAACTTTAATGTGTAATAGGAAATAGGTTTTTAGAAGGCAGAATTCGGAGTGTACATTGCTGTGTGCCCTGTTTGCTGTCAGTGTGTCTATAGTTTTTTGTGTTGTGAATGGGGATTCATGTTAAAGTCTGGAGAAAAAAGTCACAGTGAGGAGGGAGAGCCGCTTGATCCTGGGCCTGGTTCATAGGACAAGCACTGCCTTGGGGCAGCTACGGGAGCCCCACACCTCATCCTGGCTGAGTTTCCTTCTGAAGCAGAGCAAAAGGGCCAGTGCAATGGCGCATACCTGAAATCCTAGCTACGCAGGAGGCTGAGGCAGGAGGATGGCAAGTTCAAGGCCAGCCCCAACAATTTAGTGAGACCTTGACTCAAAAAGAAAAAGCAGTATGTGGATTTGATAGGGAATGACTGTAGCGAGAGCCGGAGCTGAGAGCTTCTTGGCACTGCCATGTGTGTGAGGTGATGGGGGGTTCTCTGGTGGGCAGGGCCTTGGCAGGAGAGGCAGGCCTGTGTTCACTGCGGCTGGCCTGACTTTTACTTCTGAATCCTGAGCTTGAACTCCACCTTCCCTTCATAGGGGTCGTGGGGGTTGTCGAAGGTGACGTGGTCAGCGAGGATCTTGCACACGATGACGACTTCCAAGTTCCAAGGGATGTTGAGAAACTTTGCTGCCACCAGAGGATTGCTGTAGTGGGGCTGGGGACACAGAGGACCCTAGGTCAGGGCATGGGTCTTCCCAAGTACCTTGGGGAGAGCTCTAGAGGGGTCATGGTGACCGCCTCTGCCCCGGTGTGGCGGACAGGGCTGGGGCGGTGTGGGTGGGTGTGCAGGTAGAAGAGGATTTGAGAAGCCCTGGAAGGGAAGGGAGTTAGGGCTGCGTGAGCTGAGCGACTCTGGGGCATTACTGGGGAAGCTCAGCTCGTGAAGCAGCGGGGCCTGGCCAGGGCCTGCCTGGCTTCCTGTGCTAAGGACCACTGCTTCCCTGTGTGCTCAGTAAGAGGTTGTGGGAGCTGTGGGTGGGGCGGAGCGAGCAGGCATCTTACCTGTGCTTTCTTCCCATAGTAGGGGAAGTAGTGTAGACTGAAGGTGCCGTTGGGTGGGTAGTACTCCACCTGCAGGGTCCTGGGGTCCCCGTGGGGCTCGTCCTGCATACAAGAAGCCACAGCTGAACCTGAGAGGCGGGCTGTACAGGCAGGTGTGTGGGAGTGTGTGCGTGTGGTGAGCTGTGTGCAGGGCTCACATGCACGCTGCCTGCCTGTTCTTGGCTGCTGTTCTGCCTACTGAATCTAGTACTCAGCTGCGGTCCTTTTATGTTTTGTCTGAGGTATGGTCTCAGTTGCCCCGGCTGGGCTCAAACCTGCAGGCCTCCTGCCTCAGCCTGAGTGCTGGGATCCGGGATGTGTGTTACCATGCCCAGGTTAACTATAGTCAACTTCAGAGCTGAGCCGGACAGGAGCTCTCTGTGCACAGCCGGGGCCTTTGTACTGCCAGTCCCATTGGGAGCCCCATGGGTAAAGTGCAGCATGACCAGGGTTGCGCCTTCTTCATCTGCAGCAAGACAAACTATGCACTCAGCTGCCAACTGTTCAGTCCGTGTAGCTTTCTGGGGTCAGCACAAACAGGTTCCAGCAGGAGCTGGAACTCCTACGGGGAGCTTGAGCTCATCAGAGATGCCTTGGCCTCTTTTGGGTGTCGGGTCAGCCTGCATGTGTGGCCACAATAACCAGAGAAAGGGAAAACCCAGACTGCAACCCAGAGAGAAGCAAGGCTCTGGGGGACCGATGTGTCCACAGACCATGTAGGGCCAGGGCTTGGGGTTCAACATGACTGAAAACAGGCTTAGCTTTCATGTGTTGTTCTTGAAAGGTTCTTTTCTGAAAACCCCGGCGTTTATGCAAGAATGCTCACTCTCATGGCCAGGGCAAACACCTGTTGTGGGGGCATTCTGGGGTGTTTGCCAATGAGCCCGAGGAAGGACAAATCTGGTACCAGCAGGTGCTTTCCCAGGCCACTGCCAAGCATTCTGCATTGGTACCGTCTTCTCTGACATAGGACCAAGACAGAGCATGTTCCCTTCCTGTGGGTCTGCCCCCGCCAGCCTTTGGGCGACACTCATCCCAGTGTGCCTGACTGACTGATGATTGGTATGTCCCTGAGAGCTGGTCAGGTCATTTCCATGCACCCTTGGCAGTCTGGGGACCCGGGTCGTCCCAGGAGCCCAGCCAATGCATAGCAGTCACTGCCCAAGTCTACTCACCAGGAAGGCACAGTCCACACGGGGCGGCGTGCTGTTGCTGGGGAGGAACTTGACGATCTGTGAAGGAAAGGCACTAGTGTCCCGTCCCGAGTGCTGGGCTGCCCAGGCCCTGATGGTGCTCTGGCTGCAGTCTCCAGCCTAGGCTCTGGTGGGACCCTGGGCAGCTCAGGAGGATGACTGCACATAAGAGTGTGGCTTCCTCCAGGGAAGTGGATGTGAGCACTGTGGCCTCTGGAGTCCCACTGCCCATTAGTCCCTGGATCAGGGACCCTGGGCCCTCTGCCTGGGCAGCTTCTGCTCTTTGGGCCTCTTCCCTTTGCCTGCTGGATGGATAGCACTGTGCCCTGTGCCCGCTGGGTGGATAGCCCTGTGCCCTTTCTGCTGATGCATGTACAATTCCACATACCAGTGGGGCACAGTGTCAGGCATCACTAAAGCCCTGGTGACACCATGGTGTGGACTCAGGACCTGACTTGGGCAGGTGCTCTGCTGTAAGAGGCTCCGGGCACTGCCAGTCCCATAGTGCCTACTCTGCAGTCTGCACAGTGTCCTGGCTGTGGGGGCTGGTGGGCACTCGTGTCTGCATGGTGGGTGCATGATAAGTGGGGCACAAAGAAACACAGCAGGTTCCCAGGGGAGACTCCACTTACCCTGTTCATTTTGATGATGAAGCACGGTTTTCCATCCTCAAAGCCGAAGCTGGGGTCTACCAGGCCGGAGCAGTTTTGCAGCATGTCTGCTGTGAACTTGCAGGAGAACTTGGTGTGGTTTGGGGCCCCGAAGCTCTCCTGGAAGAAGTACTTCTCGGAGGAGCAGTTGATGCTGCCCCTCTGGGATGCCGGGGTGTAGCCTGCAGGGACACAGCACTCTGTCCACTCTGCCCTGACATACTTTCCTGGAGCCCTGAGCCTGGAGCTGTGGCCGACTCTGCTTACCTGCCAGGAAGGTATGAAGCATGTGCACCAGGCCCGCCCAGGAGCTGTTATCTGAGGCATTGTAGGAGATGTCCAGGCCTCTGTCCCCATATACATCTGGCCGCAGGGTCACTCCTGGGGAGACAGTGCCATCTGACTTCTGCAGCCTGTGCCCGAGTCTCAAGCAGAGCCCCTGGAGATCTGATCAAGGTGGGGCCTGGTCCTTGTGTACCCTGAGAGGAGGACGCAGGCCAGGTTGATTCTGGCCAAGGAAATGTGGCCAGTTTGGGCCCAGGACCCCTGCCAGCCAGCCAGGACCCGGAACAGTTGTTGTCAGGCTCTGGCCTGTCCCCCAGAGGCATGTGTTCTACAGGGATAGGTCCTGAACCTTTCGGAGCCTCAAGCAGAGACTTTAGCCAGGTCTCCAAGTGAAACTATCTGGGTGCACATTAAAAATCTTCCCTGGCTTTGGTTACAAATGAAAGCAGTTGGATGGCATCTTAGTTGTAAAAATAATTAAAAGCCAGTGTACAGGAGTGAAGGGAGTTGAAGCGATGTGGTCACTGCCCACTGCCTGGGCTATGCGGCCCTTCCTGCTCCCCAGTGCGAGCTCCTTGGGCTCTCGTGGCAGCAGAGCCTGCCAGCCCCTCACCTTTCCTGCCGGCTCGCTCTATCCATAAACACTGAAGACAGCCCTAGCAGCCTGTTCCCTGGAGGTGGCTGCTTTGTGAGTACACAAGGGGCCCTTTTCTGTTTTAATGGGTATTGTGAAAGGAACAGACATACTGGTTTAAAGCAGAAACCTGTCAAGGAGAAAGGAAAGGGGGCAAAGGCCGCGGGCCTGGTGGCACACGCCTGTGCACCTGGCATTCTGCAGGGCCAGGGCAGGAGAAAATGAAACTTGAGCCCAGCATAGCTGGGCAGCATAGAGGTGGTTTAGCAACACTGTGTCTCAGAAAACTTTTTTAAAAGGCTGAGAATGTAGCACTGGGTGAGGGCCTGGACTCAATCCCCAGCATTGCAAAAAAGCGATAGCATACAAGCAGTAACTGGGGAAAAGGCTTCGACCCCCGTTTCCTGGCTGCTGGGCAGCAGGACCCTGTCTTTCCTCATCCTCAGCAGCTTAGGGTGATCACTGGCCATCCTGTTGCAGTGCTTTCTCCTGGTGTCCGAAGACTCTCTCGCCCGCATGAACTGTCCTGTGCGCATGACTACACATGAATGAATGGACTGAAGGCAAACCTGTCTCTATAACAAAAGCCTTCTCTTATAAATAATCAAAGTACTTCCAGAGTCAGACCACAAGTCAGAGAGTCTTCCTCATCAGACAAGGCTTTGGATCTCCCTGCTTGGGCCTGCAGCTAAGTACATGTGTCTGGCCTGGAGCATTGCTGGAATTCAGACCTCCTGGTGCCTACCTGGCGACTTCAGCTGGTCCTGGTAGTCAGGTGTATACGGGTCGATAGTCTGCATCAGCACATAGATGCACAGCGCAAAGAGTCCGGTCATCACCACGTAGAAGGCCACATAGTAGAGGCTGATCCACACTGCAGGGAGAGACCGAGCATGGGGTGGTGGTTGGGGTGGCACCCACAGTGCAGACCTCAACTCACACTGACCCTCTCTCCCCATCCCCTCAGTGCATGACCCCTACTCTTCACAACCCCGGGCTTCCCTTGGAGCCTCCACCCCCCAGTCACCCCGCCAGCGCACTGCCCCATACAGTCTTGTCATGGGACCTGCAGAGCCAGCATCTAGAGCACTCTCATCTGAGTGAGTCCTTGTGCCTGTGCTGTCCCCATCGCTTTCCCTTCCCCACGTTGTCGCTCCCACCCTGTAGCAGATCTGAGATAGGAGGTGGGGCATGACAGAGCTGGCTGGGGGATGAGCAGGACCTGTCAATCCCAAGACACCAGGGCAAGGCCACACCTGGAGGTAGAACTTCTTTCGAGCTTGCTTGGGATGTGGATGACATAAAAAAGAGTGACCAGCATGGAAAGCCACTATCTAGTGCGAGTTTGTGTGGCAGTCTGTACCACGTTTCTCTGACTTGATGTGTACATTTATTTTTATTTCTACCCTTTTTCTCTTTGTTCAGCCCAAGTTTGCTCTGAAGAGCTGGTTTCTTCCATAGCTGTTTAACTCACACTTTGCAAATAAACTTTTGGCTTGTCTCATCCAATTCTTTGTTGGAGACAAGAAGGGCCTGGCTGCCCTGTGACAAAGCTCCTGTGCAGGCAAAGCTCCTGTGGCAAGGAAGTGGCCTGTGTGTGCTGCCAGTCTCCAGGCAGTGTTGCGCTGTTAACCCTGAGGCACTTGGCCGTGCAAGTGTCATCCCAGCTAGCACCCGTGGCTTGTCCTCTGCACCTGGGCAAGAGTGACTGTCCCCCCATAATATGAAGGGAAACTGAGGCAGTGAGGAGTTACTGCCCTGGCCACTCCCACATGCGCTGCCTGGCACTTGTGCTTCTCCAAGTCCTGTGGGGAAGTGGGCAGTGAGGGCACACAGGATGGATGGCCCCACGCAGCCTCTGGTCCAGAAGCTGACACAAGAAGGGTGATGGCTGCACTCCAGGCTGCTGCTCCAGCTGTCTGTCCTGCCTCAGAGCCTCTCCCATGGCACAGCCCTGGGCCGGACACAGCTGAAGGAGCCAGGCCTCCCATTTCCAAACTGCTTGGTGGAAGCAGATGTTTCGGGGGTGCAGAGGGCGGTGTGTGAGGTACACCTCCAGGACAGTGCCTTGCGGTGTGGCTTGTTACTCTGGGGACCCCTTCAGTGAGTCATTGTCCAGAGTCACATGGGCAGGGTGGGAGGGGGGTGGCAGGCTGGAAGTGATGACCCCGGGGCCACTATGTGCCTGGTGGTGCCACTTGTCAGCTGGGATCTCTGGGGAACCAGGCTAAACCTCTTTGTGCTCATCCTCCTCCCTGGGGATGTAGGATCAAGGGCAGTGCACCCCAGCTTGAGATGGCCTTGCCACATGGAACATGTCTGTGTATGGTGGGCCGTGCTGGTGGGAAAGTCGTTGAGTTCACAGCTGTGGCAGGGCTCGCCGCCTTACCTTGGTGCTAATGAGGTGATGCCCCCCTTGGCTGTCAGTGGGCTGAGGCATGGTGTGTGCTGCCATCAGCTGCTTAGTTCCCTCGCCCCACTTTATAGATGGGGAAATCGAGGTTCAGAGGGGTCAAGGCCTACTCCCTGCTGACTGCAGGTGCATGGAAAGTGATGGGACAGGGGGAAATGGCCTCGGCCTGGGTCTGGCAGCCTCGCTGCCACCATCAGCCACTTGGCTTCCATCTGACTTCAAGAGGTTGCTCATCTGGGGTTGGGACACAGACTATGAGAGGAATGGGGGTACCCTCAAAAGTAACAGCCCATCCCTTTGCTTTTGTTGTCTCATTGGGCTAGTTTCCTTGGTCCCGAGACCCAGCCCCAGACCCCAAGGCTGAATCCACACCTTGGGCCTGGGACCTTTCCAGAAAGTTCTGAGGGGCCTGGAGGCCAGCAGGGCAGTTCTGGGGAGCGTTGGCAGCTGGGCCTGCCCACCTGACAACTCTGAGGGGACAATGGCACCTGCATCCTAGCTCTCTTTCTTTTTTAAAAAATCTTTTTGAGACTTGGTCTTACTATGCAGTTCAGGCTGGATTTTAACTCATTTTTTAGCTCAGGCTGGCCTCCAACTTGTAGCAATCCTCCTGCCTCAGCCTCCCGAGTGCTGGGATTACAAATATGTGTCACCACACCTGGCCTGCACCCCAACTTCTGCCCATGCCCTGTCTGTTCTCCTCCTAGCCTGACAACTGAGCACCCTGTTTGGGGTTCCATTGGCCAAGTTTGCTTTCTGCTCTCAGGCTTGCTGTGCTGTTTTAAGTCACATCAGAGAGGCAGGACGAGTTTCATGTCCCCTTAGGTACAGACTGTGGACTCCCATAAGTCATTGATGCCTTTGTGGCTGAGATGGGGGATGGATCGTCGTCCCCTGTTCAAAAGCGAGACCTCTGTAAATCTATAGGGCTCACCCTCAGCCCCTTGGGTCAGTCAGAGAGGTTGGCCTGGGTCCACATCCAATGGGGTTGCCTTGCAGTGGGTTACACCAGCACCCCTCTCCCCAGACAGGACAGCACTATAGGGCAGCACCCAGGGGCCCACGAGATGCTCCTGGCTCAACAACCAGGCCACCAGGGCCCAAGGGGGCTGTGACGCTGTTCTGGGCTCACTGAGAAGTTTGTGGAGGACTTTCCCTGTGGGGCTGCCTGTTGTCAGTGAGAACATTTCCGCCCCCAAAGGGCCCAGGTGGCTACCAACTCCAGCAGGGAGGGGACCTGGTGGCTCATAGCCCCATGCAGCAGTGTCTTGTGCACCCAGGGAAAGCGGGTGTTGAGATGCAGCCTGAACAGCAGGGGGCGCCCCAAGCACGGCTCTCATGTGGTGTGTCCCAGAGACTGTGCCTCTATTAACAATTGTGTGCGTCACCTTACCCAACCAGAGCCACCATCACAGCCTCCAAAATGCTTTAAAGATTTAGCTTGAGAATCACGGTTTTTAAAATGCCATTTTCAAGCATGCTGTGGAAATTCAAGGCCACGTGAGTGCTGCTGCCTCCAGGGCCAGCTGGGGCCTGGGATGCCTAAGCCCTGTCCCACAGGATGTCCTGGCAGAGGCCCTCTGCCCCTCCCTGCCCTCCAGGGAAGGGAGCTGAGCAGCTCCCCAGCATGCCCACACCTACCCCAGCGGGCGGGGGTGCGGCCCAGCATCTGCCCTGTGTCAGGGTTCCAGCAGTAGTGCCGGAACTCCTCCATCCTCTGGCTGCAGGTCTTCTTCTCCTGCAGGGCCGCCATGTTCCCTTCTGGAGGTCTCTCCTGCTCCCAGCCGACTGGAGACCTGTGCCCTTCCCTCGGCTCTTATAGCTCCTCGGGAGGAGGTCAGAGGCACCTGAGCCGTGGCTATCAGCTCTGCCATCGTCTCCAAACATAAGAGGGCGCAGGCCCTGCCACGGTACAACCCCCGTGTTGTACCCTTCCCTGTGTCCTGGCACTGGCATGCCCTTGGGATGCCCTCAGCTGGTGAGTCTGTCGCTGGCCTCCTTTGGGAGGTGAAATACAAACATACAGAAATGGGCAACAACCTGGGCAAGACCTGCCTTCCTGGGACGAACACTTTCAACCTTCAGCTCCTGGAGTGACCCTGCAGCCCTTGACCTTGAGTATTTGTTCCCATGCATGCAGGCAGAGTGGCTTCACAGTGGGGAAAGGCCAGCCTGTGCATGAAGATAATGTCCTCTTGCCCCTTGGTGGGCAGTGCAGTGCCCCGTGGGTTTCTGCGTTCCTGGAGGAGCCAAGTCACCATGGCAGCAGCTGCTTCGCACCAGTGCACTCTGTGCCAGCATCTTCAGGGTGTGTTGCCATGAGGCCTGGCATGAGGGGGCTGGGCTGAGGGCCTGTGGGGAGAGTGTTGAGCCATCCACAGGGGTGGGCTACGAACACTGAACCCCACCCCGTTCCTCTGCCTGAGGCTTGAGCTCCCAGTGTGCAGCCAGTGCCAGGACCTAGAGGTTTCCTGTGGCTGGCACAGGTCCGCAGCAGCCTCTCCCAGGGAGGTGAGCAGAGAGACCAACAGGGGGAATAAGCTCAGGGCTTCATGTGTGTGGGGCCACACTCAACTGAAACATGGGTGCCAACACGTAGGCTATTGCACTGTTGAAATCATGTTTATGAGTTCATTTCCTGTCACAGTCCCCAGGCTTTCTCCCTCAGGGACCCATGCAGCCACACAGTTTCTTTAGGAAGAACAAGGAAAACTCCTATGGCCACTGCTCAGCCTTTTTCCTTTAGATTGGCTCAGCTTGCCTGTGAAACAAGCACGATGACAGAAACAGCCCTGTAGTGACCCGAGTGGTCTATGCCTGGGGGGGCACTGACCGGCAGAGGGCAGTTTCCCTGGAGCATCACGAGAATGCAGAGCCAGGGAGGCTCCACATGAAGAGAACCCCGACTCCATTGCCCCGGTACATGTGTGGCACCAAGTCCATCCAGTGGACACTCAAGGTGGTGACCACTATTCAGTGTGACTTAGTCACTGCCCATGGGACCAGTGAGGCCACATGGAGGCAGAGCTCCTGCCCAGCCGACAGTGACGAGGAGCCCTCAGTTCCTGGGGACGGTTCGGACTTCCACCTCTCTCCGCAATGGAGGAGCTCCTGTTGCTAGGTGGTGTCAGAGAAACAAATGGAAGTGAGAGGAAATGGCTGTGTTGCTACCGATAATTGGTCATCACACAAAGAACTAGGAGGACCAGCAGGGTCTCAGGGTCAAAGAGACAGGTGTTCAGTTACCAGGCCCATGGTTATGATGCTTTAAAAAGTAATGAGAAACGCACTCAAAGCAAAGAAAAAGAAACTCAGTAAAGAAATTGAAAGTTTAAAGAAAGAAATAGAGCCTCTAGTGAATAAAATGGAAAATTTTGATTTGAAAATACAATGATCAGAATAAAAAAGCATGAAGAATGGGCTGACTAGTCCGATGTGGAGACACAGTAGAAAGCGCCAGGGACACGCAGGGCTGCAGGAAACTCGCGTCGTGAGAAAGGCTGGCCCTGGCGCTGGTATGGCCCAGAGGAATGCTAGAGGCCACAGCTTCAAAGTGCCCAGCTGAGAATCCTCCAGTTTGGCAAAGACATAGACTCACAGATCCAAGAAGCTGAACAAACCCAAGCAGGATGCCCCTGCAATCCTCACCAAACGCACCATCATCAGACATCTGAAAACTGAAGACAAGAAAAAACCTTAAAAGCAGCCAAAGAAAAGCTACTTGAGGGGCTGGGGCACAAGCACCGGCCTGGAAAGTGCAAGGTCCTGAGTTCAGTTCCTGGTACCCAAAAGGAACAGCTCTGGCACGATCTGTTCTTTTCAGGAGCGGAACAGAGACGCACTAGGCTGCGACGTGGGTCACAGAGTAAGTCGCAGCACATTTAAAATAATTTAAATCCTGCCATGAGAGTTCTCCAGCCACCATGGAATCAGAGTAGGAATTAATAACAAAAGGCAACAGGAAAGCCTCAAAACACATGGAAACTCTAACACACTCCTCATAATTGAGTTGAAGAAGAAGTCTAAGGGGAAAACTTCAATAAATCTAAAGGATGAAAAGAAAACACAAATACAATCTGCTGAAATCCATGGGATGCGGTTACAGCAGCATTAAGAGGAAATGTTAAGGCACTAAATGTGCGTGTTAGAAAAGATGCAAAGTTTCAAATGAAAAAATCTAAGCCTTCACCTCACAGGCCTAGGAAAACAAAGGACAAAAACAAAAATCAGCAAACAGGAGAAGGAAACATGAGAATAGAAACCAATGAATTTGCAACACAAAGCAGTGGAGAAAATCACTGAACAGAAGGCCCATCCCAGGAAAAGATCGGCAAAGCTGGCGAATTCTGCAGAGAGGAGATGCTTGTCACTGGCGTCAGGAGTCACACGGAGACATGGCCGCTGGCCGGCGACACCCCAGCAGTCGGAGAAGGTGCTATGTGTTTCTGCACAGGACCTGGGCACTGTGGAGGACGCGGACTTCCTTGGAACACAATTCACCCGACTTGGAACAAATCATTGAGGAGTCCTATAGCCATCAAGGAAATTGGCTCCATCATTTTAAAGTCCCCCGACAAAGAAGCCTCCAGTCCCAGATGTTTTTGTGGGAGAGTGCTACCACATGTTTAAGGAACAATTAGTACCATTTAAAAAGCCATATCTTCTGGAAACTGTAAGGGCAGAGAATATTCCCCAACTGATTTTAGGAGGCCATTATTACCCTAATACCAAAACCAGATGAAACAATACAAGGAGAAAACCACAGACCAACATCATTGATGAAGTAGGCATAAAAATCCTTTACAAATTGGTAACTGAGCCCAACAGTGTGTGAGAAACACACTTCATGACCACATGGGATGCAAAACTGGCTTAACCCTAAAATCAGCTGGTGTGGTACATTAACAGAATACAGGAAAACCCCAAGAGCAGAGTGATCAGCAATGAAAGCACCTTTGACCAATTCAGTTCATTTACTATGGAAACTCTCAGCAAAGTAGGAATGGGGCCGCTTTCCCACTGTGACTTGACATACACAGAAGCTGAGTGACTCTGGCTGATGAGGGGTGGGCACCACCCAGCCCAAGCTCAGGTCAGGAGTCTGCTCTCCCGTCCTGCTCAAGGCTGCACCAGCAAACCAACAAAAGCAGTGAAGCCGTCCTTGCTACAGGAACAGGGTGCCACACGCAGACTCCCCCAAGTGGACCACAAGGCTGCCAGTTCCTCCCCACTAACCCCGGACATGTGGATAACACCATTAAAATGCAGTGCGTTGTAACTGTCCCAAGCAAAATGGAATGCTCATCTAACACCACAGGTATGCAACCTGCAGCTTGAAGCCCGAATGGAAGGCTGGCAGGGAAGGAGTCACAGGCTGGGTGCGTAACACAAGTGCTGAGCACAGTTCCCATCCAGGAGAAGATTTACAGAGATGGCAAAGAAACCAGGGAGGCATTTTCTTTTCTTTTTAGCACTGGGGATTGAACTCATGATCTTGCACTTGCCAGGCAGGTACTTATGCCTCTGAGCTAAATCCCCAGCCCAAGTTATTGAATTCTTTTTTTTTTTTTTTTGGTACCAAAGATCGAATTCATGACTGTGCGCTTGCAAGGCAGGTGCTTATGCCACTGAGTTAAATCCCCAGCCTGGTGTTTTCTTCTGTATTGTGAATATAGCTCGGTGTGTGTATGTGTGTGTCCCTGTGAACAGAATTAGGGATTGAACTCAGGGCCTTTGCACTGATCTACAACCCCAGCCCATTGTTAAATTTTAAATTTTGAGGCAGGGTCTTGCTAAGTTGCCCAGGTTGGGCTCCAATTTGCAATCTTCCTGCCTCAGCCTTCTAGAATGCAGGGAACATAGGCATGTGCCACTGTGCCTAGCTGAATGTAGAGTTTTTAAAAGAACTTTTTATAAAAAGTTTTTTTGAAAAACAAGAATAAAGGGGAAAGACTATCTACCCCATTTCAAAGCTTGTGAGATAGCCACAGTGGTCAGGAGGGTGCGATATGGCTAGAAAGAGACATAGAAACTGAAGGGACAGAAGGGGAAATGCAGGAACAGACCCAGGTATGTCCCGCTGGCCTCCTTCCAAGGTGAAGAATAGATCCAGTGAGGGAGAAGCAACCTTTTCAGCGGGCAGCAAACAAACCAGTTGACCAATCCAGAACCCATCTCACTGCTTCTACAAAAATGAGCTCAAAGCGGGTCAGGAGCTTCAGTGTAAACGGAACAGGGCAAAACTTTTAGGAAGAGCGTGTCAGTCCTCAGGACTCAGGCTGGGAGGAGGGCGCCTGGGTTTCCAGGGAAGCACAGCGGTGCGCGGCAGAAGCTCAGAGGGGAAGAGGAGACAGGCGCCACCTGGCGGGGACATTTGGGCAAAGACCTGCCTGTGTCTGGGAAGCAGAAGGACTCTCCAAAGTCAACGGCCAAAAGCAAACACAGGATAGAACAGCCAGGAGACGCTAGGAGTTTTCCTGGGGAACAAAAGCTAAAGATACGAGGGGCAGCAAGTGCCAGTGATGGTGGTGACAGACACTGCCCCGGTGGGGTGTGGAGGAGCTGGGGCTTCTGTGCTTTGGTGGGTGGGGATGTGTAAAGGGTGCAGGGTCTTGGAAAACAGCTTGCCAGCTTCTTATAAAGTAATCATGTGAGTCCAGGCCTCCTAGAATCACTCTTATGCATTTGTCCCGGAGAAGTGGAAGTTCACTTTCACATGGAAACCTGTACAGAAACTACACAGCTTGTTCATGGGAGTCAAACACTGGAAAGGGCCCAGAGGCACTGCCATGGGCAACCGGGAATGGTGGAGACTGACAGAGAAAACTGCTCAGCTGGGAAAAGAGGTGCTGGTTATGCACTGGGGGTGGCAGGGGGCCCCTGAGGCTGTGGAGTGACGAAGCTTCTCCCCAAGGGCAGCATGGCTGGGGTCCACTCCCACAGTGCCCAGCGGTGGCTGAGTATGGCTGGGGATAGGTCTGTCTCCCCCAGGGAGAGGGGAGTGGTGCACAGGGTGAAGGGAGGGTCTCAGAGGACCATGTCCTGTGTCTAGGTGGCACTGGCCTCTCAGACCTGGCTACAATGCTAAGATAAAGTTGGGGCAGGGACAACTGCACATGGATCTGCAGTTACCACAAAATAAACATTTCTTTAGGGTTTGGAGGCCTGTGTGGTCGGCTTCTCACCTCTGAGTCCTACATAGGACTACATAGGCACTTACTGGCCCTGTAACTGGCCCTGTGTCCCAGCCCATGGTAACTGGCACAAGGACATCTCTCAGAGTGCCCCCTGTCCTGACCAGCAGCTCCTTGGTGCCCCCAACCCCACCCCTGCCTCTGGTGAAATCTGAGTTTCAGCAAGGTCTGGGGCACAGGGAACACTGGGAAGCTCAGCAGATTCTGTGCTGCATGGCTGTGCCCAGCAGAGTGTGCCACTGTCCCCTCAACCCTGAAGCCTCGCCAAGTCACCTGCTGCTGAGTAGCAGGGTGGAGGAGTGCAGGTCTGCTGGGGACACAGAGCTGCTGGTCACCTCAAATATTTACTCACTGGCGCCTGCTTGGACCCTGCCAGGAGCCTGTGTGGACTGTGCTGTTCAGCTTGCGGGTGCACGTTGTCCCTACCCACAGGGTCCCCTGCCTCCTGGATGAGCTGGTCCCTGCCCAGCACACTTCCCTTTGCAGCCCTGCGCTTCCCCCATGGGCACTGAAACCAATGCTGCCCATGCCCAGGCTGTCTCCCCAGGTGAGTCTCAGTGTGCCCTGCTGTGTGCCTCGCCCAAATCTGAGAGGTGCCCAGGTGTCCTGGGTGTGCCCCAGCTGTTTTGGGAGTGGCCTCTGTGTGTGTCAGGGGTGTTCTGGGTGTGCCCCACCTGAATCTTAAGTGTGGCCCAGGTGTCTTAGTGGTATTCAAATGTGTCTTGGGTGTGCCCCAGGTATGTGTTAGGTGTGCCTCCGGTAAGCGTCACTGGAATATCAGGTGTGCCCTGGTGTGCCCCAGTGTGCCCCAGGTATATGTCAGGTGTGTCCTACATGTGCCCTGCCTTCTCACTCCTCACTGTGTCTGTTGCTCTCTGGTGGCTTTGAGCTGAGCACCATGTGTGTATCTCTGGCTACCTGGTCCCTGTGTCACCCAGCCATGTCTGTAATCCTGCTTTGAGAAAAGGACACAGCTTGGGGCTGCGGGCTCAGCAGCCACAGTCCAGGACACAGACACCCAGGGGCTCTAAGGCATGAGGTTTTGTTCTGCACCTCTATTCTCAGGATGTCTGGGTCCTAATGAAGTCCAGCAGGAGGAATCAGGTCACCATTCTTACAAAGGAAGATTTCTCCTGGGACCTCACTCTCCCCTCACAAGAAGCCACAAGGCACTGCTGCCTGCTGGGCCCAGGGCCTGGCCTTGTCCTTCCTGTGGGAAGCAGAGGGGGCCCCTCTGCAGGGCTGGATGCTTGTCTAATCCGATTTGGAGTGGCTTAGGGGATTGTCTTTTTTGGGCACTCGCTGGTCACTCCTAAAGCGTCCTCCTTGACCCCAGACTGGGATTTAGTCTGATGCTGTGTCAGCCCCAGGCTTCTGGGGCTTCCCAGTGGGTCCACAGAATCCTCTTGGGGCCTGGGACATCTTCCTCGTCCAGGGAGGGCAGACACAGGCCACAGGCCAAGGGCATCAGGTCAGGGCCACTCTGGTAGTGGGCACTGTGGGCTGGGCAGGATGGACTTTGGGGCCTTGGAAACCGTGGTAGCCAACTCTGCCTTCATTGCTGCCCGGGGCAGCTTCGATGGGAGCAGCATCCCGTCCTCCCGGGACAAGAAGTACCTGGCCAAGCTCCGGCTGCCCCCGCTGTCCAAGTGTGAGGGCCTCCGTGAGAGCCTCAGCCTGGAGTTCGACAGCATATGCTTGGAACAGCCCATTGGAAAGCGGCTTTTCCAGCAGTTCTTGGGGACAGACAAGAGGCACGCGCCAGCGTTAGGGCTCTGGAGGGACATCGAGGACTATGACACGGCTGATGATGACCTACGGCCACAGAAGGCACAGGCCCTCCTGGCCGAGTACCTTGATCCCCAGGCCTCACTCTTCTGTAGCTTCCTGGATGAGGGCACTGTGGCGCAGGTGAAGAAGGGCCAGGCCGGGAGCCAGGACGGGCTCTTCCAGCCACTGCTGCAGGCCACGCTGGCGCACCTGAGCCAGGGGCCCTTTCAGGAGTTCCTGGGTGGCCTGCATTTCCTGAGGTTCCTGCAGTGGAAGTGGCTGGAGGCACAGCCCATGGGCGAGGACTGGTTCCTGGACTTTAGGGTGCTGGGGAAGGGCGGCTTTGGGGAGGTGTGGGCTTGCCAGATGAAGGCCACTGGCAAGATGTATGCCTGCAAGAAGCTCAACAAGAAGCGCCTAAAGAAGAGGAAGGGGTACCAGGTGAGGGCCGGACTTGCGCTGGGTACAGGGCTTGGGTCCTGCCATTGGGGCCTTCTGGGTGCCTCAATCCCTGGCAACTCTTCACCCATCCATGACTGTGCACCGGAGCAGCTAGGGAAGGGTTCTGGCTATGGGACCTGAATGCAGCCCAGCTCGCTGAGGGCGCAGCAGGCGAGGAGGCTGGACCAGTCTAGAAGCTTCTGGGAAGCAGGGTCCCTGTGATGCTGGGTGCAAGATTGCTTCTCCTTCACACAGGTTTCCCAGGGTGGGGAGTGAAGAGGATATGCCTCGGGCTGCCCGTCAGTCCTGCCTAGTCTGGGGTCAGATGTCGGGTGAGGGCAGGGCCAGTGAAAGCTGCTTAGCTTCTGAGGGGCTCAGATACCAGAGCACAGCAGACAGTGCCGAGGGCAGGCAAGGATCTGGGGGACAGTAGCCAGCACATGCCCCTGAGCCCCCAGGTCAAATGTCAAATGCTCATGGCAACTGTAGAAAGAGGCCAGGCGGGTCTTCACCACGGGCTGAGAGAGTAAAGTGACCCCACGATGTACAGTTTTAAAATTGAGGGTTTTTTTAGGGAAACCATGTCTTGCCATTTTTCCCAGGTTGGCCTTGAACTTGGGGGTCCACCTGCCTCAGCCTCCCGAATTCTGGAATTGCAGGTGTGCCCCACCATTCCTGGCTAATGGCAGTTTTTAAAGAACAGCTTTACTGAGGGACAGTCCACACATCAGGCTGTTCATCTGTGTAGGCAGTTTTCATCCAGTGGCAGAGTCCTCCTGGGACCCAAGGCCAAGAGAGGCCAGACCGACTGGACCTCGAGCCTTAGGACAGGGAGCAGGGCTGCAGGGCAAACTGGGAGGGCCTGGTGGGAGGCCGCCGTTGTGGAGGGCTCCCTGGGGGCGCTGGCCGACCCTGCCCTCCCTCCCAAGAGACCCTGTACCCGCCTCTCTGAAGTGGCCCTGGTGTCCTCTGCTGGCCTTGGGAGCCGGCGGGGCATGTTGGGGGTGCTCACCTTCCTGCCTACCGCCCCCAGGGTGCCATGGTGGAGAAGAAGATCCTGGCCAAGGTGCACAGCCAGTTCATCGTCTCCCTGGCCTACGCGTTTGAGACCAAGACGGACCTCTGCCTCGTCATGACTATCATGAACGGAGGTGACCTCAGGTAGGTGCCCTGCCCTGGGGAAAGCCTGGACCAAGGGACATGTCCTCTGCTCTCTCCCTGTCAGGTGGACCCCCAGGCCTCTGGGATGATTATCACTGGTGCCAGCCCGCACAGGGTCAAAGGGGCAGGGAAGGCCTTGGCCAGGATGACCTGGCTCTTGGCTGGTTGATTCCGAGCTCTCAGAGGGGAAAGACTGCTGGCCTGCTGGGTGACCTAACCGCTCTGTTCCTCAGTCCTCACCTATAAAATGGGAAGTAAGAACTGAGATGTTAAGTACATGTACCAACTCCCCACCGTGTGTGACCCTGTTGTGCTTCAGGCACATGCCAATAAAAATGAAAGTTAAAAACCCAGTAGGTGAATTGAAAAACAGAAAAGTTTGTGCTGAGATCTGGAGTTGCTGTGACGATGACATTAGTGCCCCAGGGGCTTTTCTGGCTGGTTGCACCTCAGCTCTGCCAGAGGTAGCTGCGCCCAGCAGCTCTGCAGCCATGTGCTCTCCGAAGACCCTAGCTGCCTATTTTCCAGAGGAGGCACTGAAGGTCCAGTCCAGCAATCCCTCTGCCTCCTCACCCACCCCCACCAGGCGCCTGGCCTGGGCATTTCCTGGTGTTCACGTGGGAGGAGCACACAAGGGAGCTTTGGAGAGGATGAGTGACAGGGATACTCGTCCGGGCCACACAGTTCCCTTCTGAGGAATAGGGCTGCAGCCTCAGCCTGGCACACGGCCCCAGTCTCCTCTCAGCAGCGGGGTCAGGAAGCTGCTGCCCTTGGGCTTTGGGGTGACCTGGAGCCCTTGCTCAGGGTCCCATGGTCCCCCAGGTACCACATCTACAATGTGGATGAGGAGAACCCCGGCTTCTCAGAGCCACGTGCTGTGTTCTACACAGCCCAGATCATCAGTGGTCTGGAGCACCTGCACCAGCGGCGCATCGTCTACCGTGACCTCAAGCCAGAGAATGTGTTGCTGGACAACGATGGTGCGGCCCGCCCAGGCCAACCCTGGCTCTGACCTCAGCCCTGACCTCAACCTTGACCCCAACCCAGCCCCCAACCCCACTCCGATCCCAATCTAGACTTCTCTAGCCTCACCCTACCTCAGCCCTGACCCCCTAACCCGGACTCTCACCCTAACCCCAACTCTACAGAGCACCCCAGAACCCAAATCCCTTACTATTAGCACCCCTTTTCTGCTCCTGGGACACTGTGGACACCAGGGTCACTCAGGTCTAGAGTGGGGAGCACGTGGGGAGTATACGCACGGAGTGTGTGGTGAGTCTGTGTGTGGTGCCTGTGGTGTATGTTTCATGGCCGTGTGTGTGTGTGTGTGTGTGTGTGTGTGTGTGTGTGTGCGTGCGCGCAGTGTGCATGCCCATGTGTCTTGGTACTGGGTGTCTTGGTTTCTGACCCCTCCATGTTGGCTCAGGCAATGTGCGGCTCTCTGACCTCGGGCTGGCTGTGGAGCTGCAGGAAGGGCAGAACAAGACCAAGGGCTACGCGGGGACTCCAGGTGAGGTGGGGATCCGGTGAGAAGGTACAGTGTGGTTCCTCCCTCCCCAGTAAAGAGCTTCAGTGCCTTGCCTCCCTCTCCCTTAGTACTGTTAGGACTGCTCCCTGAGGCAGCCTCCCATCCATGTGAGTCCCACAGCTCTGTGTCACACTTGCCTGGGACCATGTGGGCAGCAGCAGACAGGGCCCACAGTGTCCTGGGCATGGGCAGAATGGGGGGCAGTGTCCAGGGGTGCAGGATGTGAGCTGAACCACAAGCAGCTTTGGTAGAATCCGTGCAGCCACTGTGCACAGCGTGGGCTTGTGCACGTGTGTATCTGTACACGTGTCACACATGAGCCCAAGCCAGGCCTGTGTGAGTGTGCATGTGTGTGCGTGTGAGTATGGGCAGCTGTCTGTGCACACACATTTCTCTGTGCATGCACACATGTGTACAGGCATGAGCACCTTTTTGTCTGCCCATGAGGCTGTATGCTTCTCTGTTTGTGTGTGCACTTGTAAGGCACCCGTGTACCTGTGTTTTTAAGTGCTTGTGTGTCCGTGTGTGACACTCGCCTGGCATGTCCTGCTCTCTGTCTCACTCATCTCTTCTCACCTTCCCCAGATGGGCAGCACAGAGGGGAGAGGAACAGTGTGTTGTGTGCAGTCCTGTTCTCACCTGTGGTCAGTGGGTGTGTGGCTCTGGGTAACCCAAGCGGCCTCTCTGAGCTCTGTCCTAAACATGCCGTGTGGGTGTGCTGAGAGAGCCGATGTGGCTGCAGAGCCTGGCGTCCTGTGGTTCTGCAGCGAGATGCTCCTGTGGAGATCAGTCTTGGGCACTGAGGGGACCTGGGCCTCCCATGTGGTGGGGTGGGCAGCTCTATGGCCTGACTTAAGGGGTGTCCCTTGGTCTGGGGGAGGACAGTTTCTGATGCTCCCCTGAAGGGCACTGCAACTATAGTGCGCTGAGAAGAAAATTCTGGAAGCAGCAGAGTTGAAGTGCCCGTAGCAATGAGGGGTGGTGAAGGACATCCTGGGGACCCCTGTGGTCCTCACAATTGGGACTAGAAACCTTTGTCTCATGTCCATTGCTGATCCCGAAGGCCACCAGGAGCACTGTTGTTACCTCCTTGTGCCCAGCCCTAGGAACTGGGCTCTGGCTCTTCTTGGACAGAGCCATAGCTGCCTGCTGTGTCTCAGGTACCAGCATTGCTGTGACTTGGCCAGGCCTCCAGAGACATGGAGGTGGTGGGTGTCTTGCAGGAACAGAGCCCTCCAGATGGATCTCCTGGCCTGGGCACTACCCGTAATGGAGGATCCCATACCACTGCTTTGTGGCTGGCACTGCTCAGTCCTGAGGGTCAGCCAGGCTGGCTGTGGGGACAGTAGTGGGGCAGCAGCCAGGCAGAGATAGCATCCTGTGCCTCCCATGTCCAGTCCTGTGTGAGCCCCAGGCCTGTAGGAGGATGTGTTTCCGGGCTGTATGGTATAGGCTGGAACATGATGGACCCTGGTCCTGGGCAGGCACCTCCTGAACTCTGTAGTCTTGTGACCTCCACTTTGACCTGGAAGCCTCGAATGGTCCCTTCTCCGTCTAAGCAACAGTCCGGATGATGGTTTAATCCTGACAGGTGGAACTCAGGGTGGGGTTCAATGTGGCCTAGGGTCTGTGGGGTTTGATGCCTGCCGGTTCTGTGTCCTGTTGGCCAAAGCTGCAGGACCAGGAGGAACAGTCAGAGCCCTGAGCTCAGCAGGAACCGAGACAACACACAGAGCCACTCCACATCTGGCCACAGAGCCCATCATCCCTGGGCCTCAGCATCTGCTGGTCTTGGGTGTGACAGGGCTGGCCCCAGAGGTGAAGGCTAGACCTCCTTGTCTACCAGCTGAGCTGCCTTGTACATCCTTGCCTGAAAGCCAGTCGTGAGTCTTGGGGTGGGCACATGGCTCTGGGGCTGCCAGGTGCCGGCACTGCAACAAGTGGGAGAAGCCTGTGCCACTTGTGTGTGTCCTTTGGGGTCGGGGGACTGTAGCAGACACACGGTGCCCACTTGCCTCTGTGTGTGTGGCCTCTGGAGTGTGGACAGGGAAGCTCTGGGTCTCAGGTCAGAAGACGAAGAAGGTCTGGACAGCCATGGGGTGCTGGCCAGCTGCTATCTGTTGCACTGGAAGGCACCAGGCTGAGAGTGGGTCCTGTGAGGCTCATCAGTGTCCAGAGACTGGAAGAGGAAGGCTGCCCACTGGGTCCCCACCCTTCACTGACACTGCTGGAGCAAGAAGAGGCACTGTCCCCATGCAGGGGCGGAAGCAGAGATCAATGAAACACCTCAAGTGAACTTGAAAGATCATAGCAGAGCCCTCTTAGAAAGCAGACCAGAGTACAAAAACAGGAAAACAGGAGAGAGGCATCAGGAAACCAAACCCTGCCATGAGTGGAGGTGTTGCAAAAACTCTGAGAGACACTCCCAGTGGATGACACCAGTTTTCATCTGGAGCATGTGACACATGGGTGCCAGTGGATCCCCAGCCAGGGGGATTGCAGCATGGGGAGGATACCCAGGCTGCCAAGGGGACACAGAATTGAGTTGGTGGGTCTGGCACTTCCTGAAGTCACTCTGGAGAGAGAAGGGAAGAAAAATGCGTAGAAAATCTGGAGCGGAGTCAGGGACCCTATCCAGGAGAAATGGAGGTGTTTTCAGACAGGACTGCTCCCAAATGCGCCTTTAGCACTTTACTGAGGAAGCCACTCAGCCAAAATGAAGGTGCCACCAAAGAGGTGGTGACTGGAGCCAGGACAAAGAAGTTCCATGGTGTCTTCCCAGGCTCCTGCTTCCCCAGCTCCGACCAGAGCGGGGAGAAGGTACCAGAGATTCTTGCCAGTGCCATGTTGAAACAGTATCACTTGTCAGAAAAGACTGGACTTGGAGAATCCTCACAGATGTGACGAACTGGTGCTCAGCACAGGGAATACCAGCAAATGGAAGAGGACAATTGTGACCTAGATGGGGAAACCAACATCCTGGTTTGGAGGCTTGGCCTGCGTGCTGTGTGATCCTGGTGTCTCAACCGGTGATGTCTGAGATGGAGGAGGTGCATCTGGTGCTGCTGGCCAATGGAGGGTGTTGGGGGAGCCCTAGGTGCACCCTGCATCTGGCATGAGCTGTCCAGAGGCTCCAGATGTGCAGCCATGGGAGCGAAGACAAAAGAGTCGGGGTGCTCCTATGGCAGAGGCAGTCAGGGCACTGTCTGGTCTGCTTTGTGTGTGAGTTACTTTGAGCCAAGAACCGAGTTACAAGAAGGCAGTTGGTGGCCTAGGGGCGAGTTTGCCAGGCCAAGGGGGTGCTGTCCCTGGCTGGCCTGCTGTCTACCCTCTGTCATCTGAGCAACTGGTATTTCCCCAGGACCTCTGTCTCCCAGGCTGAGGTGTTGCTTATACCTTTGAGAGTGTGGGTTGAATGAGCTCTGCAAGGTGACTGTGTGGACAGGGTCCTCAAGGAAATTGAGGAGCTTGGGATGTCATGCCTATACTGGTGACTGCGTAGGTTCAGACCTGAGCTTTCCAATGTCCTGAATGACCGTGTGGGACTTTCTGTCCCAAAATACCAATAGTGCCGGGACCCCTGGGCCAGAGCCCTAGAGTGAGCTCTGTGTTTAGGGCGGGGTGCTTGTATCTGGCAGGTTTCATGGCCCCTGAGCTCCTGCGGGGTGAAGAATACGACTTCTCCGTAGACTACTTTGCCCTGGGGGTCACTTTGTACGAGATGATTGCAGCCAGAGGGCCCTTCCGAGCCCGTGGGGAGAAGGTAGGTTAGGCTGCGCCTGTGCAGTGTCTGCTGTGGCCCTCGAGGATCTGTCCCTGGGGTAAACCAGCTATGGGGTGCAGGCTCCTGGTTGCTTCTCAGGGTGCTTTCCCTGGGCCCCTGAAAAAGTGTTTGGGCCTGCCAGGTGCTGAGCCCTGTGGGGTTGCTGCAGGACCTCATACTGTCCCTTAGCCCCAGAGTGAGCAGGAATTGGTAGGGTCACCCCAGGACTAGGTGCCTTCTGCTTCTGAGCTCCGAGGGCCGGGGCCAGGGGGGATGGTGCCCCAGCATGTGGCACTGTGGGTAGCCTATCTTGCCCACACCCCACCTGAGCTCATGTGGGAGCTTGGCCTGCCCAGTGTGACCTGCCTTGCTAGCCTCTGTCCTGGCCTCCAAGGCACTTGGGTAAAGCCTAATTCCCAGCTTTGTAGCCAGGTCCAGGGGGTACAGTGCATGGCTATTCTGCCTTCTTAGCCACTGTGAGGATGGAGGGACCTGGGAACCACGGGTGGCCTCCAGACTGTCCACCTTTACACTTGGAGGGGCCTTGGTGGGATGGATGCCACATGCCACGCATGGCCAGAAATAAAAGGAGCCCCACACCACAGCGCCTCTCCTATGAGACAGAAGTGAGATTCTAGCACGTTGTGGTCCATGGTGTTTTTAAATTAGTTTTTCTCCTTTGGAATATCACATGTAGGTGCCAATCAGGTCCCTAAGAGGCCCTGCACTCTGACTTTGGCTCCTAGTGTTGCTGCTGGGATGCTGTTGCTCCAGCTTCAAGTCCTGGGAAGGGACTCATGCTCACCTGCATGGGCAGGAGCAATTGCCCAGCCTTGAGCCTGCTGCCCTATGCCCTTCTGCAGGTGGAGAACCAGGAGCTGAAGCAGCGAATCCTCTTGGAGCCCGTCAAGTACCCCGACACATTCAGCCAGGCCAGCAAAGACTTCTGTGAGGCACTGTTGGAGAAGGACCCTGCTCGGCGCCTGGGCTTCCAGGATGGGAGCTGCGATGGGTTGCGCACACATGCCCTCTTTGGGAGCATCAGCTGGAGGCAGCTTGAGGCTGGTACTGTCAGTAGGGATGAATGCTCTGAGACCCCAGCCATCCCTGCCAGGACCATGGGAAAACCCAGGGCCACTGAGAAAACCTGGGCCACTGAGAAAGCTAGGGACACAGGAAAAGCCAGGGCCATTGGGAAAGCCAGGGCCGTGGGAAGACCAAAACCACATGCAGCCAGCTGTGGCTGTGCAGGTCAGCTCTGAGTTCTCCTGGGCAGACCTGTGTGCAGGGAGGAGATACAGAGTCAGGGGCTGGGGACAGGGTATGTCTGGAGTGGTAGAGGGCAACACTCTGTCTGGTGGCTTTGGGGGCATCAGGAAGGGAAACCAGCTGGAGGAGGCTCATCTGTGGGGGCTGTGCTGTGATGTGCTGTCCATGGGGCCACATGAGGGGCTGAAGTCCACACAGGGTCCTGGGGCTGGAGCTCCGTGCTCAGGAGGCCTGGGTGGCATCCAGGGAGGCTGAAGTTGGCTCGGGAAAAGCTTCCTGGCTGTGCTTTGGGGTGCCCAGCTCTGTCCACTGAACACTCAGGCACTGAGGTCTGTGGTCCACATTGGACACTGGCCTTCTTTGCTGGCCAATAGGACCCTCTCTGATTTCTGTGGATCTACAGGGCCCTATACCCTGTGTCCGAGGTCTGGCTGATGTGTGTGTCCGGTCTGTGTCTCTTGTCTCCTCACAGGGATGCTCATTCCTCCGTTCATCCCAGACTCCAGGACTGTCTATGCCAAGAACATTGAGGATGTGGGGGCCTTTTCCACCGTCAAAGGTGTGATCTTTGACAAAGCAGACATAGAGTTCTTCCAGGAATTTGCCTCTGGCAACTGCCCCATTCCCTGGCAGGAGGAGATGATTGAAACAGGCATCTTTGGGGAGTTGAACGTGTGGCGTCCTGATGGGGAGATGCCTGATGACATGAAGGGGGTCACCAGAGAGCAGGCAGGCCCCACGTCCAAGTCAGGGATGTGTGTGGTCTCCTAGCCTGGCTTCCTGAGAGAAGCAGGGGGCCAGCTGGTAAGGAAAGGGACTGATGCCAAGCTTGTCATGGAGACCAGCACTGGGCACTGGCCCTGGTCCATCAGCAGACGTTGTCCTGAGCTGAGTCTTGCAGCAGAGGGGGCTGTCATGTGGGCACAGAGTGGCGAGCTGTCAGTTTGGGGCGGGTACCTCTGATGTGGCCGTCCACTCCCTCTGCCCTGCTTTACTCAAGAGAGACAGATGCATTGCCAGCGGAGCACATCTGAGCTTGAGACTCATAGCTGTGCAACCTGACTGGCCATGGCCCACTCTGCTCGGATAGCAAATGTCCCAGGCCAGACCCTAGTGGGCCACACACCTGCCATCCGCTCAGGGCTTGGTGGGTTCCTGTCTGCCCTGCTTGTGCTCCTGGGCTGTGGGGCTCTGGCACCCACCTGGAGACCCCTCCCCCGACCTGCTCTGTTGCCCCAGCACCTGCACTGGCTGCCATCTGCCTTCCAGACATTCCCATTCAGAGAGGCTGAGTCCTGGAGGAAGTCACGACCCCCTCAAGAGGTGGTATAGCTGGCTACCTCAGATGGCCAGTGCCAAGTGCAGTAGACAGAGTGCCTGTGTCCTCAGTCAGCACCAAGCATGGCAGATGCACTATCATGCATGTGCCGTGGTAATCAGCTTTCCTGCTGCTGTACCTGACACTCACACTGGAAGGAGGAAGGTTTAATTGGCTCAGGATTTTGAGGATTCAGGCTGTGGTCTGCTGGTCCCAAATGTAAGAGCAGCATGGAAGAAGGATGTGGTGGAGGAAAACTGCTTGGTTCATAGTAGCCAGGGAGCAGAGCAGAACAGCACCAGAGAGGAAGGTACTCGGGCTCACATATAGCACCCAAGGCAGCCCACCTAGACATACTGAGAAGAGTGTTCCACCCATCCCCTGGAGGGCTCTCAGGCCAGTCAAGTGAGCACACCAAGCTTAACTGTCATTGGTGGACAGCCACATCCTCAGTCAGTACCAAGTGTGATGGATACTGTGTCCTGAATCATCACCTGGTGTGGTGGATGCTGTGTCCTCAATTCGCACCAAGCGTGGCGTCTTAGAGAGTTAGTGCAATGAAGTGGATCCCTGTGTATTCCTACACACTGAGGTGGTTGCCAGTCTTCAGATGCTGCCAGGTATAGTGGACCTTGAGCCTTTGGGGAGTCAGCACTGAGTGTGGTCCATACCTGTGTCCAGGGAATGCTGAGTGCTGGGTGCCTGTATTTGTGGACAACTGGAGTGAGTGTGGTTGAGGCCTGTGTCTTTTGTTGGGCAGCAGTGGGTGTGATGGATGCCCATGTCCTCAGCCAGACAGCACCAGGCATGCAGATGCCCAGGTGCTTAAGACAGTTGCACAGTGTGTGGTGGATGCTCACGGCATCATTCAACACTGAGTGTGGAGACACCTGTGTCCCTAGAGCCTGTACATGACTGCAGTGGATCTCTGTGTTCTCAGACAATGGCGTGTGTGTGGTGGTGGCCATATGTACCCATGTCCTGAGTCACTACTGGGCCAGAGGTCCTCATGCCACGTGTGGAAATCACATGTCCTCAGGTATGTGTGTAGTGTGTGGTTGTGTGGTATGGTTTGTACCCACACCCTCAGTCAGCACCGAGTAAGGTGGATGCCTGTGTCCTCCATCATGTTATGTGTGGAAGACGCCGTGTCCCCAGGCACGTATGGCATTTACCTGTTCCTTGGCCGACACTGAGCACAGTGGGCACTGCTCCTCTCCTGCCTATTGAGGGACAGTATCCTCAGCAGCCAGCAGCTGAGAAGATTCTCCTCTCCAGGCAGCTCTGGACCCACCTGCTTCCTGTTCAGTCTGTGCCTGTGAAGGGGATGAGCCACCCCTGAGCAGCTGTTAGGCACAAAAGTCCTGTTACGAGCTAAGGTTCCTCAAGAAGTTGGTTTTATGGAGAATTCCAGAAGCTTCCTTAGCCGTGTGGTGGTAACGGGCTCTGTCCTGAACATGCATGCTGGGACAGCTTCCCAACAGGACCCTTCGAGAGCTCTGGATGCTGTGGACGCGCTGGAAAGGCCGCGGGACAGTCTGTGCCTCTTGGACTATGACCTAAGATTCACCTGGGCCTGGCCTCTGTGATAAGCCCATGCTGTGTCCCTTCCCTCACTCATTACTATGCTGTGTCTAGTGTCACACACTGGGAAGTGACATCTGCATGTGTTGCTACTGCTCCTGACTGCTCCAGGCCCATCTGACCTGCTGTGGGTTCAGACTCTGGACAGGGAAGTGATCTGGTCTGGGCTGGGCAGGTCTAAGAGTCTGACCCAGCTGAGTTGGTGGGCCCCTGGCCATCACTGGCCACCTTCCTCTGTGGGCTGCCCAGTGTCTGCAGTGCTCAGATTGGGACTCAGGTTCTCTGTTTACCTGTGATTAGACTGTGGCACATCCAGGAATGTCTGGATTTCAGGTAAATAATGGTAATTTGAGTCCAGGCGATACTGATGGAAAAACTGTTGTTTATCTGAAATTCAAATGCAACCAGACTTCCTGCAGGGTCATCTTTCCTGAGCCTGGCAGTCTGTGCCCGAGTATCTCGCCTTCCAAGGGCATGGATGCCCATCCCAAGCTGGCTCCGGCCAAGCACAGGTACCACTGGCCTGGTATCTGCTGGCACTTTGGGCCAGATGAGGGCTACTCAGTTATGTGTGCTCACACACATAAGTGTCACATAGCACAGCCAGCCCAGGCCTCTGCCCAGCATATTCTGTCCCTGGTGCCCCCTGGCCCCCCTTTCCCCACAGCCTTGCCTCTGCACCCAGCCCTGATGATAGAATCCCATCTCAGAGCCAGAGCATCCCTGTCTGGCTGCACAACAGCTCCACACATGCTGACCTGACCTGTTCCCATGGGTGTCTGGCATCTGGTGTCTGGCGTGAGGGAATCTGGCACTGAGCTCTCTGGGCAGATGCATCCACCAGCTCTGCATCCTGGAGGTCCCAAAGGTCTCTGGGACCTGCATCATGGCAACTGTTGGAGCAGACACCAGCCCCCACTTGCAGACATCCACCCTTCCTGCTCCCCTTCTTGGCCCTGGGTCCTGCTGGATGTCAAGCCTGGACAACAGTGCCCACCTGCTTGGCCCTGAGTTTGTGTGGGTCTCCTGGAGGCTGGATAGGAAAGCCAGGGTCCATCTATGGGTGCTCACATCTCTTTCAGGGTGTTGGGACACCGTTCACACCAGGCCTGTGGCACGGCCTGCAGATCAAGTCCTGTTCACATGCAATGCAGACATTGGCTGTGGAGTCCCCAGAACTCTCCCTGGTGTCCTCACAGGGGATCGTCTCACCCCCAAAGCCATCAAAAGCAAGTACAGGAGGGTCCTCTGTGGCCTGGGATAGCCAGGGTAGGATGACAACTCCCTTTCCTGTAGTAATGCCAATAACTTCCCCAGGGGAGGGAGGCACCAGAGGTCAGAGCCATTTTAGCATGACTTCTGTTAAAAAAGGTAATTTTTATTTAAGTGAAAAGGGATTTTAAACATTTAAGAGAAAGGCATGTTCTCTGCTTGGGATACGAATTGGGGCTGCACATGCTGAAATGCTCCTGTGCACATGCAAGGGCACACCTGTGCAGATTCATGTGCATGTGTGCATGCGCATTTGTACGCATACACACACACACACACACACACACACACACACACACACACACACAGAGGCACATGCAGCTTGCCTCTCTGTGGCCACCAGATTCTCACACCCAGGCCGCATCCTGCTGTTGGGGTGATTTCCAGCTGCAGGTGCCCTCCTCTATCGCCTTGCCAGCAGTCTCCTTGTCATCTGTGTGCACAAACCTCCCTGCCCCCATCCCAATCCTGCCTTGGCCTCCTGGTGAGGTTCCGTGGTTGTGCTGTGGTGCTTGGCAGGATGAGGGCTTTGGGGCAGAGGCAACTGTGTGCTATGTGCTATGAATGTCTTAGCAAGCACAGTTCTGGCTGTGTCCTCGGATGACTGACATGTAAGTCACCAACTGAGGGGAAGACCTGCCCCCACCATAGGTGGTGCCCACCAATAGGTTTGTAGTCTGGGTGGAATAAAAAGGGAAGCCTGCTGGGTTGCTTCAGAGCTGTCTTTGGGTGGCCTGTTAGATGCTGGGCTCCAGGTTTCTAGGGCAGACTCTGCGGCTCCCACATAGACTCTTGCAGGACTTTGTGGCTCCACATGGTTCACATGGGACTCTGTAGTAAGCCCCGGGCTCTGACCTCCCACTGGATACTCTGGCTGTCCAGTGTATGGAGGCCATTCTGGGTCCTCCACCCCTGTGTCACAGGCAGCCACTGAAGTCCCGGCCAGCAACTCCTTTATGTATCACATCATAGTTTATGTCAAACAGCTCTTCTGGTGAGCCTGTCCGACATACCTAGGATGCTGAGCAGTGCAGTGAGAGTCGTGTTAGATGGCAGTGTGCAGTGGAAGGGCCTCTTTCAGGTCAAAGCCTGTGATCAGGCGCTGTGGCAGAACACAAGGAGAAACAAAGGCAGGCCAGGGATAGTGTTTTGAGCACTCAGAATTCTGAGGCGGGAAGGTAGCTTGAACCCAGGAGTTGCAGATCAGCCATAGCGAGACAATCTTAAAAGAAAAAATACATGAGGCAGGCCCAAATGCTCTGCCTGTTTCCCTTTGTCCTCTGTTCCCTCAGCAACACTAGCCTGAGGTGAGTGGTGCCCCATATAAGTTGGTTGCTCAGAGGATGCCCAGCCTCGAGGGGCAGTGCTTCCTCAACACTGAGGCCTCCAACAACCTGACACTCTCCATACAAGAGGCTTCAAATTCCCACGCCTCCAGCCACTCGTTCCCATGCAGGACATGAATAAAGCAGGGCCTTGATTAGCCGAGGGGACTTGGGGCAGTGGGTGTTCCTAGCAAAAGACTACAGCACACTGTGAAGAATGGGGCAGGATGGGCTCCCTGCGGCCTTGCCTTCAAATTAGAGGGCACTTCAGGTGCTTTCCAAACAAGTCCAGATGAGAAGGAGCAACTGGGTTTCCTAAAACATCAGACCTCAGTTCTTCAGTCTCCCTGGTCTCTTCTCAGGTGCAGGCTGAAGGGTAGCTGTTGACCAGGCCAATGTGCAGGCTGGGCTTAGGACAGTGGCAGCTAAGTCCACGGCATTGGACTGCATGATTCAGACTGCCTTCCTGTCCTCTGCCCCACTGGGGTTCTCTTGGTGCTAGGGGAGTGTGGTACTTCTGGACACTCAGTACTTTCGAGGTCTTTTGCCTCCTTTAGTGGTACTTATGTGTTTTATAGATGTTTTTGCTAAAGCAGAAGACAAGCTGGTGCCTATCACATCTGAGGCAGGGAAAGACCTTACTGGGCAGGGCAGGTGTCTCTCTGTGTGGAACTTGAGCTGTCGGGCCCCAGCTACCGAGGTTGGAGAGGAAGATCTGGGGTGTTGTCAACACAAGGCCTCCCAGCATTGCACCAGGTGTTATTCATTCTTAAAAATTAATGTATCGAGGGCCTCTCCTGTCTCACTCCTGCTCCCTGCCTCCAGGTCCCCACCAGGACCCGGGCAGCCTCTCCATCCCCTGCTGCTGGCTCTGTATTATTCATGGCTGATCGGGTTTCAGAGGAGTCATTTGTCCACTCACCATGCATCCCTGAGCACCAAGGTCCCAGTGCAGGGAAGAAAACCCAGACACAAAGGGAAGGCGATGGCCTGCATCTTTATGGCTCTTTGAATACCTGTCCTCTTGGCCTAGAGACCCAGGCCCGAGTCAGAGCCTTGGTGGCACCTGCCCGTGTGCTCCAGTGGCAGACATGAAGGAAGGACAGGCAGGGGCCTGGCAGAGGCCGAGCCAGGGGTTGGGGGCAGAGCTCCCCTTCTCCTTTCAGCACAGGCACAGTGAGTGTCTCCTGAGCCAGATATGGTCTTGGGAGAGAAGAACAAAGCTGTGGTTGTGTCTGAGACCACCTCTGTTCATGTAAAGGAAGTGGGGTGGGGATGAAGAGACACAGGTCATTTATGCTAAGCAGGAAGGAATTTGGCTTTAGGGAGGATGCATGCATATGGCAGAAATGCTTAAATAAATTTTCTCCTGATGCCAATAATAATTTATCCAGCTTCTGTGGTTATCTCCAGATGGGTTGAAGATAGATTTCTTCATCTTCTCATAGCTGCCTTTTTGAAAGAGCTCAATTGAGTTATATTTTAAAAATAGCCAGATTCCAGCCCATCACTCCCTGGGGTGCCAGCTGTCAGGTGGTGTGATGAGCCTTGAGCCAGTGGCCTGGCACAGATGCTGTAAGCCAAGATACTCAGCTCCTCAGCACAGTGCTGCAGGCTGCTTCTGGGAAGCTCTTTAACCACATGTGCAAAGGGTACCCTCTCTGCAGCAGCGGAAAGCACAGCATGCTAGGTATCTGGGCTGGCAGTGTTGCCATCTCTGGCGTAGCCAGGTGCTGACAACCACATACACTCACATGTGCTGTAGCTTCGCACGGCCAGCGTGCACTTGCTCACTCTGCGCTGCCACAGACAGGTGGGGAGCACACTGCTCTTAGGTGTATGACAGTGTGACATCTCTACTGAGGCAAGTGCCCCATCACCTCTCCGAGACCTCCTAATTATGTACTGTCATTGACTGAGGCATCATTGTGAGGTTCCTGACTGCAGTTCTAAGACATTCTCTGCCTTTTCACCAAGTGGACCTTTTCACAGTGGTGCGGTGTCACCGGTGCTGAGCTGTTGGTACTTGGGCCTTCATCCCTCCTGTCACTGTGCCCTTCTTCCCAGGCAGTCAGAGTTTAAAGCTTTACTTCTGAATGTTCTCACTGAGGCTAAGGTAGCAGAGAGCCTTCCTGCCATTGCTTGCAGCCACAGCACAGTACTTCTCCAGGGTCTCAGGACCCCAGAGAGGGTTGCAGGCTCTGGCTGCATGTGGCTCATGGAGGGCAGGCAAGGTCTGACCCAGCTCCAGTTCCTGCAGCACTAGCTTGAAGTTGACAAAATGGGATGGGGTGTTTGGCTGAGATTTTCTTAAAATGAACGAGGGAGCCTGTTCCTCCAAGGTCCTTGCTGCCAATGACAACGTTTGAACTTTCATGTGGCAACAGGAATTTTGAAACACTTATTCCTCCTCTGTGAGTCTGACAGCTTCCAGTAATTTTTCAAATGACCAAAGCATGATATCTTGGCTTCTCATGTGGGCAAAGGATATATTCAGGATGCAGGAGAGTCTAGTGGATTTTACTGTATAAAGAGGGTACAAAAAAGTTGTTGTGGTATCAGAGTCCACATTGCAAATAACCTTCGAAAACTACCACTTGTTAAATTCAGGTGTCATTTCAAGAAGAATCAATATTGTGTTTGAGTTCTTCAGAGAGAAGGAACAAATAAAATAGATATGTAGGTAAATATATACACATATGAATATATGAATGAATAGATGCATGGATGGATGGATACTTAGACAGATGATAGATGGATGGATGAATGGGTAGTAGTAGACATGGATGTATGGATACATAAATAGATGGATAGATGAGTAGATGATACCTAGGTAGATAGATGGAAGGATAGATTGCGAATAGATAGATAATGCATAGATAGACAGTTGGATAAATATATTGATTCATAAAGGTGTAACTAAATGGATAGATGAAAAACTGATAAGTAAATGAATATATGAATAGATGGTAGAATAAATATATGATAGTTGAATATATGAATGGATAAGTGGGTAGATATATTGATAAATGTATAGGTAGAAAAATCTGGATAAATTGGTGGATACTTGGATAAATAGATGGGTAGGTAGATAAATGGAAAGGTACAATAGATAGATGGAGGGATAGATAGATGATAAATGGTTGAGCAGATACTGTAGATGAATAGATGGAGGTGGCTGAATGGGTAGATGAATGAATGGATGGATGAGTAGACACATGAGGGCAGATCTCCTGAGGCTCTTGGCTCATGTGCTCATTCCCACCACCACCTAGTGATAGGCAGCAAGAGGCCCAGAGAAGCAATAGTGAGTTCGAATCCCAAGTCCTCAGAACCAGAGCTAGAGGCTGCAGCATTCACTTTGAGCCCTAGAGCCCAAGGGCAGGTGGTGAAGGAAATCGAAGCTCCGTGAGAGAGTGGGGGAATTCTCTTTTCCTCTGCCTCAGTCCTGCCCATGTCCAGCCCGTCAGGTGGTGCCCACATCAAGGCAGATCCTCCCCACCCAGCTCACTGACTGTGCTGGTCTTGTGGGAACACCCTTTCAGACACCCCTTAATCCAGTCAGGCTGCCTGAGATGAGACATCGTGTGTGAAAAGGCCACACGCCCACTCACTCTCCAATTGCTGTGTGAGGCCAGCCATGCATGGACTGCCACCAAGACAACAGCTCAGGACAGGTGTGCACAGTATCTACATTCCTGGCAACCACACCACTTACCTGGTCAGCAGATGAACCAGAGGCAGCAGGCTCGACCTGACACACTCTGCAGTAAGGGTATAAACTGCAGACAAAACAACCACGGGTGTGATGTTAGGCAGTTGTGCTCAAACAAACCAGAACAAAAATAGCACTCATGGCAGGACCATTTCCATAAAATGCTAGAATATGCAAAATATCAGAAAGCAGATGAGTGGGCATTGGGGAAGGGGGCTACAACAGGGGACTCTTGCCTACAACAGGCAAACTTAGGATGCTAGATGTGCTCGCCACCTGTGGCACTGACTCTGTGGGTGTGTCTTTGTGTCAAACCTGTGCCATTTCCACTTGAAAAATGGGCAGTTTGCTGTATATGGTTCAAGCTACCCAAAACTTGAGTTTTAAAACGATCTTTTGGAAGAGTCTGGGTTAAATGAAAGCATAATTCTCAGCTGAACCTCAGCGCATGAGGCACTCATGGTAGGCGCCTATGCAGAGCCACATGGGGGGATGGGAGCTGGGGCCGGGGTGCAGCCCACGTGGCCTCCATAACAGCTGCTCCTTGGGAGCCCCCGGGATGCCTTTGAGGATAGACGCCTGGGAAACAGGTCACTTTATGCCATGCTTCCTCTTTTGAAAGTCCCCTAGTGTCACACACTGGGACCACACTTCCAATGAGGAGCCCTGGGAACACATCCAAACCCCATCCCAACACACATGTCCTGTGTTGTTTGTTGTGTGTGCTGGTCGACTCTCCTCCCCTCTGGGGTCTTTGTCTTGCTCTGCAGCATGTCCCGATGTGTGGCAGGCGTGCAGCGCACAGTATGCACGGTGCCAGGGGGAGGCTGAAGCTGGGTGCTGTCCTCTAGTGCTTTCAACTTTGCACAAAGGGTGTGATGCTGGCTGCGGTGCTGTGAGCCACCCCAGCTTCTCTCCTGCGCAGCTCCTTAAGGTGCTGTATACCTGACCCTGCATGGGTCCCCGGGCAGGCACCTCGGGGCTCACCAGCCCAGGGGCTGCTGTCCTGCCGTCATATGTGGGGCCATGAAGAAAGCTTTGTGTGTTCCCTCTGCCAAGGTGTAGCTTCTCCGTCACAGCAGACAGCCTGAGTGACGATGGCTCCTGACAACTTGCCTCCCTGGAGACTGAGTCAGGGATCTGGCTCAGGACAGCAGGGACTGCAAACAATCTCTAAATGACTCTAACCACTGCCACGGATCAGTGCCCTCTCTCCTCTGAACTGCACAACCAAGCTCTGCTCTGGGAGCACTGTGGAGGTGCTGGCCAGTGGGGTTCTGCTTCAGGTTTCCTGAGTGATGTGGTCACCTGGTCGGTCATGGCACCTGTGCTCATCAGCGCTGCTGTTGTCTGGCCTCTCCATGCTTCTCTGGCAGCACCCCCCTCCTAGGGAGACTGTGCTTCTGAAAGTTCCCTGTTTTGTGGGTGGCTACTGATTTCCTTAATTCAAAAGGTTTTGTTGGTTTCTTTGCAGTGCTGGGGACAAAACTCTGGCTTCACTCAATGTGCTGGGCAAGTGCTTTACCACTGTGCTACACCTCAGCCCACAAAAGATTTTTTTTTTTTGTCTTCTTTATATTTGAGCCGAGGTCTCACTGTGTTTGTAGTTCAGGCTAGCCTCACGCTATAGGTGATCCTTCTAACCCCAGGCACATGGCTGCCAGCCAGAGCTCCACTTGCTGCTTCCTGAAAGGCCCCTCCATCAGGTTCTCCAGGCTGGCCTGTGGCGACTGGAGGGTGGCTGTGGGGAGCAGGGATCAACCAGGACACATCCTCAAATGTGTTCTCCCTGGGGTCTTTCAGCTGCCAGATCTCGTCCCTTTACCTGCATATTCTGGTTTCCAGAAACCGGAGGGAGCTGGAGGGGCTGAGGGAGGAAGCAGCAGCCAGGAGGAGAGAGGGATGGGACAGCAAGGAGAGAGAGCAGCAAAGGGCCAGAGGGCAGGGGGAGGGGAAGTCCTCAGGAGCAGGGGCGGGGCCACTGTGTGAGGCCTGCACTGCTGTCACGGGAGAGTGAGAGCCAGAGCAGCCAGGAGTCTGCAGAGGGCACCCGGCTCCCTAGCCGGGATGCAGCCGCCCCAGGCCCCTGTGCCCGGGCCTCTGGCAGCACTGCTGGACACTACAGGTGAGCGGCAGGTTTGGCGGGTGGGACAGGGATGGGCAGGCAAGGGCTGCCTGCCGAAGGGTCTGTGCCTCTGCCTCCTCTGGGCTTGGACTGCCTGTCTGCCCGTCCTCTCTCCAGCGCGCCTCTCTAATGCCCCATCTTTTCTTCGTGGCCCCTCTGACTCTATGTCCATCTTCACTCTGTGACACTTCCCACACCCTTTCCAATGAGGACAGATCCAAACTTGTCAGCTGGCCCCCATGTTGCACATTTCTCTTCTCTTCTGCTGGATATGGTTTCTTTCACGGAATCCAAGTAGCTTTTTCCTGCTTGGAAGTGACAGAGGTGCTCACCTCGCTTCAGGGCATTGTTTGACTTCAGAGACTCTCCGGGCCCCACTTCACCATCAATTCACGGAATCGCTAATTGTTGATTTTCCAGCTCCAGCCCTGCAGCTTGGGCTGTGGGCTGGGAAAACAGGAAGCCTCTTCCTGGAGGGACCAGGAGCCAGGTTGACGCCCAGGGGCTTGAGTCTTGTAGGAGGACCTGGGGCAAACATTTTGCCATGACCAGGTTGGTGGGTGTTAGGACCTGATGAGGAGATCTGGCTTCTGTCGCAAGTCTTCTCTAGCAGGGTCCCTGGAGGCCAGGTCTGCTGCACTTTCACCTCCAGTGAGGATTGCCTGCTTAGCCTCTAGTCACTATTTTTGGATCCTTATTTGCGAACCAGTCACTACTGCTGTGGTACTGGAGTAACAATGGCTTATGTAGAAAATGATTTAGTTTTTCTTCTGGTAAGGAACTTTAAGCTTTAGGACAGTCTTTTATTCAAAAAATTCAGTCTTTTATTAAAAATTTCAAAGCCAGGTACCAAGGCTGCCTGAGGTCCCCACAACTCAGAGGACTGAGTGGGAGGATCACTTGACTTCACCAGTTCAAGGACAGCCTGAGCAACATCAAGAGATCCCAATGCAAAAAACAAAAAGCAAAAGTTAAAGGACACCAAGCACTAGTGTGGCTGAGTAGGACTGTGGGCATTTTACCTCTGTCCTTTTCCTGTCACACGAGGTGCTGCTTGTAAATCAGAATGCAGGAGCGCACACCTCTGCCCCCACTCTGGCATCAGTGCCTTGTCCCTATGGGGAGGGAGGTACATCCTTTTTTTTGAAAGGAGGTCTTTCCATGTTGCACAGGTAGGGCTTGAATCCCTGGGCTCAAGGGCACTCCTGCCTCAGTCTCCTGAAAGCTGGGATTACAAATGTGTCATGTGCCCAGCTGACACATTTCAATGAACACATTCTGGGGGCTGGGTCTATTGAGCAGGCCTGGCTCAGCCACTTCCAGTCTCTGTGAGGGGGACTAGGGTCACAACGTCCCAAAGCAAAGAGTGGGTATGGTGAACACCTTGTTGGCAGTTGGCAGGACAGGGTCAGGGCCTCTCGAGGCTCATGGTCCCTGTGACAGAGCCTGCTGCAGTAGAGCTGGGCTCCATTCTTCCCTGGGCCACCTGGGGATGAGAGGTACAGGATGTGTCCTCCTGCCTTGAGCTCCCAAGGTCAGCAGTGCCATGGGTCAAGGATGGCTGGGCGGAGCAGTCACAACCCTGGTGGGCGTGGGCATCACAGTGTCCTCTCAGTGCTACCCCTGCACTAAGCTGGACCTCGATGAGTGATGAGGTGCAGAGGAGAAAACCTTCAGATGTGCAGGGGGCACCCCCTTGCGCAGTCTGGCCACTGACATACACACACATGTGTCACTCACTACAAGACACTCATGCATGCACTCCAGTCTGGCACACATATGTGTACTCAACTGTGCACAGTTGTGCACCCATGCGCTCACATGCACACCTGCATGCGCACACATTTCAGGAGCACTGACTTGGAAACCTGGGCTCAAGTCCTCATGGGTCTAAAGGCCTGAGTGCTTTCTGGTGGGCCCAGCTGTGTGGCTCCCTGCAGTGGCACCAGGTGGCAGGTGTGTCTGAGGGACAACAGCCACCAGCCATCGTGAGAGCTCTTGAGAGCTGTTCCCCGGTCTGGGGAGGAGTCTGAGAAGGCAATGAGGTTCCTTCCCACCTGTTTTTGTGACTGCAGCAGCTGGAATCCGGGCCATTGGAGCAGTTTGCAGTGTGGAGTCCTGAGGCATCCTGGCCTGGTTGCTCAGGCACCTCTGCTCTGCCCTCCTCAGGTCTCTCATGGTTTCCAGGCCAGTCCTCCTATGTTCATCCCAGGCAGTGAGCAGGGTGAGCAGACAAAGGCTGAGGTCAGCTTCTTGAAGATACTCCTGAGAATTCCAAACCCTCTTGAGTGCCAAGCTTCGCTGGGCCAGTGCTGCCCTTCCAGTGAGGGTTGGTTCACACCAGGAGCTGGCCTGAAAGGAGCAGATTGCTGGCTTGGTCTTCCTGTTCCTCCAGGCCAGACCTTGTGCTGCCTTCTCCTTGCCCTGAGCTGTCAGGGACGTGGCAGAAGGACTCTCCCACATCCTGTGTGTATGTGGAGGGGGAGATAGACTATGCTCTGGGACTCTGCCTAGGCATAGGGCAAGGATCCTCCTGATGTGGATGTAGTGTGTGGTGCTGAGCAGGCCTGGCATGTAGTGAGTGCTGAACTCAGTTCCTGCAGTGTGGGGGCAGAGATGGGGGCATGGGAATCTGGGGGGCTGGGAGACGGAGGGAGAGCTGAGCTTCCATCTGCCCCAGCTCCTGGTCTGGGCTGGACACATATCCTGTGATGACAGCAATCCTGGCAGATATCACCTTGGGGCTGTGGCAGGGCTGGGAAATGGTCCCTTGAGGGGCAGCACAGGGCCTGGGCTCAGAGACCACAGGGAGGTGAGTTCCAGGTCTCTGGGGAGCAAGGAAGGGGAGTAGGCTCGACAGGGTCCCTGGGATGGGTGTCTATGGGATGAGGAGGAGCCTGGGTTCTGGAGAGACTGACTCAGTGCCGCTGTGTAGAGGGAAAAGGCTCCCAGGGACAGTCACACTGACACTCACCTTTGTCTTTCTCACAGAAGGGTTTGCCCGGAGAAAGCGGACTTCCCTGTGGTTTGTGGGGTCTCTGCTGCTGGTGTCTGCCCTCATCCTGACCATCGGCCTCGCTGCTACCACCAGGACGGAGAATGTCACCGTGGGTGGCTACTACCCTGGCATCATCGTGAGTCAAGTTTGCCGGGTTGTGGGTGGGCTCTGCGTCTCCACAGGGTGGGGAGCACCATGCCATGGAGTGGGGCCTCTCCTGTGCAGACCCCAGGGTGCGGCTGAGACAAAGGGCAGGAGGGGCCCAGGGCTGGTCTAGGGCCTGTGTGGGGGGCGCAGGGCAGGTCATTCCATGCTCAGTGATGTGATAGGGGTTGGGAGGGGACTCTCCCAGAGCCCTGGCCCCAGATGGAACATCCCTTCAGAGTAAGGTCACATGAGGACCAAGAGATATCAATGGGGCAGACATTGTCCACCCACGTCAGGTCAGTGACTGAGCCCCCAAACTCCACGCTACCTGGAGGCCAAGCTGCGAATCCACACCTGCTACTGTCAGTAACAAAATTCTCCTCGTGAGCTCTGTGGACATGGCCTGGGTTCTGAGCTGGCTGCTCTGGCAAGGCTGCAGACCAAGACATCTTGGAAGCGGGGCGACTGAGCCCATGGCCCTCACTGACATCACTGGTTGACATCAGTCACAGCATCAGCAAAGCTGCCTTCAGTGTCTGCACTTGCTCTGCAGACATGAGTGACACATCTGAGGCTGGAGGCTGGCCAAAAATTCAAGTCCAGCCTGGGCTACATAGTGAGACCCTGTCTCGAAGATCTGGAAAAACAAACCAAAACCAGACAACCAGAAAACCAAGAAAACTCCTTACCAACAATGTTGTCTAATTCTTCTCTATATTGACCTTTACATATCTGATACACTGTTTCTCTGTGTTTAATTCAGGAGCAAATTTATGAGTAGCAGCTTTCAGAGAAAACTTTCTAGTGCAGCTGCATGAAGCCGGCACTGGGAACTGGGCTCACATCTGTTTTTCTGTCATGTTTTCTGGGTGGGAAGGGAGCTCTGGAATCCAGTTCCTGGTGTGCAGGCACCTCACCCTGAAGAATTTGCGGAGCATCATCTCACTTCCTTGGTGCTGTCTCTGTTTGCTCTCAGTCCTTGCCTGGTTAGGATCCTCTGCTTCCGCCCTGGCCAACATTTGGGAAACTGAGCTGGGCTTCCATGAGGCTGAGTCATATGCGGTGACCACATGTGGTGCCTGCGGATTGCAGGAGCATTCTGTGGTCCCCATCTCATGCGGAGATGCAGGCCACTTATCTTGGGGAGAGGCCCCAGAGGAAGAGCTCCATCTATCACACTGCAGAGCAAGGTCCTTTCAAACTAAAGAAAATAAAAGATAATGAGATAGAATATTTACACAAGTTTCCGTTGGTTGAACTTTGATACTTATTTATCTTTTGGTTCTCTTGAGACAGTGTCTTACTATGTAGTTCAAGCTAGCCTTGAATGCTCAGTCATCGTCCTGCCTCAGTCTCCTAAATGCTGGATCTCAGGTGTGCACCACCATGCTCAGCACTTTTTGAGTCTTTTGACTTTGATATTTGTGAACTATGGAACCTCAAAGCTCAACATGGAAGAGATTGTGATCTTTTTATCCCTGTGGGAATCCTGAGTCATGGCGGGAACCACATGTGTACCTGTGTGTCACCTTGGATGTGTGACCAATAAGGGATGACCGTGGACACTGTGGGTCTGACTTCCAGAGCATCGAGGCTGACACAGTTGCCACTGGGTCAGAGGCCCAGGCCACTCATGCCAACCCACATCGAAGTTTCCTGGGCCATCACTGACCAGCTGGCGGCGACTCTGCCTCTGAGACAGATGCTGTCCAAGCCACTCAGTAGTGTTCACTGTCACTGCTGAGACTCGTGCTCCACCCAGCCCCTACCTTTCCTTTAGAGACAGCTGCCAGCATGTTCACCCCAACATGGCCCCTCTCCTTTTGTCTCCCAGCCGGAATCCTCTGCCCAGCCCCAGCTGGGCTCAGAGCTGGTTCCTGCATCCCTGGACAAAACAAAACAGCAGGTTTGTGCAGTGCCCAAATTGCACAGCTATCCTTGGACAGGGTTTGTGGGCTAGGGTTTTCCAGGACTCAGGAGAGGAGACAAGAAGTGCTGAAGCTCAGTCCCTGGCCAGCTCAGCACAGCAGGAGTGAGTGCATCTTGGGGGAGGGGCACCTGTGGGGAGACAAAGGGTTCCAGAGCATGTGATCAGCTGCTGACAGAACCTTCCTCTCTTGTTTCTCTCCTGTCTCAGCTGGGCTTTGGCTCTTTCCTGGGAATCATTGGCATCCATCTGGTGGAGAACAGAAGACAAATGGTGAGAAAGCAGGTTTCTTCCAAGGTGGGGTGGAAGCCCCAGCTGCAGCCATGGTTCCATGGGGTGCTGCCCTCCCCGGCCTTGCACAGTGTGAGGAGGTCCCTGGGATGCCATGGCAATGCTTAGGGTCACCCAGACTGAGAAAGAGGAGGGTGGACAGGAAGGTACTTGGGCTGATGGTGCATGTACAGCATGAGTGTCCAGGCACCATGCTGTGTGTGTGGATGTCAGAGGGCATCACTGGTAGTTGGCATTGGCGTCTGTTCTTTGGGGTGATGTCTGGCAAAGCAGTTCCAGGTTCACTGGGGCAGTGGCTGTTCTGCTCCTGCCTCAGCTCCACATCCCTCCTGGACCCTTGCCAGCTGTCACCTGACTGCATCACAAGGCTAGAGTAACTAGCGTGTGATGTGTGTGCCCCCTTGGCCCTTCTGGGTTGAGAAGGTGGGCTCTGCAGTAGCAGAGGAGATAGCTAGGGGACCTGTGTTGGTTCAGTGAGTTTGCCTATGTCCCAGGGAGGGTGAGGCATCGCAGGGTGACCTGAACTTCTGCAGTGGGTGCAGGAGCTCCTGGGCAGGTCCAGCCCGCAGCACAGGCCTGAACATGGTCAGGGACCAGCCCACTCCCTGTGCCTGACTGCCTGGGAATGCGGGTCCCAGGCCAGGGCAGTGCCCAGCACCTTTGGATTTAAGGTGTGGAAGCCTGGGTGCCACTCTCATGGATCTCACAGAGTCCACCTCACAGATGGTGGGGAAGCAAGGTGGGCAGAGCACCCAGGTGTAGGTTGGTGTGTATGGCCGTATGGGCCTCCCTGGTCCCAGCAGCCTGATTCCCGACCCTTCCCTTTTTAGGAAAGTTGTTAATGAGACCTACCCCACATTCATGCAGCCACTCACTGAACAAGTTCAGTCCCAGAGTCTGCAGGCAGCTCTAGGATACCCAGTCACTGTGGCATCTGCTAGCCCTACCTAGCCCTCGGTACCTTGCAGGGCGTCATCTGAGCACTGCTGCTGTGGACTGACCTAGGAGTGGTGCTACACACCAGGCGACCTTTCGTTTCTTCTGTCCTGAGTGCCCTGGAGTTTCCTACGTGGTGGTGCAGAGCCTCCTTTCCTTGTGGGGTGGGTGACAGTTCAGCCTGTCCCCTGTCTGCTCTCCGGCCAACAGCTGTGAGGTCATCTCTGTCACTTAGCTGTTGTGGGGCGCTTGCAGACCTGTGTGAAATGCCTGGGCTGTGTCTGTGTGAACTGTCCCCTTCTCTTTTCTTGGGAATATGCCAAGGGAGAAATTGCTAGCAGTATGGTGAACCATGTCTGGCCACGTGAGGGACTCCCAGATGATTTCCAAACCACAAGCAGGCAGGCTGACCGCTCCCCTCCTGGCCAGTGTGTGAGGCACCTGCTGTGTCTGCACAAGGCCTTAGTGGTATTTTCCCTGAGAGGGCGTCAGAGCTCTCTCCATTCTCTGGGAAATCTCTGTTCAATCTCCTGCTTGTTTTTATTTGGATAGCTTCTCTTCTCATCATTCCCAGAGTCCCTTGTGTATCCTAGACATGAATGGCTTGTCACTCTGTCCTGTTCTGCAGGCTGGCTTTTCATAGTCTTGTCATTGTCCTTTCAGTACAGTGGTCTTCAGTTTTGATGGAGTCTTATTTTTTCTTTTTTCTCAGGTTTTTGTTAGCACCTCCACAAGTCAGTTGTCAAATCCAAGAGTGCAATGATTGTCTGTGTTTCCTTACAATTCTTCTGGCTTTAATGCTTCTAGGCATTTGACCCTGAGTTAATCTATATTTACAGTGCAGGTAGGCACCATGTCTCTGTTCTCTGGGATTTTCCAGTTGTCTGAGCACCATTTGTTGAGAAGCCCACATCTCCCTCGAGTGGCCTGGTGTCCTTGTCGAGAGCAGCAGGCTGCAGGGACGGGTCTGTGCCTGGACTCTCAGTTCTGCCTGCAGGTCCGGGCATCCCCCTGTACCAATGCACACTCTGGGCATGGTGGGAGCTAAGGCTGGAAGTGTGGCTTGAGCCTGGCCTCCTTGTCTAGGGTCGTTTGGACCTCTTCTCTAGCTCCCATCACCAGTATGGTGACGTTTCCAGCTTTGTGCTTTCTCTGTTAAATTCATTCCTGATTATTTTGTTCTTCTTGTGGGCTTTGTTTCCTCACTTTTTTTTTTTGTTTGTTTTTGCATTGCCTGTGGCCTCAGGTCTGGGTTTCATCTCACACCCTGAACCCTGCATTGCTTACTTGTTTCTAGCAGTTATTCTGCCTACAAGGCGAAGTCATCTCAGCCACTTTCACCTTGCTGGTGGGTGGGCCTGGTCCAGGTCCCTGGCTCTGCTGGACATAATGTGGGCCTCCCAGCGGGCAGCAGGAACCCAGAGGTCAGAAGTGGCCAGGGCAGTGGGTCCAGCTCTGAACAGGTGAGGCAGGCTGCTTGCTGGGTCTTCACAGCCTCTGGAGGGCCGTGTATGCTCCTGTCCTGCCTTATAATGCTTTTTCTGGGAAGTGTCTGGGCTGACTTCCCACGACAGCCATAGCTTCACTGATGCTAGCTCAACATTGATGGGTGATGACCTGGGCCACCATTAGTGCTGTATGACCTGGGGACGTGGAGCCATCCTGAGCCCCAACTGCTGCCATGTGAGCTGGGGGAGCAGTCAGGCTACACATGGGACGTGTCCAGCACAGGGCCAGCCACATGGGGATGCCTGCGCCAGAGCCCCTGGTTACCTAGGGCAGCTGCCTCCTCCTATGAGGGCCAGGATCCAGCCTGGATACTGTGCCACACCTGGGCATGTCCAGATGCTTGGTAGTGCTCTTCCTTGGTTTCTTTTCATTTTAAAGCCATGGGAAATCAATCCTGCACATGTGCAGAGGTAGATAGAACGTGCAGGGCTCCGAGTTTCAGGCTGGCATGATTGGCCTCAGCTCAGGATGGAGCTTGCTCTGCCCCACAGATTCTCCAAAGCCCTCCTGCAGCCTCCCAGCCTCTGAAAGTGCTTCCCTGTAGACTTCAGGTGGTATCTAATCATCCGGATGGCACCTCCATCATCTCTGCCCTAGTTAGGTTAGTCCCAGCAGTGTCCAGACAGCCCCAGATCAGCTCAGCTTCTGATTTCTCCACCACTGGACAAGTAGTCCTCGATGCTCTCCAGACACACGGGTTGTGGATTTCACATATGAATACTGCAGTTCAGCTGGTTCACGAGGCCAGGGGAAGAAAGACTGTCACATGCTGATCCCTCTGGTCCAAATGTGGACACACATGCACGCAAGTGCACATAATTGTACACATGCAGTCAAATGTGTATAAATAAAAACACATGTACATGTATGGTATACATGTCCACACAGGCATGCAAACACATGCACACATCTCACACATATGCACACATGTAAATACATGTGCACACATGTAACACACACACATGTGCACACATGCACACATATATGTATACTCAGGCATGCAAACATATAGACACCCCAGAACCCTTGTGGGTCAGGGTTTAAAATCTACTGATGTTGATGCAGAAGAACCAGGGGAACTGAGAAGCAGTAAATTACAGACTGAAAATGCCCTTGAGGGATCAGAACTTGGGCCATGGCCAGGACAGCTCCCCTACGGGTTCTTTGGGTGCTGGGTGCATAGGACTAGAGGCCTTGCTTTTGCATGGTTTCTCAGCCTCAGGGAGATTCATATATGAAGCTTAGGGGTGGAGCAGCCTGAACCCCCAGCTGGGTGGACCAGGCAGGGTAGAGATGGGGTCATCTCCTAGACGCCATTGGAGAGGATTTCTGCTGACATCTGCAGTGAGTCTCCTGAGATAAGCCAGGATAAAACCTGTGGCCCCTGCCTTGTGGGAACTCAGGACACTGGGTCACATTGTGCCTGCCTCACAGTGCCCAGATTTCTGAGGAGAGAGAGACTCCCATTTTCCCCAGCAGCTCTAGGGTAGCTGGCAAGGGGTCCGGTGATGGGGCATGGGGAGGGCAGCAGGCCAGGCCAATGAGGAGAGTGCCTGCTCAGAAGGCGCCATGCGACTCAAAGCTACCAGGACTGGTGGCTGTGGTGCAGGTGTGAAGGTGAGCTCTTTGGATCAAAACCCACATCTGTGTGTGGCTTTCAGGGATCCAGCAGGAGCATGTGACAGTGTGCTGACAGCCAGCTGTTGCTGATTCTTTCAGTGTGGCACCAGACTATCCATTTCCCAGAGCCCACAGTGTACTAACTGGCTCTTCCTGAGCAGGAGAGGAGAGAGGCCCTGGACCAGAGCGCTGGGATAGAAGGTCAGCAGAGCCCTTGAGCTGATGCTGAAGGCAGTTGGGGGGGGGTGTTTCAGAGCCAGAGATGTCAGGGACACTTTGTCCCTAAGGTGGGAGAGTGTGATCCCTGTTTAGTCCAGGACGTATAACTGATTCCAACTGGGTTTGGGGGTGATTACATTCTTTGCACTTTAAGGATCTTCACCCCTCTCACTGTTACCAGGCTATGGCAGATATCATAATGAGTGGTCTCTACCCAGATCCTGGCAATGCATCTGACTGACTTCTTCCTCTTCACACTGGGTGCTGACCGACGGGTAGTCCTGGGTGACCTCCACATCAGGTCCACTGTATCACTCCCTAGGTGACATTTCGTGCCGTAGTACCACTGGCCACTGGAGGCCTCTGGCAATGACAGATTGCCTGATCTACATCCTTGTCCACAGTCTCTGGGGCCCAGGAGCAGGAGAACACAGACACAGAGCACCCTAACATGCTCAGACATGGTTCTGCCTTCTGGAGCTGGCATGGAAACCGACACCTATCACAGAGTATACATGCATGCACAGGCACACAGGCACACCACACCTGGCTGGAGAACACAATAAGAGGACACCCTGTCCCCCAGGCAACAGCAGAACAGCTCAATGAGAAGTGCACAACTGCTTAAGGTGGATGTGGGTAGAGGGACACTCCCTTCAGGTGGCAGAGTCAGGCATGGACACATGTGCCTCTGGTGTGGCCCTGTAACCTGACTCTGAGTGAGGCTGGACACATGAGTGAGAATCCATGCTGGAAAGCATGTAGGGAGAGCTGAGGACTCCTCCTGTAGGTGAGCTCCAGGAGCCCACATCACCTCACAACAACTCCAGTTCAGGAGGGCGACCCCTCCCACTCAAGTGCCGACTGAGAGAGGACAGTCAAGCCTGCACATCACACTGCATCTGGTCATCAGTCAGATTGCAGAGCAGGAAACCAATGTAGCTGCATGGCTCCTGCATACAGGTACACATGCATTTACCTGTGTACAGTCTTACTACATCATCTGTGTGGGACAAGGGCCAAAACACCCAGCAGAGGATGTGGAATTAACAGGTAATTTATAGGAAGCTTTTAAATATATGACAGACTTTCAATCCCACAAGTAGAGAAACACAAGCTAGAACTTACTGAAGCACCATCAGTCATTGTTACTTTAGCAAAAGCCCACCAGCATGGCCATGTAGAGTGCTGTAAGGGGTGTGGCTGTGGACCCTCCAGAGGCCTTGGGCACCCAGCAAGGCTACTGTGCACTCCCAGAAGCTGAGTCGAGATGCCTGCCCTACAGATGGTCCCACAACAAAATACAGTGGCAGGGCACCCCTCGTGGGAGCCACAAGAGTGTCCAGGCCTACATATGTGCTGGCAAGTTTGGGTGCAGTGCTGGACTCATGGCAGAAGGCAAAGGCGACTCAGGGATTGTGGCTTAGTCACTTTCTTTGTTGCTGAGACACAATATCCAACATCCACACTTTAAAGGAGGAGAGGTTCAGTTTGGCTCATGGTTTGCAGAGCTTTTAGTCTCTAGTCTGATGACTTCAAGGCAGGACGCATGGCAGAGGGGCCTGGTGGTAGAGAATTCCTCACAACATGAGGACAGGAAGCAGGAAGAAGAGAGAGAAGGTAGGAGCTGGGGAGAGGGATGAGTCTTCCAGGCCATGTTCCTAGGGTCTGCTTCTTCCTAACAGTGAATCATTTACAAACCCACCAGTGGATGAGTTTATCCATGAGTACAGCACCCTATGATCCAGTCACCTCCCCCAAACCCTGCCTGTGTTACAGTGAGGCTTACAGAAGACATCTCGACATAAGCCATAGTAAAGTACTGTACAAAAGCCGCAGAGCCAAGGACACAGGAAAGAGAAAGTATCCCTACAGGGTTTTTGCTGGGGTTGGGAGAATAAGGCTGGAGTAGGGGAATTTGGAGCCTTCTTGGAGTTTGCCCTTCTTTAGATTTGTCAACAATCTCTGGGGAAGCAGGTTAGGGCAGGGAAGGAAGCACATACAGAAATAGTGGCCCCGTTGCAATGTGAACTAGGGTAGGTACATTGCGGGCTGGGGTCACTACCTGTGCACTTGAGGATAGCACTATGGCTGCCTTTGCTGAAGACATGGTATACCTCAGACCACAAAGTGTGGGGATGATGCTGGCCACCCCGTGTCTCTGGGACCAGATACATTCAAAGCCAGGGCAGTCATCATTGATATGGGGAGTTCACTGTCTGATTTGAAGATGCTGACAGTAGGGAGCTGAGCGGAGGGTAAACAGAGGATCTGGAAACTAGTTTCCTCTTTGTTATGGTTAATCTGGAATTGTTTTACAAGAAAAACTTTAAAAATGTAAGAAAGATGTCCACCCTCATTAATATTCAGAGAAATTCACATTGAAATAAAGTGGGGATTTTTTTGCCCATCGGATTGTCAGACCTTAAAAAACCAATAGTTTCAAATGTCATTCAGGTTCAGAGGAAATGAGCAAAAAAACCAGTCAAATGTTTTTATCAAACTCTCGCAATTGTAAAGTGCAAAAGGCCTACATGTATCCTCTGTGAAAACAGTGTGTTAATGTACACTGGAGGACTGATTCCATAGACACTTACGTGTGCAAGCCCACTGTTTTAGGAGGCTGTATTTAGGGGCTGAGTAGAGTTCACCACGAAAACAACCTTTAAGCTGTTTAAACAGCCTTCTTGTCACTACTGAGCTGCTCCTGGAACTAGGATCACCAAACATAGGCTGTGCAGAGGGGTCTTGGTTACCTTAGAGACAAAGTGCACACACTGTATACATGTGGGTGTGCACGTTTGTAGTGGTGGCTGAGGTCCCTTCTCAGGAGCAGTGAGGGGGAAGGGCTGTGCACTCCATTAAGGGGGTTCCGTATGTCCCTGTTTGAGGAGAAAGGCACATGGGTGCACCCCAGGGTGGGCTGTCCTGAGAGAGTTGGAGGGAGCTGGGGAGAGCGGTGCTGGGAACTTGGGTTCAAGCTGGGCTTTGAACGGCCTGTAAAAAACATCTCTGTCCTCTGCCTTCCACTTCCAGCTGGTGGCAGCCATTGTGTTCATCAGCTTTGGTGTGGTGGCTGCCTTCTGCTGTGCCATTGTGGATGGGGTGTTCGCAGCACGGCACATGGTGAGTACAGCCCTTGTGCCCCAGCACGGCCACCTTCTCTGGACAGAGTCCACACAGAAGTGACACCTGCCCCACCCCATCATGACATTGTCCACACAGGAGTGACACTGCGCCCCATTTGTCCCATTGGTGAGCCCACTGGAGTCCAATCAGTCCATCAACTGACAGCAGGATGGTTGACAGGCTCAGCTGTTAGAGCAGCAGCGGCAGCAGCAGCAGCAGCAGTGCTTTGGGAAAGAGACCAAAACGCATGCAGACAGGGTCCCCGCTCCTTTACAGGTTATGTGGTTTCATGGCATTTTCATTTCTGCACCCTCTGGCCCAGCAGTTGTAAGCGCTTTGGAATCACAGGGGCACTGGCCTGGCCCTTCGCTGGTCTGTACATTGCCTGAGGCAAGAGTTCTGTCTGCCATTTGATGCCGACCTGCTCCAGGAATGCTGGACGAACCATAGGGATATGAGGAGTATTTGGCTGAGTGGTTGGACAGGGTGATGTGGAAGGATGGGTGGAGAGATGCACAGGCACAAATGGGTGAGTGAGAGAGGGAGGGATGGGCAGGAGGGGCAGAAAAATATGGAAGCCTGGTTATGTATGTGTGGGTGGCTGAGAAGTGGGTGGCTGGATGTGTTGGGAGTGGACAAATTGATAATGGAGGAACAGATAAATGAATGGGGATATGTGGAAGCTGGGTATTGTAATCCAACTGTTGGATATTGTAATCTAAATATTGAGTATTATAATCCTTTTTCTAATTTTCCTCACAATCTGGGAAGTTATATTTGTAAACCAATTGAAACATTATTGGAGTCTCAGCAAATTAATTCCAACGTACCACCTCCAATGCAACCCACAGTGAGAGTAGACACCAATACATATTCAAAGCTAAGGGCAACCAATGTATCCTAAGCCTGATCCAAGTGGGGATGTGTGGATAAAGGCTTTGACCCAAGGCCTCTCCCAGAATTTACTATCTTGTGAAGAAGGGGGTGGCACGAGGATGAGTGACAGTGAGGAAGTTGGGAGCTAGGGGAGTAACCCAAGCTGGCTCGCCAGGTAGGAAGAAAAGCATCTTTGCAAAATGCAGGGAGAATGACAGGCAGAAGGATCAGTCTGCATAATTCAGAGGTAGCATTTGAATTGTTTTTGAAGGCTGCTGCTTCAGTTTCTGATATGCAAACTTTTGTGCCCTGGGGACTCATAGCCTGTTACTTTAAAGCTCTACCCAGCTGACATGCCTGGAGCTGAGTGGCTCTGCCATCCCGCTGTGCTCAATATTTTACAGAGATCACTGTGCGAGGACACAGGAAAGTGTTAGGTTGGCCTCCGGGATTACATATCAGTACCTCTGAAACCTTATTTGCATCCCTTAGAGCCAGATGAAGGGAGAAGGAAATAGCATAGCCTGCTCTTACACAGCAGTATATGGAAATAAGACTTGATTTAACTGATGTTGCAGCAATTGTTCTGCATTCAAGAGGAGTCACGCAAATTGTCTCCTACAAGTGTATGTGGAGATGAGTGGACAGATGGGTGGATGGATGAATGGGCTAGTTGAATGGATGAATGAATCAGTCTGAAATCCTTGTTACCATCCTAGTAGAATGCTGTTTCACTTTAGGGAAAGACAGGGGCCCAGGTATCTGTGGTACAGTTGTGGACTGCACTCAGAAAGGCAGGTGACCATCTCCTTCCTCTTCCCTATGCTGACCAATGGTCAGCCCCACCAGATGGACAGAGGGGCTCCTTCCTGGGCTTCTGCCTCTCCCTGCCAGATGCAGGAGTCCTGCTGCTCTGGTTGGCACTGGGAATGTGCTGTTGCCTGAGACCGTGGCAGAAAGGTCTGCAATGGGCATGACAAGTCCATCCATTTATGTTTCTTTCTTTCTAGGAACTGAGGCCGCTCAGCATGGATAGATGCCAGTTCTACTCCAGTGGGGCAGGGTACTTGTATGACGTCTACCAGACTGAGGTAAGCCCTGGGTCTCTCCTCGGCCAAGGCCACAGTCCCACCAGTGTCTGTGTGCCTGCCTTTGTTCTAGCAAGTTTTCCTGCCCCGCCTTCACCTGTGGGTGGTGACATACACAACATCCCTGTGTGGATGTGCTGGCCTTGGCGTTGCAATGTCCTCTGTTTTCTTTGGAATCACAGCTGTGACTTGTTTCTGTGACACAGTGTTGCAATTCTTCAGTCCAGCTCCTGGGTGTTTCCATTAGGGTTTTCACCAGCTTAATCCCTGCAGGAAACCGGGGTGATGCTGGCGCTATCCTAGAAATGCCTAGCTTTCTGGCCATGGATAGCCACTGTGTGACTCTGCCTACTTTCTAGCAGGGTGAGATGCGTGTGAGTCCCCTGGGACCCACTCATAGCCTGTACCTGTGTGAAGAAGACTTGAGGGGTTGAACGCAAACTCACCTTGGAGGGTCCTGACCTGAGGTCCTCCATGCTGGGAGACAGGCCTGGCCCTGGTTTGCACCTGTCCCTCTCCCCAGGTCACCTGCTACTCCTTGATGGGCAAGTGCCAGTTGAAGGTGAGGAGCAACACCTGCTACTGCTGTGACCTCTACACGTGTGAGAGGTGAGCAGTGCTGTCATGTCACATGCACGCACTCATGTACACACACACATTGTGCAGCATCTGAGCACACATGTGCAAAGCCTCCATGACTGTTTCCCCTAAAAGCACTCAATCAGTCTTGATGTGGATTCACAGGTGGGAATTCAGAGGCTCAGAGATGTTGCGTGGTCTTTGAGGTACACATAGCATGGGCAGGGAAGGGATTTAAGCATGTCCTGGCCTCTGGCTGTCACTTGCTGGGAATAGCCTCCAGGATGTCCTCTCAGGGTAGGGATCCCAAGCCGGGATCCCAGAGCCTTTTCCATAGGGCAAAGTTGTACATGAGAGCACTATGTATTTCTCGTTCCCTGGTGTGAAGAGGAGGGGACGGCACAGCCACTATCCTGCCTGACCACCTCACCAAATGCAGGTGCATCCCATATTGAAGAGGTGCCGCCCTCTGGGTGGGAGAGGACAGAGCTAGCACAGAACATCAGTGACGTGGGGCTGACTTGCTGTGTGTACACCAGTCATGTGGCTTCTGGTGCCCATCTGCATGGCCCTGGTTGTCCTCTCCTGGACCCTGGTCCAGACTGGGGAAGTCATGCCACTCGCAGCCATGAGTGCTTCCCTGTCTGTGTGCCATCGTGGGCCCTGGGGGTGCCTGCCACCATCCGAGTCAGCTGACTCCTGTGTGACTACCACCTCTACCAGGTACAGTCTGGGCAGCGTCTTTGTGTACCTTGGAAGCCCCAGTTTGTCCCCAGGCTTGCCTCCTCATTCTCCCTGGGCAACTGGGCCTTGAGTCCCGGGTGGCTGCCCTTCAGGCCTGATCAGGTTGGTGGTAGCTGCTAGCTTAGAATGTTTGGCCCCACTTCAAGGCATTCACTGACCCTGTATCAATTGCTGTCTGCGTGGTGATTCAGACCAGAATGGGCAGTGATTTCCATACCAAGAGGGTGAGGCGACTCCCTCAGGGTCCCCACCAGGGCACAGGCTGGGGCTGGACACTAGCTCTCACCTGGTATCACTTCACAGGAAAATCCAGGTCTGGCTTCCATGCCTTTCTGTGGCCTGACGACAGGGCAGCGGGCACAGAATGTATCAGGGTCCCTAGGGAAGCCAGGCTATGTGGCCCCAGGGACATGCTGAGTCCACTCAGCAGCCTTGAAGGAGAGAACAACCTATTGCGCAGGCAACCAACGCTGGCTCTGCTGTGCTGTGTGGGTGAGAGCTTGGTGCTACACCAGTCACTGTCTGGGACATGAAGCTGCCTGGCCTCAGCTCTGTAACCCATAGCCAGTTCAGCTGGCCATGGCTCTAACTACAGCCAGGTCTCCTGGCCACGTTTCTAACATGCGGGGTCATCATCCAGCCAGGCTCTGGCCCTCCAGGTGGTCACCCAGCCTTGCCTTGGACCTCAGTGTGGCCTTGTCTTAGCCTTCACATGACCATCAGGCCACACATTGGCCATAAGTAATGCTATCTTCCTCCATGTACAGTGCGGAGCTGTCCCCCACTTACTATGAGTTTGTGGGTGTTCGTAGCTGTCAGGATGTGGTCCACCTCTACCGGCTACTCTGGGTCTCCACAGTCCTGAACATCTTGGGCCTGTGCATGGGCATTGTCACAGCTGCTGTGCTGGGGGCCTTCAAGGACATGGTGAGTGATGTCTCTCAGCATGTGAAGTGTGCAGGGTCGGGGGCTCTGTTGGCAAAGGAGATGCTGGCTGCAAGGGCTCTGCTGCCTGCCAGGTTGCAACTGGCACTCACTGCTGCTTCCGTAGGAACAGGCCCATCTGTGCCTTCACAGGAGTGGCCTAACTTCGCCCTCTAGCCCCTGAAGCTGGTGGGTACCACCCTTATAAGAAATGAACCTATGCTCCGGAGCCACTCAGTGGAGTTATATGGGAGCCTCCCATACCCAGGGCCTGGCTGAACAAGCTCTGGGAGGGTACTGTGAGCCTCTGATCTCCTGAGCCCCTTAGCCTGGGCCCCTGGGCAGCCTAGGCTGACCCCATATCCAGTCCCTGTGTCTGTTTACTAGGGGTTGACTGTGCAGGATGGCTCCCCATCTCTGTCCTGTCCCCTCAGGGTGTCTGTGTGTAGTGAACTGAAGTTCCTGACCATATGAGTGCATGGCCCAGCTGGGACTACTACCTGCAGACAGAGCCCACCAACATAGCAGCTCAGAGCCTTGGGGAGCCCTCAGCCTAAGTCCCAGAGCTTAGGTTGTGCCATGTTCAGTAATAGTCTGGGCTGTCCTCAGACCTGTGGTTGGTCTCAGCCTCTCAGGTTTCTATTCCTGGGATGCCATGGCCAAGTCTGAGGACCCTAAGTCTCACTCCAGCCCTCTCCTCCACTCCTGGTCACCTGTCTAGGCTCCCCAGCCTCCAGAGCTGCCTCCAGTCTATGTGCAGTGTCAGGATGTCCTTGCAGGCATTGTAGGGAGGGCTCCCATTCTGGGCGCAGGTGGTACAATGCCAACCACCCTTCTCTGCAGGTTCCCCTATCACAGCTGGCCTACGGCCCATCATCCCCACCTCAGATTCTCTACAACCCTGCCCAGCAGGTCCTGGCTTACACTGGCTTCTGCTCACCCACAACCATGCCCACCTGCTCGTCCTACCCCCTGCCTCTTCAGGTAGGTATTCGTCACTGTGACAGCCAGGTGGGCCAGAGACAGGATCATGCAAACAGGCCACAATCAGATGGAGAGGGCCTCTGTTCACCTGGGTATCCTTGTGTGGTCCAGGTGGTGGGGAGGGAGAGATGAGGCCATGTAGAGGATGTGTATTGGAGGCTCATTGCTGGCATTGCCCTGGGATTCATGTTGGATTCTGCCAATGACCAGCTGTGAGCTGACCCTGCTCAGACTTGTGTGACTAAGCACATAGCCAGCTGTCAGGTAGCTGGATACCCCAAAGTGCAAAGAGAGTTAAGGTGGAGCCTTGAGTCTTCCAGCACCCAGTGCAAGGACACACAATTGGCACTGCTGGCCCTGGGGCTCATAAGAGAGGGCACAGGCCAGCAGGGCTCTTGTGTTTCCTCCACTTCGTCCCCTGCCCTTTGGTTTCTGCCTGAGCTGGTGGCCTAGGGTGAAATTGGCCCAGATCATCCATGGCACCTTAACAGCTCTGAGTGTTACCTAGGAACCTTTAGGGTTGTCACCTCCTGGGCTGGCATCCTGAGACCTACCCATAGTTACCCAGATGTGACAAACCAAATTGCCAGTAGACATTGCCCAGGATCCTCTGGGGGTACACGAAGTGTGCCTGGTCCAAGCAGGGGAGGCTTTCTGTCTAGTGGGAGGCATCTGTCACATGGCTATGTCAGGGGCAGCAGAGACAACCAGTCCAGAGCTGCATGGGGCAACCCTCAGAGAGGCATGTGGTCAGTGTCTCTATGCATGGTCAATGGGCTATTGTCCTGTGTTTGAGGTCACAAGTCTTCAGGTGACCCTTAAGGGGACCTGAATGAACAAGCAAGATTGGCAGGAGGGAGACCTCACTAGGACAGGTGCCAGTTGGGGACTGTTTGGTATCCAGCCCTGACTGACTGGGACAGTGACAGCCAGGCAGCATGCCCACTCTGTCTTCAAAGAAGTGAAGGCCAGTAGCACTTGGGGCTGGAGCAGGTGTGGCCCCAACACCCAGGACCTAGGCTGAGGCCACCTGTTCTACAGGGTTGGCAAGGTCTAGCGTCCCACCCCGGCAGCCCTGGCTGGGCCCACGGGGCATCCCGATGGTGCTGGATGGTCCCTGAGCTAGGCAAGAAAGAGGCCTCTTGGGGGGCCTGGTTCAAGGGAAGTCTCCTATTCCAGAGTACGGGAAGGAACCATCTTAGAGTCAGAACATGATGCGTTTGCAGAGACCTCTTGGTCACACTCATTAGGCGGTGGTGACACCAGCATAGCTGCCCTGCTCTACGCCTCTGTCTTCCCCAAGAGCTTTATACCCACTCTGGTCAGCCTCTCCTATCTCTGTCAAGGAAAGACTATCATTATGCGCCATGCCGTATTCTGCACAGGACTTGGCGAAAGCAAGATGTGAGATCATGAGATCGACAAGGGCAGGACCTGGGGCTCCCACATTGCCTGGCTGCTGTGGACACAGCCCCAAATCACAGATGCCAGGAGCAGTACCAGGGTGCCCTGCAGGATGGGCCTTTCCTGACACCTGGCACACCATGGAGGAACTCAAGGACAGAGCTGCAATTCTGCCCATTCCTTTGTCCTGTTTGGTGCCTGGGGGCCTCAGGGCAGTTGGTTAAGGTGCCAGCATCTGTGCTTGGATGCAACTGCTGTGCCTTCCAGATATCTCTTCTCTGCCTCTGAGATCTTCTAAGCTTTGGATGCACCTCTGCCTCTTGACATCTGGGCCAGCCTGTAGTGCTGGCACATGTTGGAGTGGAAAAACATGTTGTCCTGATCAGCTCCTGGAGAGGGCAGATCAGACAGGTGCCACTTGCTTCCTTGGAGCTGTGACTGTGGATGTCAGCACGGCCAAAACACTCCCCACAGTGACACAGGGAACAGGTGGCTATGGATTTTTCTGAGCAGGGAATCAAGCCTCAAAAGTATGTGCAGTTTCCCTAAGTGAAGTGCAGAGAGAGGCTGAGTTGACGAGGCCCAAGAAGCCCTGTTGCTAAGAGAGTTGTCTAAATTGTGTAATAGGTCTCTTATTGACAGGATTGGTCTGATGGAGTGCTGTTTATGGACTGATTTGTCCCATGGTTCTTGGGAATTTTCCTACGAACCCCTGGTTTACACCATAGCCCTGGCAGTTTATGCTATGGCTCCTGGGGGTTTACTACATGGTTCCATGTAGTTTACTCTTTGGTTCCATGTGATTTACTCTGTGGGCCCTGGTGGTTTATTCTGTGGCGCCTGGGAGTTTACTCTGCAGCCCCTAGTGGTTTACTTTGTGGCTCCTGGGGGTTTACTTTGTGGTTCCTAGGGATTTACTCCATAGTTCTATGTGGTTTATTCTGTGGCTCCTGGGGGTTTGCTCCATGGTTCCATGTGGTTCACTCTGTGGCCCCTGGTGGTTTACTCTGTGGCTCCTGGGGATTTACTCTGTGGCTCCTGGTGGTTTACTCTGTGGCTCCTGGGGATTTACTCTGTGGCTCCTGGTGGTTTACTCTGTGGCTTCTGGGATTTACTCTGTGGCTCCTGGTGGTTTACTCTGTGGCTTCTGGGATTTACTCTGTGGCTCCTGGTGGTTTACTCTGTGGCTTCTGGGATTTACTCTGTGGTTCCTGGGGGTTTACTCTGCAGTCCCTAGTGGCTTACTGTGTGGCTCCTAGGGGTTTACTCTGTGGTTCCTGAGGGTTTGGTTCTTTCCATGTGGTTTATTCCTCCATGATTCTATGTGGTTTGTTCAGTGGTTTCTGGGGGTTTAATGTTAGGTTTTCATGGCTACTCATTTTCAGTGAAGGGCAGATTGAACTCTGGGGAAGGCACAGGGCCAGGCACTGCCAGTAGACTTGACAGAACGTTCCCAGAGTACCCCTGGGTCCTCATGGTTGGGAAAATGCATAGGTTCAGGCTGTTCACTTAAGAGTTGATGATTTAAATGCTGATTGCCTCTGAAACACACCTTCACTGAGACATTGGATGGCAGTTTGAGTATGTATAATCAGCTATGGCCAGGCACAATGGTATAAACCCAACACCAAAGAAGGCAAGAGGATCATGAGTTCAAGTATTACTGGACAACTTAGTGAGTTAACAAAACACTGTTTCAAAAACAATTAGTCATCGTACTTTTCTGGAAATGTATGGTCTTGGAATGAGCGAGTTGTGGATATCTAAGGAGGGCTTGGGTGACCCTTCCTGGGCACTTGCCCAGAGGCTTTGGGAGCAGAGCTGAGGAAGATGAGGCTCCACGGGATTTGTTTGTGGGCAGGCCTGTGGGCACTGACATGTGTCCTGGGTACCAGTAAGGCTGTGTCCTGTTGACTGAGGCTGCCCTCTGTTTGCTTGCAGCCCTCTGCTGAGCTCTCCCTGTCTGAGGATGCCTGGCCTCCCCTGCAGTGCAGCTCCAGCCTCGGGTGCTCCCCCAATGCCCCGCCACTCTGTGCTCCAGCCTGCTTCCTCCCAGGAGAGAAGCCGCCCCCTTATGCCCCCTGACTCAGAGGTGCTAGAATAGAAACAGTTTGTTTGCTTATGATAAAGCCACCTCTAGAGCTCTTGCTTCTGCAGCCAACCTTCTGAAGGGCCCTGAAAGTGTTCTAGAAGGCTGTGCCCTCCCTTCCGTTGAGGCAGGTCCTCTGCCAGGCCAGGCCGAGACAGGTCGCAGGACTGTTGAGCCCAGCCTCCCTGGCTGAAAGGCACTGCCTGGTGTTTGCTAGTTTGTGAAATCCCCTTCTGTGACAGACCAGCTGTCCTGTGCCTGCATGCTAGCCTCCTTTCAGGAAGTGTGCATGTGTGTGCCCAAGAAGGCCACCTCCACCTTGCCCCTTGTGTCCTCCTGACATTTGCTTGGAGTGAAATCAAACTTTGGTCAAATAACCAATGCTGCTCTTAAAGCCTGAGGGTGGCCTGAGGTCTGTTCAACTCAAAGAGACCAGCTAGCCATCAGCTGGGCCACCCCCCACCCCGACTGGTGCCTCTGTGCCCAGCCCTATAGTCCCCTGAGCCATCCCAGATGAGTTAGCCCTCTTGGCCCCTGCAACAGACCTCCCTGCCTGCCACAGAGGCTGAACATCTAACCTCTGCTCTGGTGGGATGGGGTAGGGGAGTCCTGTGATCTTCAGCTGAAGGCCCGGGGATGCAGCTCCTACACAAATGGAGGCCCTGCACCTGGGAACAGGTGCGTGCACTCAGAGCTGGTCAGAGGATGAGTTCATAGAGTCACAAAGGAAGCCGGTGGGGGACCTTGGTGTCAAGGGGTCTGGTGATGTGTTCCAAGAGTGTGCCTTGATGTATTTGTTCTTGAGCTGAAGTATGTTGGGAACCACTGGTGGCAGATGGAGTGCATCCACCCGAAGATGGGGCCCCAGGGCTCTGGGGTCTGGTGACTCTCAGCGAGGAGAGAAGCTCTTCATGAGGAGTGGCACCACTGATGCCCTGGCCATCTCATCCCTCTGCCTCTCAAAAGTCTCATCCTTCCCCCTTCATACTCTGGCTCCTCCTCTGCAAAGCCACACAAGAGCCCCAAGTCTCAGAAACCACAAGTCTCATGGCCCCTAAGTTTTACAGCCCCCAAATCTCATGGCCCCGAATTTTGTGACCCCAGGCCTTGCACACCCATCTCTCCTGTGATGCCTGGACTGTAATAAACCTGCCCCAGCCACCTTCATCTGCGTGTCCTCAGTTCATTTTGTAGAACCAGCCATGGAGCCTCAGGCTGGCGCGGGGAGGTCTTTCCTTCCCTGAAGGCCTGGACTCTAGGTCCAAGGGGGACAAAGGGACATGGTTGTGCAGGTGCAGCTCCTGTTGGCGGAATGCCACACCTTCCCACAGACTCCTCAGCTGAGGACTCTGAGCAAAGGCTTATGTGGGAGCCTGAGGAGCACAGGATGGTGAAGGAGGGTATTGGTGGAGTTGGGGCAGCTGGTGGGAGTAGCCACTGGCCCTGAAGGACAGACATAGTCACCTGCCTGGGACCTGTCATCACTGATTATTATCACCATTTGTTTTTTCCTCCTGAGCTATTTTCTAGGAAGAGGTGATCTTGGCCTCACCTTGAGCTCACTTACCTGGTGCCAGGCAGATCCACCCTCCCATGACCCCCAGAGCATAGTCCCTGGCCTTCCTGTGAAGCTGATGACTGGCCTAGCATCCCTGTGATCCCTGGGAGCACATCCCTGGTCTCCCCATGGCCTGTGAGATCTCCTTTCTGTGCTCAATGATTTTTGGGGAGGTCCAAAGGCCTCCATGGAACTCTGTACCAATGCCCTTGGCAGTTTAGGATTTCAGGTCATGTGAATTATTGACTTTGTCCAAATCTTGGAAATTAGCAAAAATGTTTTCCTTGGCTGAGGCAGAGCTCTGTTCCTACTGCTACCACTTAGCACTCAGAAGCTGGGGTCTCCATCTTGTCCCCTGTCAATCCAGCCATCTGCTGTCCCCTGGCTGTCTTCCTGTACCCCAACTTCTGTGTGTGGCCCAGTCCTCAGGCTGACAGCTCCAAGGCCCTCCTCTCAGTGGCCATGTCTTCATTCCTATGGCCAAACCTGACCTCACAAGGGCTGAGATAGGCGGGTGGTGCTGGCTGGGGCTCTCTGCCACCTAGTTTTTCCTCAGGAGAAAATTGGCTTGAGCATTGAAGGAAACAGTGAAGTGTGAAGAGAGCCATATGATGGGGTGCATGTCAGGAATCTGTCAGGTGCTGGCGGAGAGCCCAGCGAATCCCCAGTGGCTGTGGGAAGGAGGGCAAGTAACACCATCACACTGTACCTGATCGTGTCCTTGGCACAGTCACGGTGGCATGGCTAAAGGACAAAGGGCACCAATGGACTGACCCTTCAGCCATTATTAGGGACCAATCCGTGTCTCTTACATGTGGCCAGCTGTGCCTAACCAGGCAAGGAGGACAAGTCACATCATGGAAGTCACGTGTGTGAATTTGAGTCGGCTGGTGCAGGTGCTGTGAAACCAAGGGTGTCAGAGCACAAATCTCATATCATCAGCTGACCAACATGCCTTCTGCTAGCTCCCAGTGCTCTAGCTGATGCCTCTGGCCCCCTCGGCTGGTGCCATGATCTTCCCGGTAGCCTTTGTCTCGAGCCCATGCAACTGTGAGTGGCACTTCTGCCACGTGGTGACCCGATTTCAGAGCTGACCTTCAGGGTCCACCTGTCTGTCTTACCCAAAGTCCAGTGGGTTCTGCTAGCCTAGGATTTCCCCAGGCATCTATGGGAAACTCTAGATCTTATAGGAATGTGGGTTTGGTGTATACGTGAGTCTGTTTTGTGGCTTCCCTGGGCACAGTATCTGAGATTTTCCATGGACCTTGCAGGGCCTCAGCCCCATGTGGCACCCAGCTCAGGGCCTGGTTAGAGTGTCAGTGGGCTGTGATGAGGCTCTCCTGCAGGACACTGGGTGAGCGTAGTCCATGGTACAAGCTGTAAACTCTGCATGAAGGTGTCTGCAGGGTGCCCAAATGCCATTCTCCCTGAGGGTAAAGTTCAGGAGTTAGGGCCAAGCTGGAACACCTCGAGGAGCCTGTGGCAGAGAGGTGTGTGACACTCATTCTGTGTAACAGATCAAAGACAGTGAATGGCCGCTTCTTTTCCAGAGCAGCAATGCCTCCTCCTGTCTCTCACCCTCCCCGAGGCCAGGCTCTTGCTTTTGAGGTCCCCAAGTCTCTGGCACATTGGGTTTCGCCTCTGGCCTCCACAGTGGGTCCTGGGCCCTCTCAGAGCAGAGAAGCTGAGTTACAGGCCTGGGAGCCAAACCCCACAGCAGCCTTCACGTGGTGCTGACCCTGTCAGAGCCACATGGTGCGGTGGGACTGGGCTTCCCTGAGATGCAGCCCTGTTGTTCCCAGTGTCCACCAGCACCTCTGCATGTGGTACCCACCTCGCCTGGCTTGGGCTGTAATCTGCATGGCAACCCTCAGCTGTTAAGGACATTAAATCCCAAGGCCAGTGGTTTTGTTCCTACCCAGAATGTCTGTCCCTTGCCCAGCCACATGAATGAGAACAGTGACACCCATGGCAGTGTGGCTCCCACTCCCAGACTGACACCCACTACATGAGTGGAGCCCCTGAGGGAGCACTAACTGGGGTTCTGGCCATCCTGGGATGAGGGCACCCAACCTTTTCCTTGGTTTCCCACAGCCCTGGGATTGAGCGGGGCACCTCAGGGTGCAGACCCTCCTAGCAAGTGCTGGGGCAGGGAAGAACACTTGCAGGGTGTGGTGGGGGCTCCAGCCATCTCTCACCTATGTCCCCTGCCTCTGGGGACAGGACAGCAAAGGGCCAGTACAGGTAGTTGGGGGTGGGCCTGGGGTCATGAGGCAGCTCTGGAACTGTGACAAGCCTCCCCTGACTTAGTGTGCATGTTTGTCGAAGGAGATTGGCACAGCAGTGACAGTCTTAAAAGCCAGAAATAAGGAACAACCCAGGAGTGACGGGACATCATTCGACTCAACAGGAGTGGTGCAGTGGGGGTCCACCCAGACCCCAGGCAGAGGCCATACACCTCAGTCTCGCCAGAGGATGCAGAAAATTCAAGTCAGGCTGAGAGTGGGCTGGGCAGAGGCAGTGTGGTGGGTAGATGCTAAGTGGCACGGGGCTCTTTGGGCACAGGAATTTTCCCAAGCTTGGCAGTGGGCTGCCTGTGAGTGTCCCCCATTGCAGGCCTATGCTCTCCAGACTGGGGTGTGGACCTGTGAGATGAGGTGCTATCATGGCCCTGGCCATCAGGGAGGCCCTGACCACCCTGAGACCCTGCAATGGGGCTGGGGTTGGTATGCTCCGTTTCCAAGGGCAGCCTCAGTGCTACCCTCTTGGGGTAGTCTTGCTTGTCTCTGGTATCCTATGGTCTCTGCAGACCCATGCCCACTAGCAGAAAGGCTGCAGAGCAGGACTCCGAGTTCTGGGGGGCCACCCCTGTGCCTGCCATGGTAGAGGCAGAAGGACCAGCAGAAGTGGTTTCCAGCCAGTAGCCCCTCAGTTGCTCCTTGTCCAGTTTCTAAAAGTGTGAGCTATGGACTCCTACACAGGCAGGAGAAGTGCTGACAAGTGTGGGGTGGGCACTGTGGGGACCATTGTGCTTTGCCCCCCAAAGTGGACATGTGGGGGTGAGCTCCACTGATGGATTTGCCACTTCACTATGTGTGTTCGGTACCTGCTGCTATGCATCCCCATCCCCATGAATTCCTGTGCCCCTCGAAGTGAGGGGCCGAGTGTTTCTGTGTGCATGTGAGTGTGCGTGCACTGTGGCTCATGGGGTCAGAGCACACTGACTTGGGAGGCTGGGCCATGGTTCAGTGCTGGCATACTGTTGCCTGAACACAGACTCATGGTGCTGGATGGGTAGTGGACGCTGCTGTCTCCTTGGCATCTCCAACATCTTCTTCTTCCCTGTCAGTACCACTGTGGCCTGCAGCTCACATGTTTTCCTCCTCCTGAGTCCTGCTCGGGGGTCTGGCTGTGTCTTGCGGTGACCCTGCCTCATGGGAGGGTGGGCAGGTTGTCCTCACGTATCTGGGGTGCTGCCCAGTACCATGTGTCCCTGGCTTCATGGAAGCTCCCAGCCTCTCAGTCACACGCAGGGTTCTGTGGGGATGTGCTGTGTGTAGGTCGAGGTCTGAAAGGCGACTGCACCAGCACAGCTGGCAATGTCTACAGATGGGTTCATGGCACAGCATGCTGATGAGAGGGAGTTGACTTGTCCTGGGGAGGATAAGGGGTGCTAAGGTGCTAAGGTGCTAAGGTGCTAACGCACTCAGAAGGAAAGCCCTTCTTGGGAAGCACTAAAAACTAACAAAAAACAAACAGCAAGAAAACACAGAAAATGGGCCCGGTGACAAAAAAGGAAAAGAAAACTGAAATAAATTCATGCCATAAATGTAAAGAGCACAATCCAGTCCATCCCACCACCTCTAGAAGCAGCACTTTCTCTCCTGCTTCACAGGGCACAGTTGGCACTTCCCCTCCTCTTCCTCTTTCTCCTCCTCCTCTTCCTTCTCCTCCTCTGCAGTGCACAGTCATTTCTCTTTCCCTCCCTGTCCAGAGCAGGAGACCTGAAGTCTCTCTCAGGCTCTGTTTGGACCTCAGGTGTTTTGAAACCTGGGGCTTAGCCAGCTGGAGAACTGGGCTGCATTGTTCGGCCACTTGTATGTTTGCTCTTCTTGGCAGTCGGTAGAACAGGACTAGAGCCCATGCCTTAGGAAGAGAGGTGTGGAGCCTCTCTGGCCCTGGCGCGGTGCCCTCCATGGCCTTATCCCTTCCAAAATGATTGTGGGTACTTGTGGTTTCTCCTGGGTCCACCAGTTGAGCCCAGGCCAGCCCCAACCCCAGCCCAAGTCCAGCCCCAGCCCTCGCCCCAGCCCTTGCCCCAGCCCCTGCTATGTTTGCCCTTCTCCTCTGTGGCCTTTTGCCCTTGGCTACAGGAGGCGCCTGGGAAGATTACAGAACATTCCAGAGTTCCAGCATTGCCTCAAAGGAGAAAACATGGAGTTGGGGGTGTACAGCACAGGGTTGGACAGCTATCCTTCCCTGGCTGTGGGATCCCAAGTCCCACCCATGTGGGTCTGCATGAGACCAAATGGAGGTGAGATCCCAAGGCCCTGCAGGACTGAGCCCTGCCTCTCTACCCTGCACCTGGTGGGCAGATTGTCTGCTCAGTAACCAGGCCTGACGCTCCCTGGAACCTGACTCTGATCTTCACAGCTCCAGCCCCTACCTGAGGTCAGCGAGCCCATGTCATCTAGACATCAGTTCTGGATCTGATAGGGACTGGGTAGAGCTCTGTCCTGCACCAGAGTCGGTGTCTACTGGCCTGGGTCTAGGATGCAGTGTGAACTTGTCATCTGCAGAACAGAACTTATGCCCTGACCTCAGCACCCGCACTGGGACCCTCTCTGGAGCCTGTGGGTACTGCTGTCTCCAGACAGAATTCCTTAAACAGATAGACTCCCCCTGGAGCTGTTAACCTTGTCTCAGGCTCTTTGAGACCAAGCAAAAGCAGCAGCCAATCCAAGCCCCATCCTCTGTCCCCCAGGCATCTGCCTCCTAGGAGGTCAAAAGGAGTTGGAGTCCAGGAGCATTGGGTATTGCTACACCCAGCTCACAGCCCCCTGAGTCAAAGGGCATTGTACAGAGGAAACTGAGGCCCAGAGACACAGAGGGAGCATGCAGTTCCAACTTCCCGTGTCAGTTTGGTGTATACCTGGGTTTTCTTTTTTTGCTAGGAAGAGGCCCAGAGCCTAGGGCTTCACCAGGGAGGCCAGGAGCCTGGACAGTCTGGGCTCTGCAGGTTTGGCCCACGGCAGGGACAGCACACATCAAGCCAGGGCCCCACTAATGTGATGCTGTTTAGGCCCTTGCTGGGGCCACTGGGGAGGCTTGTGAGAAGCCTGGCCAGAAGCGGAGAGCGGGGACTGAGAGCAGCTTCAGTGGAGACCAGAGACTTGGTCTGCATCAGACCAGGGCCAGGGCCAGGGCCATGGCAGACTACCTCCCTGGGCTTAAGAACCGCACAGAGCAGAGAATGCACACACAGGGTTAAAAAAGTTTCTCTAAACATTTTATTCTCCATATTTTCAAGTCAGAAGCGTGTGGTAATAAAAATAATAGAGAACTATTTCCTCAGTCCACTCTGCTTCGGGCTGCCACCCCCATGCATCCTCTTGGAGCTCAGTCGCCCTGCGGCTGAGCGCAGCCTCAATGCTAATATTATTTACAACTATGTCGCAGCCCAGAGGGTCTGCAGGAGAACAGCTCGCCAGTGCAGCCAGCTGCTTGGTGTGCAGGGTTGTGCCTTCCATCTGGATGGTGGGACAGAGCCCCTGGGATGTCCCCCTTGCAGGTCTAGGGTGCAATGTGCTCCACAGGTGGGCAGGAGTGTGTGGTTATGTCGCTGTGTTTGTACATGGCCTCATCCAGGTCCAGGGGCTTCCCACCGACCTCCAGTGTCATGCAACCATGGTAGAAGGCGGTAACCGGGGCCGAGGTCACAGGCACATCTGGTCAGGGTGGATCAACATCATGTCAGAGGCAGCACTAGGCCAGGGGAGTCTGACTCACAGCTCTGTGCTCACCTTTGGCAGCGTCCACCCATTCTTAGAATAACCTGGCCTATCTGTTCCTTTTCCTACTGCCATATCACTGGCGTACACAATGGCTTTCAGCTCTGAAAGTCCATCCCAGGGAACACTCAGCCAGCCTGAGTGTCACCAGATGCCCACAGGCATCACCGGGCCATGAGCCCATTGCTTATCCTCCTCCAACCCTTGGAGCTGGAACAACATGGCATTTACTTGTCCTGGACCACAGACTGCTATGTGTGCAGGGGGACCTCAGCAGGGCCTTGGTCTCTCTTTATTGCACCCTCAGCTCAGGGCTGCAGGTGAGCTGACACTAGTCCCAACCTGGGTCTTCTCAGCTGTCCCCACTAGACATAGCATGTGCTGGCAGTCACTGCCAGCTGCCAGCAGTGGCGATGTCCAACCAGATTGGGTATCTGGCCAGACACTGTGGTACCCTACCTGGCAGGCCCCCAATGAAGGTAAGCACTGGGCCCTGCAGATGTGTCCCCAGCAGTGCCAGCTGCTCCTGCAGCTGGGTGGTGCTCAGTTCGCTCTGACTCTTGGTGCCGTCCACCTCCAGGCTGGCCTCGCCCTCCTTCAGGGACACAGTGACCACATGTTCCCGGCCATCACACACCTTGATCTCCATCAGGGCCAAGGCAATGTTCTCCACTGCCAGGACCACCAGCTAGGGGAACACCAAGGGCAGGGGTCAGGGAGAGGGAGCCTGGGGTTCCCAGGGTTCAGGGATGTCAGGGTAAGAACACATCATGGGAGTGTGTATAGGTCAGAGTCACAGCTAGGCTGACCACTTGAGCTGTCTTCCATGTCCTGCCCTCTGTCCTTGCAGCCTGTACTGTCCATGGAGCACACCTAGCCTTGGTCGAGGCAATCTTGGACACCGCCTCAATGGTGTCATAGGAGAGGGGCCTGCTGTTCGGTGATCTGAGGAGGGGACAGGACAGCAAAGCCACTGGTCAGGGCTGGTGGAGACAGGAACGCGGCCCCACACTGTGACACTGAAAGCCTGGGCCTGGCACTACTGGAGCAGAGCCCAGGAGCAGATTGAGTCTGCTTCTGGTGAGTGCTCAGAGTCTGAGAGCCCCAGCCTTCCTCCACATGATGCCAAATTAGGTTTGAGCAGTGGCTCCCAGTATCCTTAGTGCTGCTGTTGCCTGTGCAGGCCAAAGCCCTACATTCCTGACTGTCAGATCTCGGCCACTGCATGCTGACTGTGACCCAGAGCTGGGGCAGAGTGGGCCAGGAGGAGGCTGGCCAGAGAGAAACTAGGTTGAGACCTGCAGGGAGCCCCTTGTTGGTGGACAACCAGGCCCTACCTGCTTCTTGAGCTTCTTCGTGGAGTGGTAGTCAACCAGGGCAACAGATAGGGCCACTGTGTCGTTGCCGCCTACCAGTGCGAGCAGCACTCCTGTGTCAGCTGCGGGGCGGATCCGAGCCACTACTTCCACTCCCCAGGTCCCTTCGGTTCCCGTGTTCAGGGACGTCCGTGCTGCAATGAAAGCCGCGCATTACGAGGCCCACAGATGGCAGGAAGGTGAGCGCAGGTGGCGGATGACACCACAGAGGGACGGCGAGGGACGGTGGCCTGGTGGAAGGCAAGGTGGGTGGGAAGCCGCAGGGTGACCCTGGAACCTGCCTTCCCAACAGCCTCACATCAGGGGAGGAGCAAGAAGGCACACTGGGATGCTCTGGTCACGCGGCTCTGTCTGCCTGGGACAGTCTTTGTGAGTCTAGGCCCTTAGAAGCTGATGTTGTTCACATGATGACATACAAGTGTCATCATACTGATGACTTGTGCATGAGCACCCCCTGTGTGGGACTTGTTTGGGTGGGGAACCGGCCTGTTGCCCTGGGGTGCAGCTGGAAGAAACTGCGTCCTTGTGGTTCTAGGGTTTCTGCTTTACCTAGGGTTCTGCAGAGTTAGTGGACCCGGTAGGCCAGTGCTGGGAGGCCACTCGCCTGCCTCTGTCCTCCTGCAATCCTCTTAGACCCAGTGCCTTCCTGCTGGAGCACCCACAGCACCCAGTTCTTGTGGTTTATAGGTGTGAGCTATGTGGCTTGGGAATAAAGGGAGCTGAGTACTGTGAGGCAGAAGAGGCATCCTTGACTCCTGTGTCCTGGCCCTCAGCCCCCAGCCACCCTGATGTTGACACCACTGAGGTGCAGGGTGGGGACACTGGCCCCAAGGCTGCAGCTCCTTCTCCCTGTTGACCCAGGGCCATCCCTGAGGGCCTTCAGTGCTGGCCTTTCCCCTGCTCACCCTACGCTGCCCCCTGCCCTGTTCCTTAAGTCTGAAGTCATTAGCGTCCCATAGCAGCCTGCCTGCCACATCAAGAACCCCCTTGTTCCTCAGAAGTCTGGATGAAGGTATGGTGGGTGCCTGTCAAGTTCCTTTCCTGCTGATGGCACTGAGCTGTCTTGAAAGGAACTGATCCTTTCACTCTCTGCCCTGCCAGCCCACTCCAGTCTCCACCCTTTCCTCCTTGGGCAACTCGGAGCAGGGAGACAAGGTAGCCTCGCCACACCCTGCACCCTGCCTGACCCTTGGGTGTGGGGTTGTCCCCTGTCTTCAGCCTGTCCCTGGGCATCTGCCTATTTCACCCTAGCAGGCCTAGCCTGGCCTTCTGGCCTTCCAGCTGCCAGCATGGGGCTGGCTGTAAGCCCCTCCCCCTGGTCCCAGCTGGAGGGAGACCCACTGTAGCTGAGGCTGTGGAAGGCAAATCCGCTGCCAGGGAAAAAGGACCCCTTCTCTGTCACTGAGAAACACTGCATCTTCGTGTTTGCCTTCACTGTTTCCTGGATAGTGTTGTCTTCCCCATTCAGCCAGCTCCAGCTCCTCATGCAGCCATCCAGGCGAGGGTTGATCTGGAAAGACAGGTGCACCCCAGGTGAAACAGATATGTCATAGATAAATACACCCCAGGTAAGACAGGTGCACCCTAAGTGAGACAGATATGTCACAGGTAAATACATCCCAGGTAAGACGGTGCACCCCAGGTGAGACAGGTAAGTCCTAGTGAGTCCTGGCTAAGACACTGTGCCTGCAGGAGGAAGGAAGAGAAGCCACCCCAATCACTCGGTGTTGCCCTCTTGGCCAGATATGTAGAAGTGTTGGCAAACCAGGCAAATCTCATCTGTGGTGGGTCCTCTGCTAATGAGCTGCTTGCTTCGGTGGTGGCCCAGGATGCCCCCTTCCGTGTGGGAGGACATGCATGTGGCCGCTGCCTGTCTGCACCCCCTGCCCCCATGAGCCAGAGGTGATGCAAGGATGTCAGTCAGGGCAGGGACATGGTGTCCCCTGGCCAGCCGCTGCCTGCGTGGTGGTGAGCGGATGGAGCCTCAACCTGATATGGACACTGGGATCCCAAGTGGAGGAGCTAGGAGACAGAGGTAGCCAGCAGCTGCAGTATGGGGTGCAAGGGCAAGAAGAGGCAGGACTTGGAAATGGTCAGTGCTGCCCACCCACTGCAGCAGTTCCTTGTGGAAAATGTCAGCAGGGTCCACAACACAAAAGATTCTTAGGAATCATCCAAAAAGGTGATTCCTCTGTAGTTAAAAAAATATCATTGTGTTTTCTGTCTGCCACAAAAGAGATTTTGTAATCATTACTTCAGTGAAATCTTAAATGAGCCTCAGAGGAAGTGGGGGAAGATAACAATGTCCCTAGCCTTGCCTTACCTCAAGGTCCCTGCCACTCCAAGGGAACACAGCTATACCCAGTAAGTGGGAGTAGAGGAAGTGATAGGGCCAGCCCTGGCCTCTGCTGCTCTGGCCCACGCATCACACTCGCCCTGGACCCCGACTGCACTCACCGGCTGGACGAGGTCCTGGGCTGGGAAAGGAACACCCCCCACTGTGAGGTTCAGGTGGTACAGGCCTCTGTCCAGCTGGAACAGGTCCCCAGCCACTGCAATCTTCATCACTGCATCCTTATTGACCTTAATCACCAGGTTTCGATCCAGCTCCTCCACAGAGATCTAAAGAAGAGGCAGCCATGAGGACATGAGAGGGGACACTACACATTTTCCACTTCTTCTGAGGGCCAGGTCATACCCCCTGGGTGAGACGGGTCCATCTGAGGGCCCTGGCCACATCTTGGGGATCATGCCACCCAGGTTCTGTGCACATTGGGCAGGAGCCCCAGACTACTGTCATGCTCCCTCAAGCCACTGGTCAGAATTTGAGTGGAGAGAGGGTTCCAACAGATGGAATGTGACCCGCTTGGCACAGGAGGTGATAGAGCGGCAGAGAGCCCACCCCTTGAAGGTCAGTGCCACTTTTCTGGGTTCGGCAGAACTGGCAAGCTGGCCTGGGGCAGTGGGGTCACCAGACTGCACTGTGGAGACCTGCCCTGACTGTCTTTCGTAAGCAGATGCTTGGGCAAGATGGCCTCAGCATCCCGACTTAGACACCTGGGGACAGTGGGTCTCCATCCTGTGGTGGCCCCGAGAACCACTTCAGGCCTCAGGATGGAATCTGACCCCGTGAATCCTGAGCCACAGTTTGTACGCACACCAAGCCACCTCTATGCTGAGCCCTGGCTTGCATGGATGCGGAAAAGTTCTAACTGAACCATGGGCTCAATGCACCTTGTGATGCATGGCTAGGTAAGGGAACAGCTGGTTGTGGCCCTGTGTGTCCTTTTGGAGCCACCATGAGCAGTACCATGGTTTGCTTTAACTTGTAGATTTATCCTCGAGCTATTATCCCTGGGCAGAGCTTGGTTGTCTTGGTTCTAAGCCCAAGTGAGATGGTGATGTTCTTCTGTCTGTGAGACTCCCCAGCTATCACTGTAGACCCCTTGTTTTATTATCCAACTGCTCCACTGTGTGGTGGTCAGGCTACTTCCTGGTACCATGGCCAATGTCATGCTCTAGCCTTTGCATCATGGCTCTGGGTGTGCTTTCTCTCCTACAGCGGAGAGCGCTGTGTAGAGAGAATTGCATGAGAAATGGACTGAGGTCCAGGATTATGTCTTTCCTTTGTGACTCTCCTGGAGCTGTCACACTGGGGCCTCTGGCCAGTTCCAGGTTGACTTGTAGCTGTGGACACCTGGAGCCACTGCCTGCCGTGGGTGACTCCTGAAGTTCTGCCCCATGGCCCAATGCTTCTGTGCAAGTCTTTAGCCCTTACTCAATTTTCAACTCGCCCAGCACATTCTCTGTGGTAGCCGTGTCCCCACTTTCCTCTCCAGCTCGAACTAACCCTCCACTCCAACCCACTCCACCTCAGTGCCTGTCTGAGAGCACTCGCCCTCCCAAGTGCTCAGGATTGAGGAACCCAGGACAGTGTCAGACTGGATGGGGCAAGCCTGAAAACCTGCAGCTCTGTGGAAGGAGCAGACCCAGGATCACCACACCTGGAGCCATCACTCTGGTGTCTTGTGGAGCAGAGCCAGTGTTCAGGGTGGCACAGCCGTCCCCCAGCCACGAGCTGGTCTCAGACTGGCTCCTCCCTATTTGCCTGTAAGCCCCCTCCCCCAAGGGATCCCAGGCAGCATGTGTGTAGGCTGTGCCCTTCCCTGATGTGGGACACATCCTCCCCTCTACCTGTCCCTGGTGAGCCTGAACTCCAGCAGACAGCAGGGCCGACTGACTGTCAGGGAAGGTGCAGGCCACCCCACCAGTCACCATCCTGTGGGGGCACAGCAGAATCTTCACTGGCTTTAGCTCTCAGAAGACACCCAAACTCCCGCATCTTCCTGGGCCCAAGCAGCAACTCATGCTAGGTTTCTGTCTGTGCACCTGCACACCCTTGCACCTTGTCGGCCTGCACAACCTCCTTGCAGCCCAAATGCCCCTCAGCACTGGCTTTCTTTGCTCATACTCAGCCCAGAGCCTCTGTGCATCCTCCATGCATAGCTGGATGTATGAATGTTTTCATTTCTAAACTCCTACCAGTCAATACAGTGCCTGGCTCAGGTTGTGGGTTGAATGAGCAAATAAATTCCTCTGAAACTTTCCATACAGAAACCCTGAGATTCGCACACCAGACATCAACCTCGCCATCCAGCAGACATCAGCCTCCTTGCTGGCCAAGGTACAAACATACTTCAGAGCTTAACTAGGCTAGACCGAGGTGCCACCAGCAGGGGCATGGGAAAGAGCCAGCTTGGGGTGTACCCTGTGGTGCCTTGAGGGGCATGCTGCCCTGAGCTATGTGGAGCACCTGCCCCCTGGCCCACTTCCTCTGGGCCTGGTGCTGGCCGCTGCTGTGCAGGGAATGCCCTCCCCCAGGACTGGGCTCCCAGCTAAGTCTGGGCAGACATGACTTGGCAAGTGGGTGTGAGCATGGCAGCGTCTACTGGGCTGGGCAGAGCTCCTGTCTGGTCCTCAGTTCCAAGGAAAAAGTGTGTCTTTCTGCCTCTCCTCCAAGGTCTGCTCTCAAGCTAGCTGTGGCACACAGACCGTCTCACTTATGACTGGGCATGGATATGGGGCCCACAGTGAGGGCTGGGCCCTGAGAGTCTCCATGAGTAGCCCAGCCTGGGCTCCCCTGGATATAAGGAGCTGGGGTCTGTCTCCAGGTTCCACAGGGACTAGAACCAGACCTGCCTCTGTGGGGTGCTTGCTTGTTGTAGGTGATGCACAGGCACTGGTCTCTGCCCATGGTTGTCCTGTTATCTTCCTACGGAGCTATGCTCAGTCATCTGGTACATGCAGTGAGTGGCATCCAGGTTCTGTGCCCAGCCCTAGGGTAGCATCTAGGGGGCCAGCGTCTGGCCCAGGCTGTGCCCACCGTTCTGCAATCAACAAGGCTCCACATACTCACCGTCTGCCACAGGCCGTGGTTGATGACTGGCCCACTGCTGGTGACACGGCCGACACCATTGTAGCGTAGTTGCAGCTCTAGCCGACCAGCTCTCAGGCCCAGGACCACCCAGGTGCTGTCCAAGTGGCCTCCGGCAAAAAATAGGATGCCTTCAGGGTCAAAGGTCCGGAAGTCAAACTCAGCCACCAGTCTGCCCGGTATAGGAGACAAATCAGGGTTATGTGTGGGGTGGATGACTGGGGAAGCCCTGCACAGGGCAGCAGGTCACCAGAAGGCTCGGTGGCCTTCAGCCAACAACCCCTAGACCCTCAGGCCTCCAGACTCAGGATGTAGCTCATGGACCCTATCTCACCTGGTGGGCTGCAGCCTCTTGAAGCGCAGCCGGATCACAGGGGCCCCGCTGAACATACGGCCCAGGTACAAGGACTTCATACTCTTGGCTGCACTGAAGGGCACGCAGGGCAAGATGTCCTGTGGGGACAGGATTGTGTCAGACAGGCTGTGCTTGACTGCCTGGATCCCTGGCTGAGGGCCAGGAACTCTGACCCAGCCCTGTGCCTGCCCTCCTCCTAGAATCAGAGCAGCACGCCATGCCTCCAGGCCAAGAGCACCAGCTCCACGCTCACTGTCCAAACTCTTACGGTTAGAGTCTGGCTCCACCAAGCTGTTGCTGGTTTTTGTTGTGTAAGTTATGAAATATTTCTAACAGAGGGGAGTACAACACAAGAACAATCACGAGTGAGGTTACGAAACGAGTAGCCACAACAGCCCTGAAGGCTGGCATACTAGCATGTTTCCTGCTCTAGGTGGCTGCTTTCCCTGCTGCTCAGGTGTTAGTGTGGAGAACCATAGCTGGGAAGAAAAGGGTCAACAAGACCTGTCCCCACTGGGGGACTTCCCCACAGAATGGGAGATTGAGGCAGAGCAGGCCAGACGTTCGGCCTAAGCACTGCGTGGGGCCTACCAAGCCCACAGTGGTGGAGGCAGGAAATTCTCCGTCCTGAGCGCTGCACTCCCTGGGATCCTGCCAGGCTGCTGCTGGGAGGCCATGTTGCTATGGCAATTCTATCAACATAGCCAACTCCTTCCAAAGCATGAGGCCTCCCTATGTGACCCAGGACCCCTGCTCCACCACAGCACTGGCCACCCACCTCGCAGGTATCCATGTCGGGGGACAGCTTGAGGCCCCCTCGGCCATTGCAGTGACAGGTGTAGCTGCCCAGGGTGTTGCTGCACGTTTGCTCACAGCGTCCCTGTGCACACTCATCCACATCTGCAGGCAGAAGGTCATTGTGGGTGTGGGAACAGAGCTCCTGGGGCCAGTGGAAATGTGAGAGTGGCACACGTCTTACTGTCAAGGACCACTGCAGCAGGCCCACTCTTCCTTGTGCCACCCACTCTCCATCACAGAAGCCAGTGCTGGGAGGGGACACAGGGCTCCAGAAGTTCCCTATGGGAACATAGGGAGGGTACAATCCAGAACCTCCCTCTCCTCACAGGCTGCTGGGGGACCTGTGTCCTCCCCAACAGGGGTCGGCCTCTCCTCACAGCTACCAGGAGTACAGAGAACAGAGCCTCACCCCTCTGTACCTTGGGGTCACTTTTGCCTCACAGGCCTGGATGCCTCCAGTACAGGTCCACCTGGACTGGAGAGGCTCGGTGTGCACCACATGGTGGGGAGCAGAGCCATGTATGTGTGCACACGTGCATGGTTGTGTATGTGTGCATCTAGGTCCACACTAGCAGAGTGTGTGCCACATGGATGTTTGTGCAGATGTATGTCCACATGTGTGCATAAGCATGTTTGTGTGCACATGGATGCATGTTACATGTGAACTGTGTCTGCATTTGTGTGCGTGTGTGCACTCACATGTGCTTGCATATGAGGGCATGGTATCTGCATTTTTGTGTGTGTTTGCACATGTGTGAGGGCACATGTGCAGAAGTATATGTGGGCATAGCTGCAGAAACAGCCCTTTGGCCTGGCATGGGGCTTAGTGCTGAGCCTTCTCCTACGAGTCCTATGTGGGGCTGGTGGTGGTTCCTGGAACCTGTGGTGGTGGCAGTGGCTGGGGAGGAGGTCACAGGGCCCAAGTGTACCTCTGCAGGCCTTGTCCTGGGTGCTGTATTCAAAACCTTCATCACAGAGGCAGGTGTAGGAGCCTGGCAGGTTCTGGCAGCGAGCATCCCCACAGGCCTCTTTGTCTGCACACTCATCTATGTCTGGGAAAAAGGCCAGCAGGCTGGTGTCAGGAGGGCTGAGATAGCAGCAGTGCCCACCATGGCAGACAGGGTGAGAGCAGCCCTGGACTCAGTGTGGGGTGCAGGAATTTCAATGTCTTCATCTCTGTGGGCTGGAAGGGGCCCTGGCAGTGCCAGCAAACAGCCTCCTTAGGGGTCTGAGCGCATCCCCTTTGCCCCTCAGATCAGGAACCCCTGGTGGGCTGTGATTTGGGGCTGTGAGGTTCCTAGAGGATATGCAGCCCACCCAAACCAAGGGGGAGGAGAAGAGTGAGGAGGAGGCGGAGGAGGAGGAGGAAGAGAGGAGGAGGAGAGGAGACACAGGGCAGCCTGGCTGGCCCTCACCTTGGCAGATCCGGCCATCATCCTGGCTGAGCGTGTAGCCACTGTGGCAGGCACAGTAGAAGCCGCCTGGAGTGTTGAGACAGACCTGGCCGCAGCCCCCATTCTGCTGGCTGCACTCGTCCACATCTAGGCATAAAGATGGTGCACTTGTCCTTGGGCATGTGGTTTGGGCATTTGTGGTGTGCAGAGACCTAGATACTGGTGGCGATGACAGTGCAAGCCCAGCTCTAGGGTCCCCACAAACACAGAAGGAAGTGGAGGCCAAAAGGGGTCCCACAGGCAGGGACACAAAGCCTGCCAGAGCTGCACATCACACAGTACAATCCCAGATGCCAGGGTACCCCGTCTGCAGATTCTGCCTGACATCTTCCCCAGGGTTTAGTGTACAGGAGTTCAGAGGAAACACTCAGCAGGGCTCCCCCACTGCACCCCTGTTCCCAGTGGCCTTAGCCCTAGTTCTCTGGGCACCACAGCTGTAGGCTATCCCAGGGCTGCAGCACCCAAGGCAGTGTATAGGGACGGAGGGAAGTAGCCCTGGAGGGATTCTGAAGTTGGCCACCACTCACGTCAGAGACAGAAGGAAGAAATGGGCAGGGCTGGGCTAGGCAGGTGGACAATGCTGTGGCCTTACCTCTGTCACAGCGCCGGCCCCCCCAACCAGCTCTGCACATGCAAAAGAAGTTGCCCATGAGGTCCTGGCAGACCTGGGTCCCTTGCTTGTCACACGGGTTTGGAGTGCACTGGTCAGGTAGGTCTGAGTTGAAGGACACAGAGGATAAATTCACCCTGAGCTGTTCCTGAAGCCCCCACATCATCTCTTATGGGGACACCTGGGCAGGCTCCCCACCTTGGGACAGGCTAGGGGCTGGAGCCAGCTCAGGAAAACCAAGAGCCACCAAAAAGGAGTGGCAAATGCAAGAAGGAGCCAGGGGTATGGGGTGTATTTCCCAGCAGCAGCCTCTTATCACTCACCGTTTCCAGGAAGACCAGGGTCCCTTGCCTTCACTGCCCAGTCCAGTGCCCACCTCACTCAGCCATCAGCCTCAAAACTGGCCCTGCACTGCACATGGCTCAGGTTGACCAGCAGGAAGGGCTCATTAGGAGCCAACCTGCCCCCAGTGAGGCCAACCAGCAGCAAGGCAGGAATGGCAAAGGACTGGAGAAATCTCAGCCCAAGCCTTGGCTCCTACCATGAAGTCCAGAGATGCCTCTGGTGGGCAGGAAAGCCCCACACATGAACTCCGCAGCCCGAAGGTCAGGCAGTTGGCAGAAAGATCTGTTGTCATGTCTAGGGCTCCAGAAAACCTTTTTCACAGGCTGCTGACCAGGTAGAGGTGGGAAGGCCCAGTGTGAGGAAATCAGAGCAGTCTGCCCTGAGTGGCTGGGATCTGCAGCTGACCTGGCTGTGCATCATGGACCTTGAAGGAGGCATGGAGTCTCCTTGGGCTGTAGGACAGAACCTTCTGCCCCAGCACACAGTGTCGAGGCTGGCCTCACACCACAGCCAGGATCCTGTATCAGAGTTACTTCACAACAGGTAAGAAGCATCTTGCTCCCAGAGGTTTCCCTGCCTCTGTTCCCAGTGTGCAAAAATGCCCCTGGGGGTTGCACACTGAAGTCCAGTCCTGGTTCCCAGGCTGACGCTGGTGGCCTGCGCAGACTCAGACCAGAAACAGAGAGCAGCCTTCAGCCAGTCGCTATCCATGTGACCCAGGCCAGGCAAACTAGCGGTGGGTTCGCTGCTGATGTTGGCCCTCAGGGAGGAAACCAAGAGTGGCAGCTGGTAGGTTGTTTGGGCACCTTGGGCTCAAAAGCTTTTTCAGGTGGAAATGGGAACCGGGTTAGAAGAGAAAACCAGCCTCTCAGAACAAGGAATGATGCAGGCTTGACCTGACCCTTGTGAACTAACCCCAGGGTACATCAAGGGGCCTGGGCAATGGTCTGGTTTGCTATGGTAGACTGGAATAGCCTCAAAGGCGGTTGGCAATGAGGGCTGAGCGTCGACTTCAGTCTGACACAAAACGTGTGAGAAGCATAGAGAGGAGTAGGCAGGGGAGCTGGGGCCAAGATGGCCTCAGCTGAATGACAGGAGGGGTCACACTTCCACGTCACACCTTGTGGGATGTTTAAACTTTGTACCACAGATGTAATCTGACCCTTGCACTCCCCAGAATGTTGTGATTCCAGCCAAATGAGGACACTTACTCTGGACGCATGTGACGAAATCTGGGTGTTTGGTGTATCGGGAGCCATACTTTTTGACACACTCTGGAAAAGAGAACTGGACAGCGTGAGGCAGGTGTGGTGGTGCATGCCTGTCATCCCAGCATTCAGGAGGCTGAGGCAGGAGGCTTGCCATGTAGTAAAGACCAGCCTGGGCTACACAGTTCAAGGCCAGCCTGAACTTCACAGCAAAACCCTGTCTCAAACAAAACAAAACAGAACAGAACAGGACAGTGTGGTCATCAGGGGATGAAAGATATCATTTTACCTGTAGCCCAGGCTACAGGTAATAGATGCAGGGGACATGACTCCACCTGGTCAGGTGCCACCATTCTGCAGCACCATGACGCTTGGCTCTTAGTTTAGAGAGCTCAGTGGTACCAACAGGAAGCCATTCGCACCTCTAGGCAGAGCTCTGTAGCCAGATGGGAGCGGTCTTCTGTCCCCTGTGGCAGTGAGCTGGTAGAGTCAGGGACCCATGAGGGCCACCTGAGGGCCACACCACCTGCTCCCAAGAGCCCCCCAGTGGACCTGGTGGATATGGCTGGATAAGAGGCCCACAGGAGCAGGCTGGCACATTCTGAACATGTGTCCAAGGAGTGCAGCAGAGGTCACTGCTATTATCCACTAATGGAAAAACATTGATGTGAACAGTGAGCTTATGGTAGGTATGGGCTCAACTTTGGCCTCAGGACCCAAAGCCATGACATCCAGGGATAAGACCACCAGGGCTCCCAGGGCCTAGGGCACCAAACAGGAGCTTCCAGGAGAAGGTGGGCCTGATAACTTTTCCTCCATGCCCTTGGCAAAGTCAGAAAGGCCAGGAGTGTAGCCCTCTCCTCCAGGCAACACACACTCAAAACCTTAAAACACTGATGATTGTACAAGTGGTTCTTAGTGGTAACCCACAGCCTCCTTCAGGGAGTGTGGGGGGTCAGAGCCACCACCCTATAAGGTTAAGGCATTGGTGCATGTGGGGTTTTCCAGAGTCACTGATGCCTGCTCAGTAGCCAAGTGTTTGTGCATTCCTCAGGCCAACACAAACATTTCTGAGTGTTCTCAGTCTTAATGAACACAGCCAGTGGCCAACAAGAACCCAATTCTTTGGGGTCCTCAATAATTTCAGACGTGCAGAGTCCCAAGGTCTCTATGATAGACTCCTGAGTTTGAGGACATTGAATCACCATATTTCCAAACAGTGGGTGGAGTTTGACATCAAATCAGAAAAGAGGACTGCAAACCATGGCCTAGAACCGAAGTTCAGCCACCAATAAAATAAAACTGTGGCATAAAAGATAAAAAAAGAAGTTTGTGTCCTTGCTCTGGGAGCTTGGTCTGCGTAGTTTCAAAGCTGCATCTCCTCTTTGGGATGCTGTTATCAGCTGCATGAAGCTGGTATCCCCAACTTTGTGGCAAACAGGAAAGTAATGACTGAGACTTACCTTGGTATCTTGGGTAGAAATATTCCTGTGGGGGCAGGGGGAGAGAGAGAGAAAGGAACCATTTATGGCACAGTCTGAGGCTCACAGACAACACAATCCAGGTGCTCAAATCCAAGGGGACAGAGTCAGCCTGGGGAGCAAGAGCTAGGGATAGCAGTTTCCCAGAATGCTTTGCCAGGAAGGAAGGTGCTGTGGGGTGTGGATGTGAGGGACAGGCTGTACGGCCTCCTGAAACTGCAAGCTTTAGGAGGGTGAGAGTGGGTGAGAGACTACTGGATCCAGGAGTATTGACAGTGGTCTTCTTGACACTCACTGTGTTTACAGCAGACTTGGGGAGAGGCATAAGCTTCATGCAGGGATCCCAGCTGTGACTGAATGCACACTCAGTCACACACATGGAGGATCTTAGCACTGGGGACTCTGCCTCCTTGGGCAGCAGATGACTTCCTTGTGCCCTTGCCACAGACTCAGGCCCCAGGGCTGTTGCTGGTTGACACAGCTGTCATAGCTGTGGCAGAAGAAGGACCAAAGTCTCAGGACACACGTGGATGCTGATCTGTACCTTTACACAGCTCCACTGGGCCCGCCACTCATCCTCAGGAGGCCTTTCAGTACCATTGTGCTGGATGAGGAAGCTCAGGACCCAGGTGGTTGTGCCATTTGCCCCTTCAAGAGGATGGACTGGACTGGGAGGCTGGGGACCAGGGCGGGAGCATTCCGAGCCTTGCGTTGTTTGAGGACAGGAAGAGGCACCAGTCCCCTGCACACTCTTAGCTTCCTGCACAAACTCTGAATGGTGTCTGCCACCTCCCAGCTTCCCGGGCCTGCACCTCTGTTCATAAGGCAGTAGCAGGGAGGCCTGGGGGCTGCTGAGTGAGCTTGGAGAGCTCGGTAGTTGCAGAGAAGATCACTACAACAGACCCTGACATGTGTCAAGATCAAAGCAAGGTGACACTGGCCAGGGCCCTGGCAGAGGCAGGTCTGGGGCCTGGGACTTCGGCTACCATTCTACCAAGTCCCTCTCCACTCTTCATCGTGTGGCAAAGTGAGAGCAGGAAAGACTAGCAAGGCCGAGGAGCCCAGCAAACCCTGGGGGTGTGGAGGACGTGCAGGGGAGGCTTTGGATCTGAAATGAAGGATGTGGGATGGACGTGAAGAGCACCCGCTTGAGGTTAGGGAGCCAAGAATTTGACTGACAAAGGACGCGCACAGTGAAGAGCTAGGAAGTAAATTCCTAATTGCAACTTGCCAGAAGGTGTGTTGTTTTTCTAACCATGACTAGTCATGCTAGTTACAATCGTGTGCAGTCTGTTCTCATAATGAGATCTGTGTGTGCAAGAAGGCATTATTAATAGAAGGGCCACACCAATCCTCTTTGGTCAGCCACACCTATCTCTAGGAACCTTGGGGCTTGGAAACCGCCAGACTGTGACCCTATTGTGTGCCTGGCTGTTTGGCACCCATATGTGAATGATGTGCTGGGGAACCCAAGAGAAAGAGAGTGAATCCCCAAATAATAGCAAAAATAAAGCAACACACTTCAGAAGGCTGTGCACTTTTCTGAGAGAAAGGCATCTGTCACCGTCCTCTGAGAAGTTCTGAATTCTGGAAACTGCCATGGGTAATGGAGCCCAAATGTGTTCACACCATACCACAGAACCTGATAGAGACCCAGAGGACACCGCTCTTAACAGTATTGCCAGCCACTGGGGCACACACCTGCCTGGGCTTGCAAGGGGCTGCCTTGGTGTCCCAAGTCAGTTCAAAGTACCAACCTTTCATGGTCAATTTGACTTTGGGAAGGGCCAGATCCAGCGAATACAGTGGATGGGGTCAGGCTGTGGTGCTTTTATTTGACAGAAATTGTTATAAGCAGTTGATCAACGTAGGGTGATGAATGTTTAAATTTAAAAAGCATTCATTACAGTAAATGACACATTGGCATTCATCTTCCTCAAGATCCTCCCCTTCCCTCTGCACACACTCGTCCCATCATCCTTGCCACTGTCTTCAGCAGCTTTGGAGTCCTCTTTCCTGAGTGTTTTTAGTTGTGCTGTCCTGCTTGCCCTTTTGTCCTGAATTGTTAGAAAATCTTTCTCTTTCCTGGTCATTTTGACTTTGAGGAAGAGCTAGAAGTTGCATGGAGCCAGATCTGGTGAATAAGGTGGATGAGGACACAGTGTCATGGTTTTATGAGCTGCCTTTCCACTGGGTGGCACTCGGCCGCAGCAGTCACCGTATTTTTGATCATGTCTAGTACAGACACTCAGGAAACAGGGCTCCAAATCTGCTGCATAGAGTGGTGAAAATGTGGGATATAAGTATGTCCAAATAATGGGGGAGTATTCTGAGGGGGATTCATGGAAATGTGACTTTTACCCTTATAGAGGTTTATGTAAACACATATTTTTTATCAGTCCTCTTTACTGTAATAAATTTTTCTTTAAACACACACCATAATTTTTTGCTCAAGATGAAAGCACAGCTGATTCCAAGGGCCCTGAACTGCCTGTCCCTTCAGGTAGCTGGTAAACAAGACCCATGTATGGTGACTCAGTGTGTGGCACGGAAGGCTCCAGGACGTGGTGGGGTTATCTCTGGGGTTTCCTGAGCCTTTCCTCTCCAAGTCAGCTCCAGCCCTAGGCTCTGCATCCCTGCCCAGCAGGGATAGGCCCTGGAACTAAGCCTAGCCACCCCCAAGGAGGCTCGAGGTACTCATGGCCCCATCTGTCTTCACCCACCACAGTTCTAGGGAGCCTCTCTCCAAACCTCAGGGTGGGAAACCACAGCATACTCACAGCCCCACCCTGCACCCACCCCAGCAGGACTCGTTCACAGAAGCTGTCACGCCCTGCATCGCATGTGACATTCGAGGTGACTTGCAAGCCATGCTCTAGGAAGTCCCTTCACTAACTCACTCTTGTTGGTAACGCCCTAAACTGGGTTTCCAAAAGCCCTTTCGTCACCTGGCAAGGCAGCCTCAGTTCTGGGGCTTGGTGACTTCGCTCATTAGCATGACAACTATTTAAGACATTTCCCGTGGGAAACAGCCAGAGAATGGATCTTCTGAGCCTGTGATGTTTTGCCAGCAAACCGACTTCCAAGGTTAGTTCGCCTGGCTGTGGCCCTGACTGTGGCTGAGCTCCTGCCGAGCCTCAATGCAGGATGGGAAGCACAGACCCAGCCTAAGGGAGCTGCCTGGCTCAGCTGCACCCTCAGAATCCTCTTCCCTGCTGCCTCCAAGTTCACATGCTGAGCACTTCCTCAGGCAACACCCTACGGAACTCAGATGCCAGTCCTAATCAATACCCTGGGCCACACCTTCACCAGCCTGCACAAGACTGTGGGCCCCGTGATGCCTGCAGGGGAGGTGACGGGGCTGTGGTCTCCACACCTGAGGGCAGTACAACGTGCCCAAGTACGGTGGGCACTGGGTTCTGGTGCTGGGCTCTACTCACTCCCCAGTAGGCTAGGCATAGTCTGGTCCTGGCAGCTGTGACCCTTGCACCTTCTGGGAATCTGCTGACCATGACAGAGGCCTGTGCCAGAGGGACACTGAAGGCGATGACAGGCAGAAGGGACTGGAGTCAGCCATGGGGCAGAACTCTGTTGCATCTGTCACCACTGCAAGGTGACCTGCTCAGCCTTTCTACTCCCATGGCAACTGATGGTGTTTCCCTGTTGGCTGCTCTGCCTCACACCCTCTGGGCCTTGACCCATGTGGGCCCGGGGCCTGTGCCCTGGACGAGCCCATGCACTCATCCAGGGAATCGAGGCTGCCACTTTCCATCCAAATGTGGCACCTCCAGCCTGATACCAGCCTGGGTATCGAGGGAACAGGGGCTGGGATGGGAGGTATTACAGAGAGGGTGTGGGTACAGCTGGGGGATGAGAATTCACACAGCATGGAGACCTCCCAGTAACTGGCTTCACAGAACACTTCTGCCCTGACGCCTCCCTGGTTTTCACATCCTGATTCTGTCTTCATCTTCAGTTATAGACCTCAGATTTGACTAAAGCTGGACACACAGGGCCCTGTGACTGAGTTCTAGCCAGCACCACACAACAAGCTGAGATGATGAGGGTGGAGGTAGAGGTGGAGATCAGCCTTTGGTGGAGAGTGCACATGATGGCTGGAGCTCCTGCACCTTGTCCTGTGTGTGAGGAGGCCCTGTAGCTGTACAGTGTAATGTAGATTGAGTACGGTCCTCACAGCAGCAGTAACTGATGTCTGCTATTTTCCTTTTGCATGAAAAAGAAAAAAACTTCCACTTCATTTATACTGCTGTAGCTTATACACCCAAAATGGCTGAATTTGACAATTAGTGCAAATAGAATCACAATCACTGCAAAGTGAGATGATAATAAGTCTAACACAGAGATGTACAGAGACTTCAGGACTCGGTGAGCAGGTGTTGGCAGGAGTCTGAGGACTTGGGTCCGCTGGCTAGGGAGGAGTTCTGAGAAAGTCTGCAAGTTCAATAGCATTGTTTAGGAGAGAATGGCTCAGGAATGTGGGTGAACCCTTTAAACATCTGTAAAACTACTTCCACTTGTGGTAAGCATGATACTGCTTTTTAAAAAGTCATTATTGTTCGTGAAAATTATGTTCTGCCCCTCCCTGAATTCCCAATTCAATTTTTCTTTGTTGTAAAAGTTTCACGCCTAGTTTACTTCATTACCTAGACTTCACACAGAGTGAGTAAAAGTGTTCTTACAGCTGCAAGCTTCACACCCCAGGTACTGGCAGGCATGACAAGAAGCTTCATGCTGTTGGCCAGGTGGACTCTTGGTCCTCAGGGATGAACAGATCCTTGCTGCCCACATAGCTGTCACCAGGCACCCTGACCCTACTGCTGGGAAGAACAGGCCCAGATGTGGCCAACCCAGGGAGCATAGCTCTCACCACTGGGCATTGTCAAGTGTAGCCTCGGACAAGTCCTAGGTCACCCATGGTGCAGGGTAGAACCTGTCACCTTGTGGTTCCTGGCAAGGGGATCAGGCTGCTGCCAGAGGCCTGGATCC